GACAACAAATACATTCATTTTTGCAGTAAAAATCAATGAACTGCAAGTACCGAAAGGACAAATTTTAGATTCTTTACAACTTAATTATTACATACTGTACACGTTTTTCTACATAAAAAAACAATGCAAACGGTATCATATAAGAACGGAAGACCTTTTGTTGCCATGGCAACAAGAGTCTAGTTATTATTATTATTATTATTATTATTCCTCCCAAATTTTGTGAGCGCGATTACTCAGAGATGGTTGGATAGATTTTCACAATTTTTCACATGATAATAGGCTGATATATGAAGTTTATACAAAATTCCGTTTTTTGAAAAATTCACTTCCGGTCCGAAGTTACGGCCGAATTTCCAATTTTTAAATGGACTTTTGTCCGGAATTTTTCTTGGAAACGGTTTGAGGTAAAGATGTGAAATTTACAGGGGTATTAGATCATGACATTCTCTTTGTTTCGAAGTTGTTTTCGTGTGTTTCCGGTACTTCCTGTCCGAACCGGAAGTGAACTTGTGTTTGGTCAATTTTCAATTTTTTTGTTTTTTAATATTTTTTCAAGATATTATTATGTATAACAGAGGTTATTCTACAAATACTAAATATATAATTTGTTTTGAAATCAGATTCCACATTTTGCAGATTTTCGGTACCCTCATTTTCCCTATTTACCTAGTGTGTAGACAATGGGCAAAGAAAGATAACTCTGACTTGTAAGTGAGAATAGACCTTTCGAGATAAAGGCGGAAATAGTATCGATGACGTTAGAGACATATACACTCTCCATATCAAAATATTTAGACGTTCTATATTCACTCTTCAAAATTTAAGAGGACGTTGGTTACCGCTTCCAGTGCATGTAAAGTTTGAAGTTGCCAGTGTAGTGTAAGTCTGTATTGACAGTTAGTTAATTTACACTTGAATATATCTAAAAAAAAAATTAATATATATATATGCTAGGTAGCTAATTCAAGTAAATATATTATAAGCACTGAATATACATTTATAGTGATGGACAGGCATGCAGTTTTATCTATTTCGTATATTAAGTTCAGAATACGATAGTTATAAGCCTTCTATAATGCAGACGATTTATTATTCTCTATGATCTGAATGCGAAATTATCCCGATTTCCGAGTTTTACTTTCGATATTAAAAAATATTACATACACTCAAAAAAGGAATTAAGCGATAGAAAATTGTAATACAGTACTGTTTTAAAGCCTTTATAAATAAATTGATATCTGCCACTGAAAAGAAAGAAAATCAATCTATAGATTAGATTTGGTTATTACATATGTATTTGATAAAAGGTTAAATTATTTATGACACAGGATCTATACTCTATATACCCAAGGAATTATAAAAGATGTGAAAAGGCGACTCTTGGATTCTTGTGAAATACTCAAAGAGTTAAAGAGTGTGTGAAATAATGGTACGCTATATGTTTCTTTTGAAAAAAAAACATGATAAAAAAATTGTACAAGTCTGTTGATATGTGGGATAAGTATATCTGAATGAACACAATTTTATGCAATGATATATAATCATGTACATGCAACTGACGTCCGTACTCTTCCTTGTATTTCATAAAATTATCTAATTCCTTTGAAGCCCCCCCCCCCCCCCCCGTCTTGAATTTGAATTATATATTCGTTTTAGATTTAAATCTGGAACATGTGAATAACATTACCATTTACATGTATACAGAATTTCATATTTTATAATTATGAAATGTTCAATTTACATGTCTGAGAAAGAGAGAGAGATAGAGAGGAGAGATTCCCTCTTAATCCCGATCCAGACCAAAAATTAGTTCTTTATCGGTCACACCCATTCTTTATTAGATGTTTTCTGATTTCATAGTCAGTCATGGTCACATCCTGTATATTTTTCAGCTTAAAAAGTATCACACGAAGTGCACGTGTGTTGACCTGTCAATCAAAATCACTTGACGCTGTATGCACTGCAATTAAGTAGCCTGAGTTCGAAATGATCTTGAAGTATGATCTTTAAGTAAATCTGCTGCAACAAACTTGTGAAAAAAATAGAATAAAATAAAAAATAAAATATCTCGGTATTATGAACTTCGATTGTGGGACGTGGAGACCGGTCCTTTGGATGAGATCGTATAAATCGAGGTCCCTTGTCGCAGAAGATGCTGGCATAAAAAAGATTCTCCACTGCTCAATTGCGATAAATGCCAAAGTATAGGACAAAAATTTACAGTCTCCACCGGCGAGTGGTGGCGTCTCCATGTGAGTGAAAAATTCTGGAGAGGGACGTTAAACAACATACGTATAATCAATCAATCAATCAATCGATTGCTGAAGAATTACTGTTGAATAATCTGTCTTATAGGTATGTTGTCAAATCTTGATATTATAACTTTACAAAACTCAGTGACTTTACGTTTAATGTGATACTAACTTAATTCATTATATTTTTTTATAACACCATCACAATTATGCCAAAACATACACACAGTGAAGTTTATGATAGTACGGTGTTCGTTCGTCTGTTTGTTTGTCTTAGAAATGATTGCAAACATTTTTTTTTTTAAATTGCTAATGATATACGTATATCTCTCATAGGTGCCAAATGTATTATACAAGATTGATAATGAAAATCAAAGTACCTTAAGTACTGAAAGGACTTTTTTCCAGTTATTTTTTCTTTCACAGTAAATATGATATGTATGTTTTTTACACAGAAAAAAGCAAATTCTTACAGATTTAGAAGAACGGAAGACTTTTTTGTTGCCATGGCAACAAGAGTCTAGTTATTATTATTATTCTTTTTTCTTCTTATTTCTTCTCCGGTACTTTTTTGTCCGCGAGTGTTCTCGGAAACTGCTCAACCAATTGAGTTAAAACCTTTTTAGGGTTAATAGGCATGTTATGTAGATTTGCGGAACAAAGGTCATTTTGCGCGCACGTGCATGCACGTGCGTGCGCGTGCAATGGGTAAAATGACCAATATACTTGATATAGCTGTAATTTTTATATTTTTTGGTGAAATGCTTTGATACTCAGAATATAAGGATATATTAAAAGTGTGAACAAGATAACATGGTCAACATGCACATGCATGCGCGTGCGCGCACGCGCAAAGCGTAAAAAGACCAATTTACTTGATAATATCGTAACTTTTATACTTTTTGATGAAATGCTTTGATACTCAAAATATTTATATATATATAGAAAGAGTAGACAAGATGACATGGTCATCATGCACATGCATGCATATGCATGCACGTGCGCGCGTGTGCAATGTGTTAAATGACTAATATAATTAATATAGCCGTAATTTTTATATTTTTTGATGAAAAGCTTTGATATTAAGAATATATATATATATTAAAAGTGTAGACAAGATGATTTGGCCATGATGCACATGCATGCACATGCGCGCGTGTGCAATGTGTTAAATGACCAATATACTTAATATAGCCGTAACTTTTATATTTTTTGATGAAAAGCTTTGATACTATGAATTAACAGACATATTATAAGTGTACACAAAATGGCATGGTCATTATGAACATGCATGCATGTGCGCGTGCGCGCAATGCTAAGATGACCAATATGCTTGATTTAGCCGGAACTTATATATTTTTTGATGAAATGTTTTGATACTGAGAATATAAAGATGCATATATAGTATAGACGGGATGACTTGGTCATTCTGCACATGCATGCACGTGCGCGCGCGTGAAATGCAAAAAATGACCAATATACTTCATTGCTTATTTAATGAAGCTTACAGGAAAAAAGTCACCAAAAGGGAGTTGGGGAGCGTTTGGGGAACATCTGTAACGGTCCCCGTTACAATTATAACTAGTTCTTATTATTATTATTCTTTTTTTCTACTTTCTTCTCCGGTACTTTTTTGTCCGGGAGTGTTCTCATAGAACCACTCATCCGATTGACATGAAACCTTTTTAGGGTTAATAGGCATGTTGTGTAGGTGTTCGGAACGAAGGTCATTTTGCGCGCACATGCATGCACGTGCGCGCGCGTGCAATGAGTGAAATGACTGATATACTTGATGAAGCCGTAACTTTTATATTTCTTGATGAATTGCTTTGAAACTCAAAATATAAAGATATATTAGTAGTCTAGACAAGATGACATGGTCAAATTAGCGTGAACTCACGCGCATGCACGTGCGCTCTTCTCTGATTGGCTGATACAAAAATCTCAATAATTTCCTTGTTTTTTGGCAAAATACTTTGAAATTTAGAATATAAGTATATATTATAAGGTGCTACAACATGTTATATAGGAAATTTCTTGAAAACATGTGCATGCAGTTGTGCTGCAATCTGATTAGTTGAAACTTTAAATGTCTATAACTCCCTTGGTTTTCAACAAAACAGGATGAAATTTACGACATGGATAGGCACATAGAGCTCCTACATCACGATACTATCAAAATTGAATGCAAGGCCATGCATGCGCGTATGCTGAATTCTGATTGGCTAATACTTAAATGGTCACATCTCTCTTATTTATCAATGAAATTCTTTAATATTTAAAACAAATGTATGTATTGTGAGACACTATAAGAAAATAAATGTGAAAAATGTAGAAAACATGTGCAAGCACATGCACTGAAATTTGATTGGCTAATATCCATATGGCTATATCGGAGTAGTTTTCCAATAAAATACCCTTAAAAATAAAGTGTCCATCTATATTACAAAAGTATTATCTAATTTATTGAAGCTTGTAGGGAATGGGGCATCATAAGGGATTGGGGATCCGTTTGGGGAACATCTGTAACGGTTCCCGTTACAATTAGCACTAGTTATGTATTATTTTATTTTATTTAAAAGTCGTCGTCGGTGCGCTGATCATCTCCATAATTTTTTTGGTCAATTTCATATATATATATATATGTATATTTATAGTTTAGCTCATGACATGTCACGAAATTGCCTAAATCTTGATCACCAAAAATAAAATACGCAGACGATATACAGAACTGGATAGACCTACCTAAAGAACAAACTACTCCAGCATCCTCTGAATGTCCACAATTATGTTCACCCATCCTCGACTTGTTACAATGAAATAAATCTCTTTCATCTCCTTGGCATTTAACATCATCTGTCCAAATCCTCATCTGGCTATTACCTTGTCCAAAGTATGCTGATGTTTTTGCTGTGGCGGTTTTCCTGCAAATTCATCACGCAATCATATTTATATTTTTAATTAAAGAAAGGTCTAAAGTTTGGTAAATACAGAAAGTAAAATTTAGTCAATTATGGGCCAATATAAATATAACGACACAAAGATGTCTCAAACACATTACGTGGTGCTTATTCTTAGTTTCATATTTTTTAAATGTAGTTTCTACTTTAAATCCACTCATTACTTTCAAATGAAAGTATGATAAACAACAGCACACTTTTGGACTTAGCAACGACACGTAGCAGCTTTATTATATTGTACAAATATAATAATGAAAATCACATCATTATACATTATAAAGTTAAATAAAAATATAAATAAAAATTTTATCATGCTCTATGTGTCGTCCAATACTAGTATTTAAACATCTATTCACTTCTTATACTGTATAGCCTTGCTAACAAAACCGGTTCTAAAGAACCAAGTTTAATTATAAGTAAGTAAGTAATTATAGTTTAATTTTTGAAGTCCAATTTGTTCTGTTATTTTGATCCCGGTCCCAGACCTCAGATGGTCGTTTTATAGTGTCCACAAGATGATTTCAGAATTAATCTGATGTCGATAGTATGATGGCATCCAACCACATTTTTCTTGGATTGCAATCAATGGCGTGAATAGGTGTATTCCTAAAAAAACACCGCAAGGCGCGGGACTGCACCATCTCTGCACAGTAATAATTTGTAGTTCACCAAACTCGGCTGTAGTAATCTAGAATAGGAGGAACACAGTTGAGGTATAGCTTTTCGACAAGATCCGATACCTGTGAAAGTATTTCAATGTTCTACCTATTAAATCGGAAATAGACGTCCGTAAACTGCTTCTTCTCGGGCGACTTTGTCGCATGGATCATCGCTCTCTCCCAAAGAAGATCTTCCTGACACGTTTATATTCATTCTTGGAGGACATTTCCAGCAAACAACATGGATTCAAACCTGATGCTATCAAAATTCTATCTACTTATAATCTTACTGAATACCTGCAAAACTGGCTTATAAATGGGTTATGTCCAACAAAACAGTTCTGGAGAAAGATTGTGAGGTCTTCAATGTCTAAGCAACATAAATCACAGCGAAACAATAGAATGTTAAACGACAGTGATTTCCACCGTTTCCTGTCTATAACCCAAAATCAGAACCCCTGTTTCGTATGGTCAGTTCCTTCGAACTCGTATGAAATCCTGTTATGTAAATTTATTTGTAAACTCATAGCAAGTCCTCCTGAACAGATTCCAGACATCTGCAGATTCTGTGGCAAAATCTTTCTAGATATATTTATGCACATCACCTGTTCTTGCTCGCTGACATCGGATTTACGTAATTGCTGGTGGGATGACATTTCGAGGTCCACCTCTCTACAGAAATTTGTGCATTGAGAGATGACGAGATATTTCTTTTTCTTCTTGGACGTAATTCTGTTCATTCACTATTTGGAAAAGATCTTCGGCAGCTTAATGTGTCCAACTTTCGATACATAAGAAATGTTTTCACCGAGCCCTCCAATTCCAATAGTAAATTTGCCAACCGACTTACACTCACAATTTGCAGTGACCTTTAATTTACAAATTTGTGAATATATCAATACTATTTATTTATTATTTGACTAATTTATTTATCTTCTTATTTCCCTTTCACCTTGCTCGTTTAGCCGTTGATTGCATGTTATTTTGTTGTTTGTATCTATATTTACTATGTGTTTATTCTTGATTGTATATATGTACCTTTATGTCTTCATATAATCCTCTAATGAGGGAAAAAAAGTATGAATGAATGAATAAATGAACCAAACTCCGCTGTAGTAATCTAGAATAGGAGCAACACAGTTGAGGTATAGCTTTTCGAATGTTTCAAATCCGACCATTTTAAGGGAGTGTATTTTAGATATCATAGATCCAAGAGTTCGTCCTCCAGATTTTCCTAAATTTCCCACATTTCTTTTAAAATCCATAATCTTATCAAAGATTACAGCTAAATACTCGTAGAAAGGTTCATAAGTTTTTTTTTCCCGAAAGTGAACAATTTTGGATTTATTTGGATTAATCCGAAGACGCCAAATTTTTACCATGAGTCCACAACATTGAGCACGTCCTGTGTGTTCTTTTCAATCGGAGAAATGATTGCGATATCTCCCGCATACAACAGAATACACATGTACTTAAATTGTACTTAAATTGAAATTTTCTTCAATCTGTACTCCTTAATTTAATGCTTTGATGGTCGTAGCGAGATCATTGATGAAAAACGCAAGTTGCGTGGGCGACAAATTATCTCCCTGTCGAACTCCCGAGGAGCACTCGAACCACCCTGTGTAGCGGTCTCCTATCCGGATACAAGATTCAGTGTTAAGATAGAGAGATTTTATTGCATGATAGAAGTTTCTATTGATACCATTTTTCAACAGACTATATTGTAGTAATTCTCTGCCAATCGTATCAAACGCTTTTTGCAAGTACATGAATGTAACAAATGTAGATTCATTATTTTCAGTTACACTGTTTAGAGTAAATATATCATCAATACAGGATCTGTCTTTTCGAAACACATTTTGTTCATCCACCAAGAAATCATTTTCCTCCAAATAAGTTGTTATTAAGTACGGAACTGAATGTTTTACCTGATAAGATAAGAGACTGATTTCTGATAAGCGACTGATAAATCAAAGGAATTTTTAGAAATTTTAACATTACTTTAAATTGGTCATAACTTTTGAATGAGAAAATATAGAGCTTTTATTATACATGTATAATACCCGTGACAAGACATTTCCAAATATACTATGATTTTTTACCCAATGACCTTGACCTTGAAGTTTATTTACTTAAAAAAATATCTTTGCTTATAACTTTTGATTGAGAAGAGCTTTCAAATTTGACATATGCATTACCTGTAACAAGACCTTTCAAAATATACTGTGATTTTGACCCCGTGACCTTGATCTTGAAGTTTCATCTACTTTTCAAAATTTTTATCTTTGCTTATAACTTTTGATTGAGAATAGATAGGGCTTTCATATTTGACACGTGCAATACCCGTGACAAGATGTTTCCGAGCATGCTATGTTTTGACCCCTTGACATTGACCTTAATGTTTGACCTAATTTTCAAAAATTTAACTTTGATGATTACTTTTGAATGATATATGATAGGGCGTTCATATTTGAGAAGTTTGACACATTAACTGTGTCAAAATGTTTCCAAATGTGCTGTGATATTTGACCCCGTGACCTTCAAGTTTGACTTAATTTTCAACATTTTATCAGTGTTGCTAACTTTTGAAGGAGAGAAGATAGGGCATTCATAATTGACACGTGCATTACCTGTAACAAGCATCTCAAAATGTACTAAGATTTTTAACTCCATGACCTTGAAGTTTGACCTTATTTAAAAAACAATTAAACATTGCTGACAACTTTTGATTGAGAGAAGATATGGCATTTACATTTAACATGTGCATTACCTGTTTCAAGACCTTTCCGATTGTATACTTAGGTTTTGATATTTTTATGCCCCCGTATCGAAAGATCCCGGGGGTATATTGTTTTTGTCCTGTCCGTCTGTTTGTCTGTTGTCAACTTTAACCTTGCCCAAAACTTTTGATTGGTTGGAGCTATGACTTTCATATTTCACAGGTGTATTCCTTGTGACAAAACCTTTCTTTGGGTACCATCATATTTGACCTTATGAACTTGACCTTGAAGTTTGACCCACTTTTGCAAAATTTTATGACACTTTAACCTTGTCCATAGCTTCTGAAAGTTGGTGTTTGGCGTTTCAAACTTCACATATGCATTCTTTGTGACAAGACCTTCCTTTGGATACCAACAACTTTGACCTTTTGACCTTGACCTTGGAGTTTGACCTACTTTTGAAAAACTTTAACCTTGGCCATAACTTTTGATCAGTTGGTGCTTGGGGTTTCAAACTTAATATGTGACAAGACCTTTCTCTGGATATCAACCTCTTTGACCCTTTGACCTTGACGTAGGAGTTTGACCTACTTTGGAAAACTTTAACCTTGGCCATAACTTTTAAATGGTTGGAGCTAGGGCTTTCATCTTCACATATGTAATCCTTGTGACAAGTCCTTCCTTTGGATACCAACCATTTTGACCTTTTGACCTTGACCTAGGAGTTTGACCTACTTTTGAAAAACTTTAACCTTGGCCATAACTTTTGAATGGTTGGTGCTAGGGCTTTCATACTTCACATATGTTATCCTTGTGACAAGACCTTCCTTTGGATACCAACAACTTTGACCTTGACGTTTTACTTACTTTTAAAAAACTTTAACCTTCGCCATAACTTTTGAACAGTTGCAGCTAGGACTTTCAAATTTTCAGGTATATTCCTCGAGACAAGACCTTTCTTTGGGTACCAACATATTTTATCTTTTGGCCTGGATTTTGACTTGCATTTGAGAAACTTTAACCTTTGCCATAAGCTGCCAAACGGGGGCATCAGTGTTTCACAAACACATCTTGTTTTACATGTACATTACTTGTGACAAGACCTTTCCGATTGTATTATGATATTTGACCTCATGACCTTCATCTTGAAGTTTGATATAGTTTTGAGAAGTCATAATTTTTGCCATAACTTGTATTAATTCAATAATTGATGTCTTTTTAGCTCTAATGGTCAGAGACCAGAAGAGCTTATGCGATAGTAAGGTGTCCGGCGTCCGTCCGTCTGTCTGTCTGTAAACAATTTTCAAAATGCCACTCCTCCTACAGTTTTGGTCTGATTTCAATATAACTTGGCATAAAAGTAGACTACACTAAGATACATAATTTAGTACATCGGTTTTTGATTTCGATGAACGGTGTTGCCATGGTTACTAAAAATAGAAATTTCTGTAAAATTCCTTTAAAACGCTACTCCTCCTACAGTTTTGGTCTGATTTGAATATAACTTGGCACACAAGTAGACTACACTAAGATACATATTTTAGTCCATCGGTTTTTAATTTCGATGAACGGCGTTGCCATGGGTACTAAAAATAGAAATTTCTGTAAAATTCCTTTAAAACATTACTCCTGCTACAGTTTTCGTCTGATTTCAATCTAATTGGCACACAATTAGACTTCGCTACGTTACATAATAATGTATATCGGTTTTTGATTTCAGTGAATGGTGTTGCTATGGTTACTTAAAATACAAAATTTCTGTGAAATACTTTCAAAAATGCTACTCCTCTTACAGTTTTTGTTTGATTTCAATATAACTTGGCCAAAAGTACACTACATTAAGATACATAATTCTTAATGTTTGCTGCATGTTACAAAGTTTCAAATCCAAGTGCTACTTTTCCTTTGTTATACTTACAGACCAGTAGAGCTACAGTCTCATCAGAGACTTCTGGTTTGTATATTGCACAGAAAAACATGTCACACAAACAAGACACTTACAATATGCCATAAATAATGACATCCCATCCACTAAGATACCGAAAGCTGGGACCACAATTCTTTGAATTTGCTTGTTTGCTTTATAGACGACTTTTCGAATTTCCTCTTCGTTTATTTTCTATGTTCAGAAAAGTATTTGGCACATGCAGATGATCAAGCATCATACGTTCCAAGTGTAATTTTTGATTGATAGCCTTTTTTTTAAATTGTGGTGTCAAAGTCTTGATTAGAGTCGGGATTAAATAATTTTTGAAATTCATTATACCACCTTTGTTTTAGTAATTTTTTTTTTTAATAAAAAGGTATTCGAATGAAAACCTTCCAATTTCAATCACGTAATTCATAATAATACCAAGTAAAAATTGATTTCGGTCTAATTCGTTCCTCAAACGAAATGAATAATATTTCTTTTTACCTTACGTAGGAACTATTTGCACTTGTGTTGTGTGTACATAAAACACATCCTACTAAAAATCACTCTGGTAAAACAAAATGGCTTAAAAACATATTTTAAAATTCAATTACCATAAGTCACACAGATTTGCAAATTTACATAACACGCTGGTGTGCATTATTCAATTTGTATGCACATATTCTGCATATTAGTAAATTCTTTTATAGTTTGGTTTGCCATAAAACAGTAAATGATAAAGATTATTATATATTTTATTTACATTGTATTTTAAAGGCCTCACCTTGAAAATCCCAGCATAAAGCAGACGACTGCTGCATCGTTATTATCCCAGGAGTCATCGCACACAGTTCCCCATTCACCTTTATAAAAAATCTCCACCCGACCCTCCAAAGAACTAGATCCGCTCACAAGCCTGATATCTGTTCCTTCTATTTGAATGAATGTTACAATCATTCTGATATTGAAGGGATACAAATCAAGATTTTAATTTCATGAAATATTTTATTAAATTATCTTATAAGCATTATTCTAAAAATTGTTATAGTTTTCCAAGATACTAACGTCATATACTTTTAAAGTACAATGTATATGACGTTAGTATCTTGGAAAGTTTGCATCTTATATTAAAATACAAACACACATTGGCTTTTAAACATAGTTCGATGATGATTTTTTTTCGCAACACTTTCTGCTTTGAATAAGTTAAACTAGTGTTTTGCACAGAAGCAAATTTGAAGATTACTGGAATTTAACTTTAAAAAAATTGCTACCATTTCGTTCAGGGATCCACCATTTTATTTTTTTTTTCGTTGCTTGTCGTCAGAAACATAATGACGTACATGTAGCACAAATTTTGAATCAAATTTGAAAACTTTCGTTTGCCTAACAGAAATAGCCAAAAATATCATTGTTAAAAATTTTCAGGTTTTAAATAATCTTTGTTATGCTTCTTTGTTTCAAGTTGTGTGCATCCAATCAAAATGGTTTTGGAAATAACACTTTAATGTTTTAAGATATTTTCTTTCAAGACAAGTCAAAATTTATTTATACCATCAAAAATGATGTGAAAGCACTCAGTTGAGGCAGACTGTAGTAAATGTTAAATAATAATTATAAGAGCTTTTTCACGATGAGCTTAATACACACAAACTAACCAGAAAGTGTTTGGCAGACGACACCGGCATCTTCTCCATGTACACAGTTATGGGTGCCACGGCTGTTTTGGGGGCATTGAAACAAATCGGTATCCGAATCCGTACAACGCAGCTCATCCATCCAAATCTGCCCAGATCCTTCTCCAAAAAAGGCTGACCCCTTAGCTTTGGCATTTATCCTTTATAATCAATAAATAACATCATATATTCATTTTCAAAATAACAAAATATTAGAATTGTCCTTGTGAGACTCCCCACAGGGAAACTAAAAAAGGGCACACATAAAATAATATCTCAATAAAACCATCTTGCTAAATATTGTAGTGCAAATTACAATGGCTTAATTAAATCTTCTTGAAATGTAACTGGTTCAATGATGTAACACCTCTGGCTGTGAGAAACTTTTATTTTGAGCATGAAAGAGTTTTATAGCATAAAAATTAATGGCAAAAAGAAAATTTAACTTCTGAGTCCTGTGACCTTGACCCTATACAAACAAGAATGGCTAAGAACCAAGTAAGACCTTCACACAATCTTTAGGCCGAGTATGACCTTTTTATGCCTCTCCAATACATAGTTTTGTCTTTTTATATTTATACATTGCAATAATTTGATACTTCTAAACTTTTTTACCTTGTTTCTATCCCATGATCATAATCAACCCTAGGCAAAAGAATTACATTTCAAAATGACGCTAGGCACAAAAAATTTACTTTGCTTTTCTCACCCTTGTGACCTTGACGTCCAAATTACATTTGGTTGCGATCGAGTCACGAGCAAACTTTGTCTCAAGCAGAAGCTTCTAATTTTTCGGCTAGAATAATAATTTTATAATTTGTATCCTTGTACTTTGAACTAGGTCAAAACACCTCGGGTCACAAGCTAACTTAATATCTGCAGTTTCTCAGTTTCAAAATTATATTCCGCGCTGACAATAATTTCAATCTCCTTATTCCTTTTACAGAATTTAAAGCTGTATCATATTCACAGTGAAAGCTTTAAAAAGGTGTTATTTCTTATTTTGACAATTAAACTTAAAATACTAAGAGACCGTGTTAATATGGTATGAATTATTTCTACATTTTTTTTTGGGGGGGGGGGGTCAAATTTTTTCATAGACAATCCCCACGCAAAAGATTTCTACTGACAGCTAAACGAACCTTGGTGATTCATGTTTACTCCCTCCAATCTTTGTTTATAGGGATACAGAAAAAAAATAATTTTCATAAATATGAATAGTATATGAAATATAAATATTTTGAATATTCTACAATATTTTAGCTACCTGCTGAATCCGAGCATATGACAGACAACTGCAGCATCTTTGTCATCAAAGTTGTCATCGCATACCGTTCCCCAATAACCATTATAAAAAACTTCCACTCGACCCTCCATAGCAGAGGTTCCGCCTATTAATCTAATATTTGGTGACTGGGCTGAAAGACATAAAATTAATAATCAGCCGAAACTTATTTATTTCAATATCAAGTTACAATATGTCCATAAAGATGTAAATATATGAATCTGCCTTTGGTACATTCCTCTTTAAAGTAACATTTTCATATACATGTATATTTAGTTAAGTATTTTTTTTCAAAGACAACAGCATCTTTTTAATAACCCGTAAGATTATTTAATGTTCTATTTGGACCCTACTAGAACTGTTTTTGTTCACAAAAAACATCCTCAATTGGGGTTCATCTAAAGTTCATCATAATATATAAAATCGTATCAGAAAAAAATCAAAATATCCTTCGTTGTAATCTAATACTATACTAAATCATTTCATGCCAGCGAAGGTGACACTTGATTGTATTCAGGGATTCTCCACTGAATATATGTATATAACTATAAAACTTGATCTCGAATTTTTATTCCTTTTTCATACATTATCAATGGATTCTATGTTCTGTTAGTGTTAACTTTGATAAAGAACACAGAGGACATTTTTGTTTGAGTGAGACTTTCATCATAAAAAAGTTAAGTATATGTTTGAAAAGTACTGGGCTAGATTTGCAAAATTCCTGTTAGCTCTTTTGACAGACACTGAATCAAGTTCGAAGATTCGAGTTTGGAATTCGTAGATATGGATCATGATCAAGAAAATGCAAGTTTTTCGCAAACTAACATTTCCAAAGTTTCTAGTTTTATGACAACACAGGAATTGACAACTCAACGGCAAACAACGAACATCTCTTGTTCTTGGAAACTTCCAGATGTGGAATGGTTCAAAGTTCTTCTGTTAACAGTGGGATTTATCGGGAATGGATTAGCTTTTTGCGTCATCAGTAATAACAAAAAGCTGCATAGCAGGAGTTTTGCCATAATTGCTATTCTAGCACTCTCGGATGGTATCTATTGTTTGGGTGGTGTTCTGTGGGGATTACTTTACTATGCATATATGGATCCGAGCAATTTTCGTAACCTTCAAAACTGTGTAGGTGATTTCTCCAATACATATATCAAAAACTTCATAGCATGTGTGATGTCTGCTACATACATTGCCTCCGGTTTCTTTATTGCAACCTTGTCTGTATTTCGCTTCATATTCATCGTCTGTCCTTCAAAGTCCGACAAGATCCTTAAAAAAGTCTCAGTCATTTTTACGATTATCGCAGTGTATACCCTCTCCATTGTAACTGCAATCTTAAAGACATATTATTCAGATAAGCATCATAGGAAACGCAACAAAATTCTAGATTTCGTCCTCTCCTACTTCATACCACTGATGATAATGACAGTATTCCATGTAATAAAAATCTCCATTGTCAAAAGAAAGAAAATTGAACAGTTGAACCCCTCGCTCAGTAAACTGGACCAGATTTGCCTGGCTATTATTTTAACATTCTTCATCCTTCCCCTTCCATGGCATGTGTTGGCACTGCTTTACGAGTTTGATGCATATGATCCAGCTTACATGGCAGTTACTATAAGTGCCTTTTTGTTGCAGTTAAACAACTGTATCAATCCTATATTTTACGTTTTCTTGTCGCGGCGTGTACGACAGACCATCTCCAGTTGTTTTTGTAGAAGATTAAGATTGTCCTCTCCAGCAGAGCCCACAGAACTGACCTCAGCATAACATTACATACCTTAAAGGATCTGACCCTGACTCTTAGTTCTATACGTTTTATACGTTCAGTAGGTTTTATAAAAATTGTCACCTGCATTGGATTCTTAGAACGTATTTATGAAGACAATGAAAGCATCGTAAATGAAATGCCTTGGATTAGTGTAAAAAGAACTTTCTGTTGTTTACATTAGTTGTAGTTCTTGCTGACGATGTAGTAAAGAAAGAGTTTATTTTAGTATTGTGCTGCACATGTAAAAATATATCTTGAAAACATTGTTTTCGGTTATGTCATTAAAGGAGACAATCCACAGAGAGGTTAATTACAATGAAAAAAATTGAAACATTTACAATCGGTTTATATTTTTAATTCCTGAAATTCCAGTGCATGCTGTCCCCAAACACACTTATACTGGGTACTTAAAATGTTTCTTGATTCAGGCTTCCTGAGTGTGACTTTTCGAGACATTTTATCTGGGCTTCTTGCATCCACAATTGTTACAGTACTTATGCCCCATTGAGACACATAAACTATTAAGATGAAATTCTTGAATCGTGATACAAACAAGGTCGCAAATATTAAGAAACTATGTTCTCAGAAAGGAAGTGTCTTCCCACAAATTTTTATTAAAATGTAATGCCTATTTTAGTCATTAGGGAAGACAGAAGGTTGTTGAAAATCTGTAACATTCGAATGACTATAATGATTCATTCTTCATAAAAGTCAATAGTATTTTTTACCGATATAAAAAAAAATAGTCCTTGTCTCGTCAGTACAATTCTGATTCACTTGCAGCAGATAAAGGTCATAATCCGAAACCCAAAAGAAGTGTAGTCGTGGTATTCTTATAATGGTTAATCATGCCATTCTGAGCGAAGTCTCCATCCGACCAAAAAAAATCAAAACAATTAAGCGAGTTTATTGGTCTGCACAGACGACTGTAAAGGGTTAGGAGGCGGATGAAATATACAGGTTGGTAATAAAATATGTCTAGAATTAGGGAATGAAAGTTTGTTAATTGATTGACCAATGCTGGAAAGTGGAGAAATACATCCCCAACCGTGTGCGCAGAAAATCTTGCGCCGTAAATTGCACCATATTTGCATTTTCGGGATCTGTAGCGTTATGGTCAAAGACTAAAATATAAAACCATAACGCTACAGTTCTGCAGCTATTCCCATATTTTGGGGTTTAAAAATAACAAGATCGAATGTTTTGGTAAAATTTTTGGGATAAGAGATGAGTAAAACGTCTAAGTGCTTGTAGTTGACAATGGTTTTGGTACCTTAATGATTATACGTGCAATATTTGTTTTATTATACTGAATAGTACACATATTTCATTAAACCCTACAAGGAGTGATAATATTTATAATATCGCCCATTATCAAGTACTGTTATCTGTTGCTAGATAGTCACTTGGAGGGTTTAGTTTCTGTTCTCGCAGGGTAATATTACATATATATTTCTTTTTTGCGAACATCTGTTGACAGGCTATCAGATTCGACTAATTCACAATATAATAAAAGGTAACATGGCCGTAGGAACCGGGGGCACGGGGGGGGGGGGGGCGTGCCCCCCATTAATTTAAGAAAACATAGCTATGCTTGTGCCCCCTCAATAAAAACGTCTGATGACTTTTTTTTTTGCTTGTCAAGGAATTTTTGGTAGTTGATAGTGCCCCCTCAACTGAAAATGCATAGCTGTGCCTCCCCCCCCCCTCCCCAAACTGAAATCGCTTCCTACTGGCCTGGTAATATAACATGATAAAACAAGGTCTTTGTTAAATGAATAATTAGCGAGGGAGAATCATGTGCATTCTGTATTTGCATGTCAAATACACACATCTATTATCAAATGCCCGCTCTTTCAAAAAGGAAAGAAAACACTTTATCATTCTAATTTTTTTTCTTCTTTACGCATTTTTAATGATGCCTCAATACATGAAATGTAAGATGTGTTTGTCTATTGGCTAGTATGAATGTCAACAAGGATGTGAGATTACGTAATTACTTCTGGATTTCCAATGTAGATCAACTGTTTGTTCTTTTAGAAATGCACAAAGGCAAAACGGCTTCCCTAATGACTTTAATGATTTTTTTTATTTGTCCATTCAAATTGGAAAACCTTCCAACAAAGAAAAAAGGTGCAAAACAAACAAACAAAGACTTAACGGGAAGAATATTAAAATAAGTATTAGTGCTATGAGGAATGTCAAAATAGTATCCAGATGAACGGTCATCCTTCCTATATATATATACTTACACCAGCAATTTTTTCATGGAAGGTACATACATTGAAATTTGTTGTCTAGTACGTAAAACGCAATTAGAAATAGTTTTTTTTATTCCTTTTTGGTTTTAAACTAATTGGTTTTTGACTATTCAAAATGCAAACACAAATCAGGAAAATTACTCTAAAAGTAAAGCTTTATAGACATTACTTGTGTGTTCGAGATAATTTTAACGAGAGCGAAAAAAAAGGTTGTAATACTTACCATCGCAGATTATTATAGACGGTATGAATTTTAAGCCAATTGACCATAGAATACAAATGCATATATTCAACAAGGATAATTCCATTGCTCAGAATTGGTTCGCTACGCTGGCCTCATAAAACACCTACATGGAGAAAAATAAATTTATGCTGCAAGGAGAGAATAGAGGAAGTCAATACTTAAACCGGATCCCATGCTTGTGCTGGTACATGTATGGTGCAAATTCTATCTTCTGGAAGATAAATGTTTATGAGAAAACACTTGAATTCACACATAAGTGGGAAAGGGGGGGGTGTTAAATCTAAAATGTATTTGCGTCAAATGATAGTCTTTTTAAAATATGCTTTTTCTTTATTTTTCTTTATTTATTTCAAATGTGCAACTTATAAGATATGTCCTTTAAGGTTGGAATCTCAGATCCCATATATTCGTCAATTCGTTGTTTGCATGGCCTGAAATTCATACAAACCCGAAATTCATCCCAGGAAACTAAAACACGCTTCACACACTTTTAACGTTCTGGTGCAATGTAGTTGAAATTGCATTTGTGGTTTCTCAAAGCTTCGAACCAAGGTCATATTGTCAAAGATGGTGGTCAGTGAATCAGTTGAGTATAAAAATATTATTAGGTCCATATTTTTGTTCAAGCCCAAGAAGAAAATGACTTTATTCTTCCCAAGTTGTTGTTCTAACTTTAATGTTATGCCATAACTAAAAATCAGGGTCACATTTTAAGTCTTCTTGTAGCTAATAGAAAATTAGATAGCCTGTACAAGTAAATCTAAATCCTCAAGTAATCGATTCAGACGTTATACAATTATTGCTGGGGTTTTTAGGTCAGTACGATGATTTACCCACCTGAGGAGTACAATATTCACCGAGCCCGAAGAGCTAGGTGAATATTGTACTTCGAAGGTGGCTAAATCATCTTATTGACTGAAAATACAGTATTAATTCGTTCATTATACGATTCAATGATTAAATGATACAAACTCGTTAAGCAATCCATGCCATCTTACTTGTTTATATTTACTGAAGTCTTAGCCAAACGCAGTGAGAGAAATTTTATTAAAATAAACATAACAAAATTTTATCATATTCAAATATTTTTTTTTACCAAAATCGTACGACCTTTCAACACTTTATACAACCAATCTCCATGATGAATTAAAGTCCAGGGTTTTTGACATCATAGCTGCTTTTTTCAATAAAATGGAACTCGTAAATTTACTTACCTTGTCATTGGTCATTTGCAAAATTATTTTGTTAAAAAATTCCTTATTGGAGACACAAGTACTCTGAAGTTCATATTATAAAGATGCTTGAGCCTTTGATTGAGAATATCTATATGTATTTTTTGAAGATCAGGTCTTCCAACAATCTGTCGGATTTCCCCTGGGTACCAATTGCGCCCCATTATTAGCAGACCTATTATTTTACTCATATACAAAGCAGATTTGATTCAAAAAGTTATGCATGAGAAGAAGAAAACTTAAGCTTGCTGTGGCCTTCAACTCGACATTTAAATACATCGACAATGTACATGTATTATCAATCAACATTAGTTACTTCCATATGTCGACTCGATATATCTCAGTGAACTTGAAATAAAAAATACCACAGAGTCTGACATCTGTTTCATATTTGGATATTTTAGTAGAAAAAGACGTTAACGGTGTAGCCTAACAACAAAACTTTATGATAAACGTGATGACTTTAACTTTTCTTTCGTTAAATTTCCTTACTTATGCAGCAATATACCCTTATCATCTGCATATCTGGTTTATGTTTCCAAGTTAATTCGATACACAAGAACCTACGCTACGTACAAACAATTTCTAAAACGAGACACGCTATTGACAAACTAGCTGATGAAACAAGAATATCAATAGTCTCGTTTGAAGTCATCATTTTGCAAGTTCTATGGTCGATACAATGACCTTGTCAGCAAAAACAGTCTATATATCATTGAGTCGAATGCTGACTGACCTTTTTCACTCTATTTGTTCGGCCACTTTTTAAACACTAAATTGTCTACGGATTTTTCCGTATGCCCGATCATGACAAGGAGTGACTGGTTTAATTAAAGAACTAGGGGAAGTAAAAGAAATGCTTACTCCTCTATGGCACCTGATCCCACTTCTGATGTTTTTAGAGGTCTGTGTTTACTCTGTTCCCGATTTGTATTGTTTCAATGGACTTTTGAGCTTGTTACCATTCGTTATCTCCATATTTCATTGTATTAAATTGAAATTTTTAAAATCTATTCTAGGTGCGATGTAGAAAAAAAATTAAATGTCAGGCAATAGGGTGGATTTTGAAGGGGGGGGGGGCATTGTAAGGAAAAAAAATGTCTTTAAAAAAATTAACGAGACCCCTCCCCCAAACGAGAAGAATTATCCAAACTCCAAATTTTATTTCGAGGTGGGGTGGATGGGGTGGGGCGAAGGTGTTAGGGTCCATTAGTGGGGGTTCTGGATGGGGTAGGCACAATGAACATTTTCTTACCTCATAAAAATTAAAGATTTACGGGTTCAGAAAAAAAAAGGCTACACTGCTTAGCCTTTAGTATAACCTTAAGTGACCCATATATAACTCTAAAATCAGATTTATCGTAAAAAACAAGCTAATTATCGTCCATATCTCTGAAATCATAAATGATGATCAGCACTTGCTTAGTCATGGAATCAAGTTTAAATACCAAAGGAAGTTAAATAGGCGTTGAGCTGGAAACTTCCTCAGCTACTATGAGAGTAATATGATTAAATAATTCAAACAATAATATATATCTTAATTCCTCAGAAATTAAAGACTAACATCATTGTACATGTACTAATGTTATACCTCAGTAAGTTTTTTTTCTGATTCATATCTTTAAAACCAGAAAAGAGAACAACTTCTGCTTTATAAAAATGATTGTGTGGTTTTTTTATTCGTTCTACAATTTTTGTTTATCGAGACTCGGATTAAAAGGTTGAATTTATGTATTGTGCAACTGTTTGAACTTTCTTTAAAAGAGCTTTGAACAGTCAAACAACTTAAAGTTTTCAGTCAAGTTTCTTTTATTCGTGTGTTTTGTTTTCTGCTAAAATGTATGAAATTTCGTAATTTTGTTCAATTATCCAAATTAAAATATTAATGCTTAATGTATAATTCTAGTAAAAGGTTCGAGATCAACCACCTTTAAAATGGATTTAATACCTACGGTATACCACCCTCCACATTGGGTCAGACTTTGACATCAGTATTCAGCTTCAAGTATCTATCATTAACTTGACTTGAGCAATGGGTCAAAGGGTTCAAGACTGTCATTAACAATAAGAGTTGGGTATACTTACTAGCTGTGTGTGTTTTTATCCGGGGGTTAACATTAATTGAACGGGATTTTTACATGTAGTACAGTTTGATATACTCTATATTAATAAAGAATCTCTTTCAAATATAGGCATACAATGTATATACACTGTAATTACGGAAAGAAGTGAACTAATGATGAAAATAATAAATGAATCAGAAATCTGTTAAAATATTTTAATTCTAAAGTATTTCCTGATCTTCCACCAGGAGAGGAATGTTAAGGTAGACCCCTCCCCGCTTTTTTTTTTTTTTTTTTTATACATGTTTACGACATGACTGGGCTTTGGCTATACACCCTTGTGTGCGATGAAAAGTCAGAAAGACCTCTAACGCGTGGTACAAAGTCTGACTCTCATAGTCTTGCGTTTAAAATATGAAACATTATGTATGTAATATGTAATATTATGTAATATTGTGATGTGTCTATTTAATTAAAGGACTAGGGAAAAAATACGTAATTAATTAACTAAATCCAAACAAATTATGTGCATATCTAAGGTCTATTCAATTTATAATCAGCTAATAATATATACCTTCACAGCTGTCGTCCGAGCAATTTTGTGTTTCCTCCCGATTTCCCGAGCAGTTTTTGCCTTGCCCTGGTTCTGAATCAGTACAAGTTCTGTGCCTTTTCCTAAACCCACTACAGAGCTGTGAACACTCACTCCATTCGCTCCACTCGCCAAAGTGACCATCAAATGGACATAAAAGTTTCACATTACAGTGAGCTTTTTCAAAGTTTTTTCCTTGACACGGGTTTTTGCGATCTGCACAGAATCTACTTCTTTGACGATGACCGCTTCCACACGTAACACTGCATGCCGACCACCCGGTCCAACCACTCCATTCTCCCTTCACGGGACAGTTAGCTTTTATACAAAGCACATTTTCCTTAAAAGCACCTGCACAGATCGGAGTGGTGTTATTGGTAACTGACTTCGTACATGTTCTTTTCCTTGATTTGGCTCCAATACAGGTTGTGTTTCTGCACCAAGACCATGGACATGGCCTGTTGCACTCGGACCACTCAGACCACTCAGACCACGAGCTAATATCACCATTTATAGAACCTAAATAAAAGAAAACATCATATTAATCATCTTTAATTGTCATTCCTTTTTGAAAGTATAAATGTGATTCAGAGAGAGAGAGAGAGAGAGAGAGAGAGAGAGAGAGAGAGAGAGATTTATATGACTTACCTTCACAACTCACCGGATAAGATGTAAAATTCATTGATATGATTATTATAATTAAGTAAATATCCAACACAGCCATTTATGGGTTACTGATAATCTTGTGTTCAGTGGTCCATAAAATAATTTGTGAGTAAAACGGAAGAGGGATTACTTAAATACAAACAGTTATCCTCTTATGTGGGCTGACTTCGGCGGATTAAGCTCATTACCCACATTTTCACTGATTCCTTGCACTGTAACAAAAAATATATTTTAAACGTGTTCAAATATATTTTTTCTGCTTATCATCATCAGATATCTGTCATTATTTAAAGCGTCATTTAATAGCATTGTCGTGATAAAGTTTACATTTTTTTGTATGATATACATTTTTTTTCTCTGTTCAAGGAATTTTCCGATAACAAAGAGCTTAAAAATCGGTAGCTCTCTGAGTGACCACTCACTTTAATTGTCCTTAAGTAGCTCTACTGCACTCACTGAAGAGTTCTTTTGTCATCGCATACGGATGTTCGATGTTTCTGTGTGTGGGTTTATTCTACTTGCTTCCTCAATTGGTCAGCTTGGAATGTTCCAGATATCTCTAATCAAACCCCACAGAATATATTCTACATTCGTCATTGCTGTGCATGGGACGGCCTTATATTTCGACTTTATTGCTGGTGTATTAAGGTTAAAATTGTTACAGGAACAGCCAGGGACTATACTTACTAGTAGAATTAGTTTAATTAATAATTATACGTCCAAGGCACAGCAAAGGCCATTTTCAAAAAAAAAAAATAAATAAAAAATGTCTTGTTTGCTCTCTCCCGACCGACCGACAAAAAATAGTTCGATCAAAAACTTTTTTAAACCTTCGGAAAACGATAATTTAAAAATTCATGTCGGAATTTTCTGAGCCCGTCGACAACTATTTAATTCAATCAATACCTCCAATTTCAAAACATTTTGTAAATTAATGAATAATATAAAAAAAAAAAATAAGCATCATGAAAATTTAAAGAAAAAAATTGCCTAGCTACATGCTAAGCCTACCATTCTTTTTATCCCTCGGGAGAGGGAAAGTAAACTTTTTTTAGGATGGCCATAGAAAAAAAAATTATTCTCATTGACTGCAAAATAATATTTAAAAAAATTTATGATGACCAGCCTGCATAAACTTTTCTATACTGAGGTAATTTAGTCCACGTGAAAAAAAAAAAAAAAAAAAAAAAAAAAAAAAACAAATATTGCGCAAAAAAGGGACAAAACCTGTATATTCTTCACATCCAATCTGCCCCGCTAACCCCCGCCACAATCATCTTATAAAACCAACCAAAACTGGAAATATATATAGATCCTCCTTGTAATCAGGACTGCAAATGAGGTTGATTTCCACAAGGACGGACCCAGGAATTTTTCAAGGGGGGGTGGGGGGGGGTCCACATCAACTCATGAGCAAATCCTTTTCAAATAAATTTGACAAGCAAAAAAAGAGGGGGGGGACTAACTAAAGGTGAAAACCTTATCACGTACCCCCCTCGGGGGGGAGGTGTGTTCCAAAGTCAAGTTTTGTTTACTTTACTACATATGCCTAAATTTAATAGCTCTGAAAATCCCAGTGGGTCTAAGGCAAAAAAAAAAAAAAAAAAAAAAATCGACAAGGAAAAAAAACATTTCAAAGATACCAGGGACGTATATACATGTGTACAAATACAAATGCAAATATTTATTGGCATAAACACAATTACAATAATTGGCAAAGGCACAACACATTATAAGAATCATCAATTATTCATACATAAATATACAATATTCTAGTATAGAATGTGAGGCTATAGATGTTTATAAATCATACCATCATTTGTACAATAATTATGTAATGCAATAATTTCTAGATACACGACATTTTTTAATAAGTGAGTGTGTTATTTTCAGTATTTCTGGACAATGGCTATTAAAACAAAGCTTAACTTTTTGAGTATAAGACATATTTGATATTTTTCCTTGAAAAAATTTCATCAAGTTCCTTTCAAAAGTTAACCTATGATTATTGTATTTATGGCAGCTGAATAGAAAATGAAATTCATCTTCAATCTCCCCTGTGTTGCAAATATTACAAAATCTTTCATCTGTGGGTATAGACAAACGTCTCCCTTTTTCTATGGCAAGGTTATGGGCACTAAGTCTCAACCTGCTAATAATTGATCTCCCTGTTTTCTTTTTTAATATATCAGTGTATACTTGGCGTTTGAAATTATTAAAAACAACTTGATAAAATTTTAGTTTTGATGAATTATGAATCTTTGCATATTCCTCTTGTAAGCATTGTTCTGATATTCTTTGTTTTATGTTTCTCAGAAGTGATTTTATTGAATTTTCTATTTTGGTAATGAATGAAAATCCTAACTTGTTGAAAATTAAAATAATATTTTTAGTCCATGAGTTTGTTTTGACTGTTGCTTTATAGATTTTAAATACTAAAGTATTTTTGGAAGTAATAAGATGGTTCCAAAATTTTATACTTGAAAAATGTATTCTTGTCCACAGGGGATGTCTACCTAAATCTGCTCTGCAGGGAGCATTAGTAGTTTTACAAAGTACTCCTAAAATTTCCTTAATAAACTTCATGTGAAATTTTTCAATTATAGAATTTTCACCAATGTTATTATAAATACCCCCAGTTCTCACAGGTTCCTGAAGATAGGCGCTAATTTTTATTTTTATTTATTTATTTATTTTTTTTTGTATTTATTTAATTAATTAATTTTTTTGTCATTTTACTTTAATAAAATCCCGGGGGTCCGGATCCCCCTCCTCCTTTTCACTGTGTCCGCTAATGATGCTTTTGAAATATATTTATATAACGTTAGTAGTCTCTAACTGTATCTCGGGCATGTCCTTGCCAAACCACAGGTACGAGAATTCTTAGATCCACCACCAAATGATGAACTCTTCTGCCTACTGAGGTAATTTAGTCCACGTGAAAAACATCAAAGATGGCGGTTCACGAATCGCTCCATCTGTAAGTGGGCGTTCATTTTTGTACCATGAGCTTCATTGTGACTTAAAATTGGTTTTACTAAGCGAATTTTATGAAATGGAATTACAAATTTGTTTTGGATCAATAGCTTTAGATTTAGTACCTTTCGATCACGCAGCTTGAATTCAATCTGGTCAAGAGGGCATCGATCACTGTCGATTTATTAGTCAATAGGCATTACTGATTAGAAAGCGACGTTAAATATATCTAAATCGAAAAAGTTTCATTACCAAAAAGTAGGCTTTACGAAAATGTTTTGAGAATAAGAAAGAATAAAACTACTTTTATTCATCATTTTACATGTAATGTTGTTTGGCTATCAGACAGGAAGAACACCTGTTGTGTTTTAGTTAGAATCAAAGCATTGAAACAATGCTGAAATCTAAGGCAGAAGCTTTATCTAACTGATTAACTCTATAACAGAGAAAAAAATAAGTCCCACTGAGTTGTAGCAAAATGGAGCAGATCGACTTTAGCTTAATTGTTTTAATCACTAAATCTAAAATACATATTTATGAAGTTGAAAATAACCACTAAATAATAATCTTCTTCCTTTAAAGTGAAGGGCCACAACTGCGGCACATTATCTCACTATGTTTTAAAAACGTGTGCGGGAGGGGGAGTCCACGCATCTATATACAATTTAAAAAACGGATAAAAACGTACTTCATTCCTTTAAGGTGCTTTATATCCCTGGATCCTGGTCTTAAAGGACTCCAGGGACATGGCCGTGATGGTGTCTTCGGGTAGCTGGTTCCATATCCTGATGGTAGTAGGAAAGAACGACTCCTTGTAGATGTTGGTACGGCAGAATGGGATCCTGTATCGGTGTTGGTGTCCCCTTGTGGTTGCTCCTGTTTGGCTGAATTGGGGAGGCAGGTCTATGGCAATAAGGGAATGGACAACACGGTACATCATGGTAGCCTTTGCTTTGATTCTACGTTGGTGTAAACTCTCCCATTCTAGCCTATCGATCATTCTCGTGACACTACTGGTGGTGTTGTAGTTATTAGTCACGAACCTAGCTGCCCTTCTTTGCACCGCTTCTAATTTATCAATGTTTTTCTTTGTATGAGGGTCCCAGACGGTGGATGCATATTCTACCTGGGGTCTTACTAAGGTCTTATAACATTTGTCCTTGATGTTCCTTGGACAGGACGAGAGGTTTCTCCGTAAGAAGGCGGTGGTGTTGTTTGCCTTCTTACAAACACTATCGATATGATGGTTCCACGATAGGTTGTTGGAGATGTTAATCCCTAGGTACTTGGCCTTGGTGGTAACGGCTAGCTCTTTCCCGTGGATATAATATGGGGTAGTGCGTTGCTTCCGTTTGGTGGTAATACGGATGACCTCACACTTGTCTGGGTTGAAATGCATAAGCCAGTCAGATTCCCATTTTTGGAGGTTGTCAAGGTCCATTTGGAGTTGTCTGGCATCGGCCTCTGTATTGATGACCCTGTACAGAAGGCAGTCGTCTGCAAATAGCCTGGCCTTTGATCTCACTCTGGAGGGTAAATCATTGATATATGCTAAGAAAAGCAGTGGGCCGAGGACCGTTCCTTGGGGCACTCCTGATGTAACAGGTGCGATTGGTGAGAAATGTCCCTCGACCAGTACTCTCTGAGTTCGGCCAGACAAGAAACTCCTGATCCAATTTAGTAGACTGCCACGTTAGCCATAGTGGTCTAGTTTGGCGAGCAGCCTCTCATGTGGGACCTTGTCAAATGCTTTGGAAAAGTCCAACAGCACTGCGTCAACCTGGGTGTTGTTTTCAATACTAATGGCGAGGTCCTGGATTGTTGTTATTAGTTGGGACTCACAGGATCGCTTCTTCCTAAACCCATGTTGGTAGTCGGTTAGGATGTTGTGACACTCAAAGAAATTCTTCAGGTGGCTGTGGATGATGTGCTCTATTACCTTACAACACACAGAGGTCAGGGACACTGGACGGTAGTTCGCAGGCTTGCTCTTGTCACCCTTCTTGAATATCGGCGAGACATTGGCTGTTTTCCAGTCTTCTGGTGTTTGACCTTGGTCAATGAATGCCTGGAAAATCTTGGTGAGTGCTGGTGTAACTGGATGAGCCATCTCTTTCAAAAATCTAGTGGAGATCTCATCTGGGCCAGACGCCTTGTTAGGGTTGAGACCTTGCAAGAGCTTCAGCATGCCCTTCTCCGTGACTCTGATATCAGGTGCCGATGGGGTGGTGCTAGTGCCTAGGGATGGGATGTCAGATGTATCCTCTGTGGTGAACACTGACGAAAATTGTTGGTTCAGGAGAGAAGCTTTTGTTTGTGGGTCTCCATGGAGATTTCCGTCAGAGTGAAGTGGAGCAATCCCAGCACTGTCACACTTCTTACTCTTGATGAAGGAGTAGAGTTTCTTGCTGTTGGAATCCTCCTGTACCATGTCAGATACGTGTCATAGGCACTCTTGCATTCCTGCTGGGTTGACTTCTGCAGGCGCCTGTATCTCTGTCTGTCCTTATCCCTGCCTGATTTTTTATATGTTTTGAAGGCTCTTCGCTTTTGTCTAGAAAGCTGCTTGATTTTCCTGTTGCACCATGGTTGGTTAAATCTACTTGAGGTCCATTTGGTTGGTAGATGCTTTCTGATGGTGTTGAGGCAGATGGTCTTGAAGGTGGTCCAAAGATCATTTATGGGTGTGTTATGTGTTGAGTTGTCAAGGAAGTGTGCCAAGTCATGGTCGGGACCCTCTGTCATCTTCGATGTATTGGCTTTCTTCCATAAATGGATGAGGCGTCTGACTGGTTTCTGTCTGGACGGCACTATGTTTGTATCAATCATGACCGTGTCATGGTCGCTTAGGCCCGGGCATGGTATGCACCTGTTTAGTAAGGAGGGGCGGTTCGTGATGAAAACATCTAGGGTGTTGGTACCTCTAGTAGGAAAGTCTACCACCTGCTCACCTCCAATGTCGAATATAGTGTTGATAAAAGTGGTGTTGATATGTGCTGGGTTATAATGGGAAGAGGTGCTGGAAGACTTCCAGTCGATGTCGGGCAGATTGGCATCGCCTCCAATCCACATGACTGAACCTTGATATCTCCTGGCAAGATTTCTGACAGCTAAACACAACTCCTCTATGTATTCTACCTTGCTGCTTGGTGGTCGATATAGCGAACCAACGATCAATGGATCTTTACTGTGCTTACAGGTGATCGCAGCTGCTGTAAATTCTGTGGTAGTGTCTGTATCAACTTGGACCCCAGCAATGTTGGATTTGGCGATGACTGCCACACCTCCATGTGGGTCGCCTAGTCGATCCTTCCTATCAAGGAACTGGTAGTTTTCTGGGAGGATTTCCTTTTCCGTGATTCCCTCATGTAACCAGGTCTCTGTGGCGATAATAATGTCAGGGTCAATATCCGACAGTAAGTTCCATAGAGACTCTCTTTTGGCTTTGATGCTTTGGAAGTTGACAATTATAACACGTAACTTTCTTTTGTCAAACTCATGTTTGATGGCTCTGTTAGAAGCTTGTGGTGACGACGTGTGTTGAGGTGGTCCTACTGTGTCAGGGTCAAAGTCAGACGCCATGGAAATATGTGATGAGTGCGATGGCGTGCCACAGCTATTTTCCATGCTGGTCAAATCAATATCCTCAAAGAGGCTAGTGTTGAAGTTTGGGAGCCCACACTGACAACAATACCAGCTTACGTCAGTCTTACCAAAAGCTTCATAAACACAGGTGTTCATATTTAAGCATTTCCTGTGGAACCATAATTCACAGTTGTTACATGCTATGGAATGAACCTCTCTTGGTTCATTATCATAAAACATTATTAAAAACTATTATTTCTGTATAACCTGGTTATCATAATCATAAAACATCTTTCTTTTTAGCTTGTATACATGGCTTCCACCGAAAGGAAAAAATCCCAACACATTTTAAAAAACTTCTATCAAACTCCAGATGGCCATTAAGAAGTTTCAGAATTGTTCGTATTATGCACATAGATTGGAGTTATCTGTCCCTGTTCATTTTTGCTACATCGTCGGCACATGAACAGTTTCTTAAGTTGTATATAATTTCACAATATTGTATAATAATTTAATTTTGTTTGTATTCTAGCCTCTGATTGGTTAATATCCAAAAAGGAACACAAATTATTTCTGTATAACCTGGTTTGGTATGGGGACACACCCCCCTGACAACCAGCTGAATCGTCTGTATCCATGCAATCCTCTCATTTCCAGTCCTCGGGTTTCATGGAAAATTCCAGATTTAATAAATGTACCTTTAACTTCAAACAGTAACTCGGATCTTACCACATGTAAACAAACAACAAGGCTGCTAGGCCTATGTATCACTTTTTACCTCCCCTCGCTTCCAATCACTTCCGTTACTACGGTTGTATTATTGAGCGGCAAATTTGAACTAATAAAAAGCAACGAAATTTTACACCCATAGTTCTTTAATGATTTTAAAATTAAATTATAAGGAATGACTCTAATTCTTGGCCAAATTATTCAAGTATAACCTGGATTGGGTCAGTGTACGCTGTTTTATAATCTGCGAAGCAGATTATAAAGCGTAAACTGACCCAAACCAGGTTATACTGGAATAATTTGGCCAAGAATTAGAGTCATTCCTAAATTAAACTTGTAATTGAGAGATGCAAATGCTGAATAATATCTCTCTGAAGCAAGTTTGTGTGTTACATGTCAATATTCTCTAGATCGAGTTAAAATGAAATTTATTAATAAAAGAAAATAAAATCATGAAATATTAATGGTTATAAACATGTAACGTTTTTAAGCTGTACTTCTGCAGTTCTGGTTCAGAGACGTAATGAATCTAGTATTAAGGGTGATTGAAGTATATTAGAGGACATCTTTAATGTATAGAATATAAAAGGGTTCAATACATTTCTCTTTCTGAGTAAAAGTACGGTATATGTATGCATCTTGCAAAGAACATTGACAAAAAAAAGTTCTTTGTTGTTGTTTTTTTTTCAGTCATGTGACCTCAGACAAATTTTATATTCAGCCCGTGGATTCTGGGATAGATGAATTATTGGTATTAGATAGAGTGTCACAAGAAATTAGTCTTCAGGGTAAAGTATATTGAATTGCATTATATCATGCACAATGTTGAATTTCACCACAGTGTGCAATAAAATTATTGAGTATTAATTGGAAAAGAATGTAATAAATCTTTCTTTGTCTCTTACAAGTATTCATTTTAAATGAATTTGAGGATTAGTAACAAATAAAGATAAATTTTCTGTTTGTTACAGCAAACAAAGGGCAGCTTCCAACTTCCAGTATAACCAAACCTATCTATGGCGTATTTGGGATTATTAGGCTCATAGCAGGTATTTTTTTTTAAAAAAATAATTTAAGTACAATGAATGTCAGTTTGCTGTATTTTGTAAGACTTGACAAATTTGCTGGAGAGACAATTGTTTTATCCTTTGATTGGACCTTATTGGAACTCGTAATGAGTTAAATGTTCTATGTCTATCATCACTATTGCTGAAAACCAAAATAACATGAAACTTGCATTTCTTAATTAGGACCTTACCTCATTGTTATCACGAAAAGGGAAAAGATTGGTGAGATAAATGGTCACACAGTGTGGAAGGTGGCTGGCACTGAGGTGTTATCCTTTAAAAGGACTCTGCTGCATCTAACAGAACAACAGGTGTGATATCAGATGATTAACTTAAAGAGCTAGGTTCACTTCATGCATAAAATGGCCCTGTCCATATACCAATGAATAGACCAAGACCCTTTGTCCCATTTCAAACATCAATATGAAGTAGAGATTTAGTGCTTTCATTTCTTATAACGATGTTTTTTTCTGAGAGTACAGGAATTAAAAAACAGGCTTTGTGAAATTTCATTTCTTGAATTTTGCAGAAATCAGGAGTTTTTGAGTACCTTCAGCAAAGAATTAAAATGAGAGTCCACCCCTTGATCCAAAAATTAAAACATGTTTTATATCCTTGAAAAACAGTTCTTTCATTATTTTATTCTGCATCCTTTAGATCAGAGGTTGGGACTTTATGCAGAATAGTGAAAAACAGCTTAAAATTTTGGCTGTTTTCAAGAAATTGTTAAGATATGAGAATAATGACACAATTTATGACATCATAATACATTGACTAGTAGTGCTGGGTATTGCGACTAAAAAATCGTATCTCGATATATTGGAATATCAAATTTTGTGTTGCAACATATCACAATTTTACATTCATATCTATTTTTGCTTTTTCTCATTTTTTATAAATAAGAAAGAAACAAACACAGATATCATATTTGTTCCTGTTTTGGCTCAAGTTGATATCAACATTGTCTGGCTTCACATGTGTCACAAGAATAAAAATAGTATTCAACAGTCTCATTGAGGTCTGTGTCATTTGCAGCGATTTCTTATTTGAACATATAGGCAAGTAACTATTTTTGTAACATTTTACAGAATATCGAACCTGAACTGGTATTCACAAAAAATACTGTGATACATATTATGAACAAAGAAATTCGGAATTCACCAGTTACTCAGTAATATCAAACAGCACTAATGACTAGTGAGAAAATCATGCATGCAGTCACCAAGGGTTCTGGTGATATTTAATGTACTCTCAACTAAAACTGATCAGTTTGATTTTTCAGAAATTCACAGGGCCAGATAGGCCCTAAGTGAACCTTGCTCTTTGCTAAAGAGTAAAGACTTAATATTTTGTGGAATAAATTCTCTGTTTCTGTCATTTCAAGTCAAATTAGGGACAAATAACTGCAGAAAGGTTTTAGCATCTGAACATTCAATTTGTTGAATTCACGTGGTTTATAAATCTTTGTTTTATCCCACTAGATGTGGTATTTAAATGATGAGCAATAATTAATAATTTTTAAGGAAAAATCTCTTTTTTAAAGATGTTTGATTTGATTCACAGAATGTACACAACAAGTCCTATTTGAACATGTTGGAGTATGCTCTGAGGATGGAGAGCTATTACTACTGCACCAACTTTGATCTGACTCACAGTCTCCAGAGGCTGTATAACACAAGCCCCGACTTCCACACAATGTCACTGGTAGAAAGGGTATGTAATAGACACTGTATAACACAAGCCCCGACTTCCACACCATGTTACTGGTAGAAAGGGAATGTAATATGTAACAAAGACTGTATAACGCAAGCCCCGACTTCCACACCATGTCACTGGTAGAAAGGGAATGTAATATGTAACAAAGACTGTATAACGCAAGCCCCGACTTCCACACCATGTTACTGGTAGAAAGGGTATGTAATATGTAACAGAGACTCTATAACACAAGCTCCAACTTCCACACCATGTCACTGGTAGAAAGCGTATGTAATACTGTAATATGGAAATTAATACATGTATTCCTACCTTTTTTTGGTTGTAAATTATATTTTTGGTTGCAGGACATTTGTGCTCACAAACATTATTCTCATAATGTTGTCTTTTTTTTATCGATCATCCTACTTGATTTAATTTAAGTCTTTTCAAATCTTGGGAAGGGTATTAAAATTTATACTGTATCAGCAAAACAGCTTTAGTTTAGTGTAAAAATGGACTCCCCCCCCCCCCCTAGTTCAATGTATAAACTAATACAGGGCAATTACTCCTTATATCCTAGTAAAAATTGTACATTACAATGGTCTCACACATTCCATAAACTTCCCGGTTAAATTACATCATATAATTTTATATGTCAGACCTGCATAGTTTGTGGGTTGTTTCATTGTGTGTATTTTAGGCTGATCCCAGATTTATGTGGAATGGACACCTGTTAAGAGAACTATCCCAGTTATCAGATATGGGACGCTATTGTTTACCTGTAGTGCATGGCTGTATCCTTTGTCTGAAAGAAATTTTACTCCAGTATTAATGGTTGTTACTGATAAATGAATTCTCTAAATCAATGTACATTAAATTTCAATTTTCTTACTTACATACTTACAGTGTACCAGTATTATATGAATAAGTTGTCAATTATTTTATTTTGCTTTGACTTGCATGTCAGTTTTATTAACACGTATAAAGAGTTATTTCCCCCTTAATTGCACTCAGTCATAGAATGTCAGTCATGTAGCATCAACAATAAGACGTTTGACTACATCCTGGTCTCCCGACGTTCTGTATACAGAGCTGGCACTCGGTTTTATGTCCGAGGTATTGACACAGAGGGACAGGTGGCCAACTTTGTGGAAACAGAACAAATAATACAATATGAAGGAAACAAGTGTTCATATGTTCAGGTTTGTTCATCCTTATTTCTATGTGAAAAGACATAAAGTCACATCTGTAAAAATTATTATAATCATAACTACAACATATTAAGAGAAAGTATAGGTCAGAGAGACGGAAATATTAAAATGACTGTACTTAGCATTAAGATGCTATCGTTAAATGCAATTTGGAGAAGAATAAATTTTCAGAATGTATCTGTAGAACTGTGCTGTTTGATACTACATGTACAATGTATATTTATGAAGAAATCTTTTTATTTCACAGATCCGAGGTTCCATTCCACTGTTTTGGACACAAAGACCTAATCTGCAATATAAACCCAAGTTCAAACTTAACACATCTAGTCATGTTTGTATAGAAAATTCACTTGAACTCTTTTATAAATTATTTTGGTGTATGTTAGATCAATTTAAATGAATAGGAGAATGTTTAGATTCCTCTAGAATATTTGACATATACTGTATTTCATGTTCAGTGTGTATTTCAGAAACATAGAATTCTTCTTTTTTTAATGTATATTGTATGTAAGGAATGAATTTAATAGCTACCCAAGTTATACTGTATAACCAGGGTTGGGACAGTTTACACTTTATAAACTGCAAAATTGTTCATAAAAAAGCGTAAACTGTTCCAACCCAGGTTATACCAGTATAACTTTGCTAGCTATTAAATTTATTCCTTATAATTCAATTTTCCATCATTAAGAGTAGAGAATAAGAAAATTCCTCCTTCAAAAATGCCTTCAAATTGAACATATTTTAAAAGTAATGTCAAGTGGATTGATAAGTTTTTGATGTAAGTCATTGTGATGTAGGCAACACAAGTTATACAATATAAACTAATTTTCTTATCCAATCAAATGACGCGTTAAAACCAAAATTAAATTATTTGCAGATAGAGGTCTTCCAAAGACATTTCGATGATTTAGTTTTTAACTATGGAGACCAAGTCTTAATAAATTTGGTAAGTTAATTTTGGCAATTTAATCAGAAATATTTGGTACTGTGTACATTAATGTAAAATGTGCTTGTTTTTCAGAAGTATTAAGTTGTACAGTTGTTGGTTAAATGAAGTTCCAATACCATTCTGTGATTGTTATAATCATTGCTATATAAGCTGATACAGTAGATTAAACTTTTAGGGTGTTTTTTCAGATAAACCACACTGGTGGGGAAGGACAGCTTGAGAAGGCCTTCTCTCAGTCAGTTACAAACACTCAAAACCCCAAAATCAGGTATTATAATATATGCTCCTCAATTCATACTTACAACAATATTGGGATTTTCCAACTTATGGAATGGGTTTTGCATTGGAATTTATAATGTTGAGTAGATAAGGTTTTTTGAATGATTTTGTTGTAGGTATGAGTATTTTGACTTTCACCATGAATGTCGAAAAATGAGATGGGACCGACTGTCCATTCTAACAGACAGGCTTGGAGAAGACATTAAAAGATTTGGGTATGTTGCTAGTTTAAGACATCTTTAAAAATATTTTTTCCTGTGAAATTTAATCATGTACAAGTGTATCAAAAAGTTTAACTTTGTTGTGCAGTTGTTTGATTTATTGGGTTAAGTAAAAATTTGAGGTATGTGTTCATGTTGTTGGAGCATGTACTTGTAGTATTCTCTTTAGAGAGGTGGAGAGGCTTTCGCCTACATCCACGTGGATGTCGGCAAAAGCCTGTTCACTTCTCTAAAGAAATGTGCATGTACATGTAGATTTAATACTGGATTTCTTTAATTAGTTGTTTTTTTATGTTCATTTGTTAAAAATTATTGTTTTAGATGTACATGTACACGTTTATGGAAAATAGATAAAATGTCCTTTGGTGTAGATATTTATTTTGTCTGAATCAGTATGTGTTATTTATTATATTTTAGGTATTTTGCTCTGTCAAAGGATGGGACTTGTTTAAGTCAGCAGGAAGGAGTTTTCAGGACAAATTGTATAGACTGTCTGGATCGTACCAATGTAGTTCAGGGTTTACTTGCCAGGATCATTCTAGAAAAACAGCTAACGGTAATACAAAACAATGGCATTATTGTTATTATCAAAATCCTAGTGGTTCATAAACTTCTGTAATTTGTGAGTCCTGAAAATAAATACAAACTTTATCACTCTGTTGTTTATATTGTAGCGTCTTGGTGTTCTAGAGGCCAGCCAGAGAATAACAGACATGAAAACTTTCATATCTAAATTCAACAACAGTAAGTCTTTGAATTTAAATTACAGTCAGTAAATGCTTGTTTTTGTAAAGAGTCAAAGGGAATAAATTTTCTTAAAAGATTTGTAAGATATTTTGACTAAAAGTGAATATTCTGCACTGACATCCATGTATATCTACTTCTAAAGAGAAGCTATACAATTGTAAAATCTTTCAGTTCAAAAATTGAATTTTAAATCCAACTCTATACTCTAACTTATTCATTTATTGCAGATTCCTTAATATTATATTCTACTTTGTATAGCAAAATACTGAAAATGATTTATGTACATGTATTATGAAGGTTACACTTGGCTTTTTTCACTACATAAAATTGTTTTTATTTTTTATTTTTTTTTAAATATTTACAGTTTGGGCAGACAATGCAGATGCAGTATCCAAACAGTATGCAGGCACTGGTGCATTGAAAACAGATTTCACAAGGTAGTGTTTTCTTATTCAAAGTTTTCAGTTCCAGACATATTTTTGAAATGAGCACACTGCTGCTTTAAGAATTTCGGTAATGTTTTGTTATCTTGAATTTCCAGTTCCTAAAATAAATAAAGCAGCTTTAAGAATATATACAATTGAACTTCGATATCTCGAACACTGATATCTCAAATACCATGGATATGTCGAAGTGATTTGGAGGCCCCAACCACTTATTCTTTATGTATTTTACTCTTGATATCTCAAATCTTCAGATATCTCAAAAAGTTTTCTCTTGGTCCCACTGAGTTCGAGATAATGAGGTTTGACTGTATGTTATAAATATTATATCTGTTTCAAAAGAATTTTAACTTAAGTAATTAATGTATTGTAGGCAAGGAAAGAGGACGAAAATGGGACTTCTCATGGATGGTTGGAATTCTTTAATCAGATATTTTAAGAATAACTTTGGGGATGGTTTTCGTCAGGTTTGTTTATTGCAACACAAGATTGCTTGTTTTCTGTAGATTAAGATTACATCAGAGTTATGCCCCTTGAAAACACATTTAAAATTGTTTTGTACATACACATGTATAGTTGTATACTGAAAATAATTATGCTGAATACATAAATTTGTGCCAACTACTATTGACACACTGTACCATCATTGTAGTATTTGCTCATATACATGTGTACGTATAGCATACTTTAACATATATACAGGGGACCTTTGAATCTTGACATTCTCAGAAAATGTTCGGATATTGTTGTTTCAGTATCAGAGTTGATACTCCTCATCCAAGATTTTGTAGCAAAACAATGGTACATGTACTCTGTCAGTTTATTAATTACAGCATGTGAATTTAGAAGTCATGAATTTTTCACTAGCAAGCTCTATAGACTACACTGTGTATGAGTAGAGGAAATTCAAGTTAAAATCTACATGTTCAAGGAAATTTGATGAATCCCTCTTAATATAGTTCTTAAACTTCCAATCCTCTTTACACATTTAGCAACATGGTGGCTACAGCATAACAATAAAATACTTGACCTGTACATACATGTATTTAAAAATGATTTTTTTTTAAAAGGTGTATAACGATATTGTTACCTGAGTTTTCTTTTTTAAATTGCTACAGGATGCCATTGACCTTATCCTTGGAAACTATATTGTGGAAGAAAATGAAGGAATTTCTAGACCTTCTCCTCTGCAGGCAGAGAGAGATTGGAAGTTTTATGCTGTAAGTTATGAAACATTCCAAGTGCAATATCAAATGCAATTTTAAACTACTTTTTAAAAGAAATTGCATTTAATGGGAAAAAATTATATTCATGTTAAATGTGTATACATGTGCATGTATGTTACTTGAACTAAGGCAAAAAGAATTTTTTGTATTTTCCATTAAAACTGTTTACTCTCTGTATGGTTAGATAGCTGTTACATAAATGTGGTATAAGTGCCTACTTTCTGTTTGATCAGGTACCTGTGATATTTGTGATTGCTCTGGGAATGTGTTTGATCAGTATATTGTTGCCAGATGGTAAGTTTATATATGGAAGTAATATATATGTATATTTGAATACTGTAGATGTACATGTACTTTTTTCTGATTGGGATTATAGGCACTGTGTTTGTGATCTCAAATTTTCCACGAAAATTTTTCACAGCATACTAAAAGTGCATTTAAATCATCCAATGGCAATCCAGCAAATCTGCAAAATTTTCTACTGACAGATTGAACAGAAATTGTGATTCTGTGACATTTAATATATTAACCCTGTAAAAAGTACATTTACAATACATGTACTATTATAATATAATACATATTTGTAGAGGTATGAAACAAATTCTTATTGCACATGATTAGCTATACATTATGATAAATGGTCATGTAGATTTAGATGAGCATTAAGTTTTTGAATTTTTTTTTATATTTCATCCCTGGGCTCCCTAAATGGTGTAGTTTCTTGAAAAATTTGACATTGGAACTCTTCCTCCATTTTACTGCATAAGAATATAATTCTTATGTGGAATAGTTGTTCCTTTCCTAAAAAGATGTGCTCTATTAATCATGGTTAAAGACTCAAGCCTAAGTGATTATATGCCTAACATCGTATATACATGTACACGTATTACCATTCAGTATTGGGTGCTGCATGTGGCCTTCATTGAACTTTGAAAGATCACAGAGCAAAAGTATTTTGACAGCTCTTTTATTTATTCAAATGACAAGTCTAATGTAGCTAAAATTTGAATCTGCACTTGATATGGAATCTTTCATTGGCCAAGTGGATCTTAGACAATTCCAACATGGAGGCTAAAGTCAGTCTGTGGAAAGGGAGCACTACGACTTCCATTTCATTCTCGACTTTAGGATGTGGGCCACTATAAGTTTCAAAGATTAAATAAAACATAATAAAGATCATTGTCTTTTGTCAGAATAATTTTTAGCAAAAATAATGAAAAATAATACATGTACATGTATATGCCTTGTGAATAAAAATCGAAAAGTGTAAATTTCATGTACCTACATACATGTATATATTATAAATGCATTAAAGAAATGTTATTTGTACTACAGAATCCTGGAGTGAGCAGTTCATGTACATTTTGTTCTGGGGCACTGCCAGTGTTGTATCTTTAGCTGTGATTTACATCTACGGAATCGAATTTGTTGACCAACCGAAACTTGTCCATACACATGCCAGAGTGAATGGTGCTGTTATGTATGATGCTCCAAAATCAGCTTAATACATGTACTGGGGAATGTTTATTCCATAAAAAAGGAAAAAACATGTTTAATACCTAGCATATCTCCTTCTTCTTTTTTTTTTAAGAGTCTCTGATTGTTTTCAAGTGTTGTTCATATATCATCAATAAATCTACCTTAAAACCAGACATTTCGATTCATATGTTTTACCCTTAGTAAATTATTACGATGACACAATTTTCTTTTGACATTGCGTACATTTATTGATGAAATTCTCTCAATTATTAAACCGTACATTTCATGTTTCTGTGATCTTTTCTGTGTTACAGATGTGAATTCAGTAGTCAGTAGATGAATTGTCCATGACCTATAAATTTTTTTTAATGGCATTTTTCAGAGTACTGAGTCTAAATTCAATTTCAGTTCTTTTAAAAAATTTTGAACATGTGCATGCAATTTTGAAAGTACATGTATGTGTACCAGTAGACAAGAATTAATTGTATTTGTAAATTCTCATAAGTTCTCTCCTTTTTTATATGTAATGATAGTCTCTCAGTCATTACAAAAGGTATATCTTACTGTTCTGCCACAAGTTCATTTAGTTTAAACAATATTGGAATTAAAAAAAAAAGAGCATATTTTGAAAGGCCTACTGAGGTATAAATTTTCCGAACTTCTTGGAATACCAACAATGTTTCTATTTATGTTAAAATTGTGAAAGTATTATTTTTCATGAACACTCTGAAAAAAGAACAACCTACACACACACACTTAACAGAGTAAACTTTTGATATCTTTATGCCACAGTGTAGCTTTGAAAGTGCTTACCGGTACATTAGTTTTAACAACCTTTACATATCAAATAATGTTAAATGAAGGCTTGTGCCATATACTCTCCAGTTAAGATGTTCAGAAAGTACCCATACAACCTTATTTAATTAGGGATTTTTTTCCTAATGAACAAATTACATGAAAAATTATGGTATGATTGACCAACTAATCAGAAAAAATTGTACTTTTATAACTGTCTGGCATTGGTACACAATGTGTGGAGGTTACAATGGCAGGCATCTGCTTTGTGTGCATGCTCAAGGAATAAAAAAGAAAAAAAAACATTTCTAGAAGACAAGTAATGTGATTTTTAGAAAAAGTTTATTGGAATAAGAAGTTTGTGCATTTTTTTCTAAGTCTGTCTGAGAATTTCAACAGTAAATGTTATATTCCTTTAGACATAATTTCAAAAAAAAAGGAATATTAGAACTCCGCCATAAATTTTTGTATTTAGAGAGAGTAGTTTTTATTTATAAGAATTATTCATTTATGGAATTGAATATTATTTTTCAAAATTTTGATATCTTTTTGTATGTTATACACTGTATCACTTATGGATGTAACAGAAAAATAGTTTGACATATTTCTTTTCATTTACATGTATATGTTATAAACAGGTTTACGTCTGAGCGTACTTGGAGTCAGAGTATTTGGTTGATAAATCTATTATAAACCAGTTTTATTTTGAGTATAAAATGGATATAGATATAGTCAAACTGAAAGCAAAAAATAAAGCATAAACATACATTCATGTATATCTTCTTCATAATTTTTTAACAAACTAATTCAGAGATATATATCAGAGAATTTATTTGATGTATTATTAGTCAACTCGTAACAAAATACAATTTTGTGACTCTTCAACTCAAAATCAACAGGGGTCATGTTTTACAGAAAGTATTGAGGTGAATCTAAAAATTTTATACCATATCTGAATTTGTGATCTTGATCCTTCACCTTTTGGCCTCAAAATCATTAGAGGTCTTTCTTAAGTTTGAGTCATCATGTTTTAAAATTAGAATTAGAAAGTGTACATTTTTTTATCTGTCTGTTTTCCATTTTCCAGATGATGAAAAAAAATTTTGAAATATTTTTGCTTCTGTTGTACATGTGTTTCTCTCTCAAAATCTGCCTTTGAATACAAATTTCTAATTGATTGAGGTCTACCAAATAGTATATCCTGAGATGTGTTATGTACTAATAAACTAATGTAGCTCTAATGAGGTAGTAGAAAACACATAAGTGTCAACAACAAATCAGTCAATATAGAGATCAAGCTTTGTTATCAAGAGGATGCTGGGACGAAGAAAAAACTGTGAAATATCTGAAGGTTTGAGATGTTGAAGGTTAAATTCATAAAAAAAAAGAAGTGTTTGGGATTTCCAATTTATTGACACATTCGTGGTGTTTGAGGTCATGATTCCTCAATTGCAACAAAAACAAAAAATACCTGATAGCATTAAACATTATAAAAGAAAGGATATGATGGAAGAATTTTTTATTGTGAAACACTGTGTCTAGTGGCTAATTTCACCAACCCCACTTTTTCTCTTGAATATTTCATCAAATAATATGTACTAATCACCTATAGAGTATATTCTGTATGTAAGAACTATAGAAGTTTTTCTGTGGAAAATAAGACTTTTTGATTAATTATTTTTGTAGCTTTGCAAGGACAAAAAGTGTGAAAGATCATTTACATGTATTTACATCAGTCTTGCATCAGTGATCACCATACATATACTACATTTGTACTTACATATACAGTTCTAGCTACAAAATATCAAAATACTCGTAGTGTTTGTCTGAGAAACAACACAATAGATATTTAAAATTCATTGGTCAATTTCCTATCTGTTTTTGTTGTCAGCTTTTCTCTTTCACTACTTCTTCCTGAAAAATCACAACACATTTATTTCACTTTGTCGGGGTCAACATATTCATGGCATATGATGTTATAGTTGTTCATGATACAAAAGTTGAACTGTATACAGTACTTGTCGTACACAACACTGAACAAAAATTATATGTACATGTACTTGTTTTAAAGATGCAAAAAATACCAATTTCTCTTACTACATGTATGTTAGCACATAATTAATGTTATGCTTCATCTCATCTTTGCTATCCAAGTGTTTCTGATACGCTGCACTGAACTCAGAAGAAACACTTGGCCAGCAAAGATGCAGGTATCTTTTCCTCAAAAACATTGTGAATGGCATACCTTGGAGGGCTCCTTCTTGTAACAGAGGAACATGGACCATATAAAAGAAGCACAACCAACCACTTTGGGTCTGTATTTGTATGGAACAAGTGAGTAGTTTGCAGACTGTACAAATGGCCAAAACATGAGATTTGTCTACAAAGTATTATTAATCAGCTTATTCATATTGTAATGGGGGGATACAGTTGACGAGATTCAATCCCTCCCACCCCGAACTCTTGACAGGTGCTCTAAAAAAATGAGCTATTCGAACAAAATCAAATGAACCTGACTGTCCACCAAAATATCACTCATTTTTACTGCCTTTAGGTGTTGTTATACAAAATATATATATATTTCCTTATTTATGTCTCCATTTTTGTCTCCCATTTTGATTCATTGATATTAATTACTCTTTACCTACATTGATGAAACTGAGGTATCAAATGTCAATGCACAAAGACTGAGGAAATTTTAAAACCTGTAAAAAATTTATTTTTAAAAAGTTTGCATTCAAAAAAGCACCTTGTAAGTGATTGGAAATTTCTTGAACCACTCCTCTTTAAATTGCTGGAATGATTTTCTTTCAAGCATACATGTTGCTGAAACAATAAATAAGACATCAGATAAATTCTGGGGGGGTTTCATAATCTGAAACTTAATTACAATGTATAAAGAATTTCTCTAGTAACTTTATGTACATACATGCATATTCAATAGTATATACTGCCACCTTATGTAATAAAAGGAGTATGTATAATATTTTACAGATGGTCATGCAGTGGATGTCCATGCATTTTTAAGATAAAATTTGCAGTCTTATGAATGATTTGACTTACAAAAATAAAATGTAGAAATGGCAAAAGGAGCAAAAACAACTTGGCCTGTGATCATTTTCTTTGCTACATTTTTGATTGCTCTTCCTGGAAACATTTGCTCCACTATGAAAATCCAAGTATACACAATGGGTGCCACAACAAAAGTTCCGACAGTTACCATCCGGACAGATTTTTGATAGTCCATCTGCTCCTTCTTGCTGATGAATTTCTGTTGAACTAAATCTGATATAGTCCACAGGGTGGCATAGACTGCCATAGTTTGTACCATAGTCATTTTGAAGAGGGGAAAAATTGCTCCTTGTTGAAGAATATGTTAAGTGCGACCTACAGCATCAAAAGTAAAATAGTATTTAAGTATACATGTACCTTTACTCTTCCAGAGAACATAGTTATGGAACCAATTTCAGGCATATTTTGTTCAATAACATCAAAGAAACATAAGTAATACTCTCAGATATTAACAATTAATTAAACTTTTTTTTAAAAAATTCATATCAAATGTGATTATAGGGGTCAAGGCATTTAGGTGGAAAGTTCTAAACTGAGCTTATGAAATCTCGACTCTGTGTCAGAAACATAGAACTGAAGTGTACTTTTTAAAGATATGCACAATGGCACTATATATGTAATAAAGATTCTGGGAACATCTTTTTAATTTTATTTAATGGTATATATACATGATATAGTTGGAGCTGCAGATAAGAGATGGATATCCCCAATATCATAGGAAGAATGGCAGTGCCCATGTTTTTCCATTATGGAAAGCTTCATTAAATGTTCTCATTAAATTTTATTCAGTGATATATAAGTTGCTGATAAGAGATGCATATGTACCCAAAATATACTCATATACCCTTCAACCTTTAACAAGGATTTTTGACCATGCACTTAACTTATATAACTGACTCTTTATTACATGGAACACAGCCTTTGTTATGTGTCTTAAGACAGCTATGGCGTTCCATATTTTATGCCTGGGTTCAGGAGACAATTAATTATAAATAATAAAAATTATTGTGAATGACATGGTAACGATATAGTATACTGTTACCTAAATATAGACAAAATTTCTTTATGATTATGTACCTTTCTCACCTCAAATGTTGTCAGTTATGTTTAATATTTTTAAAGGACTGCATATACATTGTAGGTGCTACACCGCAGCTGCACAGAGTTGTCGTTCGTTTCATTTGCGTAGTGAAAAGATCGATAACTCTTAGTAGAGATTTTTTTTATTTAAAAGGTGGCTGTCTTTTTGAAGAGAAAAAACTGCCCCCCCCCCCCCCCCGCTACGAAATAGTTTTTTTTCAAGTTTTATTTTAAATTTTATTTTTAGCTTGTCATTTAGAATTTTTCACATTTCTCTCTCGTCCATCTCTAATAGGACATGCATCTCTCCCTCATCCAAATCCTCTCTATTTTCTCCTTCCCAATTTTGTTTGTTTGTTTTTTGCTTCTTTTTTTTTTTGGTTTATTATTACTCAAGATACTGCTTTTCTTATTAAAGTTTATGACAGAATTAAGATTCTTGTCCTTCGGTTCCTTAATTGAAATTTTATTTTGCGACATTTTTTTCAGTTTATTATATAGATATGTACACAAAATTCTAAGTAATGGATCTTCTCTTTTGAGTTTAATGCAAATGTTTATTTAAAAAAAGGGATAATTTTTCAAGACTGATATTGTATGGATTACATTTGGGCCCAGATAACAGATACGCATGTCATAAAAATATCTATGGATGAAAATGTTAGAAAAAAAGCCCGTGTCTACATCGGGGTAGGCTAGGGAAGGTCCTGTCATCAAAATTAGATTGTTAGCACGATAGCTAGGTCAAGGGTTTGTGAGGAATATAACGGATCAGATTGCTGCAAAAGAGAACGTTTATTTTATTTTTAGAAATGTCGAGCGTTTTGGTGCCCAGTTTCACGGTATTGGATGAATTTAATTAAGAAATAAGGTATTATTTTTAAACATCTATCGGGCTATAAATACGGGTTGGTCACGAGATCAAATTCCATAAAGCCCGAAGGGCTTTATGGTAAATTTGATCTCGTACCAACCCGTATTTATAGCCCGATAGATGTTTAAAAATAATACCTTATTACTTATATTTACATTTGTGACTTATTCATATTTTATATTTGCCTGATTATAATCTTTAACGCGTGAAACGTTTTATTTTTCAAACCCAACGGCACGTGTTTGATCCACTGATTGCGCGTCGACCCTTTATGAAGTCACTGAGAAATTACGTCGAACGTTTATGACGCGAGGAACCCGTGTTTATACGGATATAGATACGCATTGCTTTCAATAGTGTTATGTAAAAGAAAACATTTGCAAATGTAAATATTAGGAATTAAATGGAAAGACTAATTTTTAAAATCATTACAAATGAAGGATGACTATGGTTACGCATTTTTAGGTCACCTGAGTCACTCAGGTGACCTATTCCTATCTGTTTTCGTCCGTTGTCGTGCGTCGTGTGTTAACATTTGAACATTTTCAGCTTCTTCTCTGAAACCGCTGAACCAATTTCAGCGAATTTTAGCATATGACATCTATGTGTGAAGGGGAACAAAATTGTGAATATCATGGTCCCTGCCCCCCTGGGGCCTGAGGGGTGGGGCTAAAACCACCAAAATTACTGCAATCTTTAAAAATCTTCTTCTTTACTCCTGGACATCAAGCAGTCAAACTGTTGGCATGATTGTAATAAGCATTGGCCCCTCTACCAAAATTGTGAGATTCATGGCCCCAGGGTCAGGGGTTCAGGTGCTAGGGCAGGGCTATATAGATCATATAGTGAAAGTGCATTATTTCTTTGGAAATCTTCTTCTCTACTCCTGGGTATTATTGAAACAAATTGAATACATAGTTATGATAAGCAAGAGTGACTCTAACAAAATTATGAAATTCATAGCCCCAGGGTCAGGTGTTCTGTTCCGGGGGGGGGGGGGGGGCTATACAGATCATATAGTGAAAGTGCATTATTTCTTTGAAAATCTTCTTCTCTACTCTTGGGTATTATTGAAACAAATTGAATACATAATTATGATAAGCAAGGATGACTCTACCAAAATTGTGAATTTTATGGCCCCAGGGTCAAGGGTTCTGTGAAAAGGGGGGGGGGCTCTATTGATTATATAGTGAAAAAGCAACATTTCTTTGAAAATATTCTTTTCTGCTTCTAGTTAAAAAGCAAAGAATCTAAGTATATAGTTATAATGAGCAAGAGTGCTTCTTCCAGAGTAGTGAATTGCATGATCCCGGTCAGATGTGCTGGTGTAAGGGTGGGGCTCTTGATAATATATTGAAAATGCATTAATTCTATTAAATAATTCTGTCTGCTCCTTAGTGTTAAGCAGATAAACAAAGTGATTACTTATGATGAGCAAACTTCTGGTCCCAGGGTGAGAGACTCTAGTGTTTCTCAGTGGGGAGGGGGCTCTATTGATGATATAGTGAATCTGTAGTAAAAATGCATTATTCCTTTAAAAACTTTTCACTTGGGCATATCAGAGACAAAGAGAGTAAAAGTTTTAATAAGGAAGGGTATTTTTCCCAGATTTTTTAACATCTGGACCATTTGGTCAAGTGTTCTGGTCCTGGCCAGGGCTCTATTAATTTGTATTCTACTGAGAGGAGTTATTCCCCTTTGCCGTTTACTTTTGATAATTAATCACTGTAAACAATGTACTTGAAAGGTTAATAGAATAAGAGAATTATGCAAGAATTTTTATTGTATAATACAAAAAGTATTTTCATAGTTTTAATGATCAGGTAGACTTGTAAGTAATAGATAAATAAAAATGGAACAAAATAACTTGTCTTATTAAATGTTTATCAAAGACCAAGAGAGGCCAATGTAATAGATTTCAACAAGGGATTAAAATAGTATAGAAGCACTGATAGTTTTTTTAATATACTTTATAGTGATAGTGATAAATGGGGAACAGATTAGAACCTTATTTATAAACTGTCAATGAATACTAGATTAATTATTTTGTTGATCCTGATCACCCTATTTTTCTTGCTATTGGGTAACAAAGCTTCACCTTTCAGTTCATTTTATACTCTATGGATCCTCTAAATTGTTGTATTATACTCAGGTGACCGTTAAGGCCCTTGGGCCTCTTGTCTTATTCAACATTTGTCTCAAAAGCCCCCCCCCCCCCCCAAAAAAAAAGAATAATAAAGTATGACTGATTATCTCCTAACTTTTAGTAAAAGTAAGTAATTAACTCTTAATTAAAATTTTAAAAAGAATGTTTTATTAATTAATGTTTATTCCCACTTTGTAGAATTGTGTCAGTAAAGAGAATATATACAGTACAAGTCATCGTCGCAAACCACGCGTACGGCCAAAATGTACGATCCTCTCCTATTGGAGAGAGTTATATGCGGACTCCGAACCGTGGCTTGAGACGATGCGTACAAGTCTGAATAAAGCAATATTTTATGAAAAGTTCTACTGGGTGGACTTTCAATTTAATCTAGCATTTCCAAGATTTCTTGATACAGATGGTAAAGAAATCTAAATTTCAAGTTATGCACTACTCCTTTAGCTAAAAAAATGTACTGCTGGGTGAATGGAGACTGCGTTGCATCCAACATTGTAGAAAAAAATCCTTATATTGACCTGCACATGACCTTCCAGGTCAACATAAGGATTTATTTTTTCCACATCGGACTAAAAATAGATTGAGAGCTATTAGTTATGAAAAATTATTTCACCTGGATCCGACTTCCATTCAGGCGAACATTACACTGAGGCACGTATTGCATGTATATTGGAGGGGGGCTGAATGTTAATTTTTACTATTAATTTTGTAAGAAAATGCTCATTGAAAGGATAGTTGCCCCCCTCCCACTCCACCCATATATTTTGATCCAGTATAGTCAAGTTCCTCCTATGTTAATGGATCCTAACCCCAACCCCACCCGCCTAAATAAGATTTGGAGATTGGAGAATTCTCCTCTTTCTTTTTGGCTTGTCAAATGTTCTTTCTCAATTTAGTTATCATTTTTTTCCTTCTTGCCCCCTTCCCTTCCCCCACTTCGAGTCCACGTGCATGACATTTTTTTTTAGATAGAGATATTCTAGATTAATACAACTTGTTATGTTTATTTAAACCATGCATGTTTTTCTAATTGCGTTTGGCTCGGATGTCCACAAATGTTCACAATCAAGAAAAATATCATGGTTTGCTTAACGAGTTTGTATCAATTCATCATTAAATTATACAATAAAGAAGAGGCCCATGGACACAATGCTCATCTGAATAACTAGGGCCCTTCCTGTTTTTCAACAGCAGATACTTTTTCCTTTGTAAAACTTTGATTGTCTATTGTGACTCCATATGATCACCCAAGGGTCATGATTTGAACAAACTTAAATATACACTACATGTACCTGTGGATGCTTCCATATAAATATGACTGATCATAGCTTTGCTGTTCTAGTGAAATTAAAAGATGCATGTCTTTTGTTTTCCCATGTAAAACTTTGAGTGCCCATTGCGGCCCTACCCCCGGGGGCCATGATTTGAACGAAATTAAATCAACACTACCTGAGGATTCTTTCGTATAAATATGACTAATCGTGATTTTGCTGTTCCTGGGAACAAGATTTTTAAAAGAATTTTTCTATGAATTCCTATGTAAAACTTTGATCCACCCTATCCTAGGGGCGTCATAATTTGAACAGACTTGAATATACACTATCTGTGGATTATGACTAATCAGAGCTTTATTGTTCTTGAGCAAAAGATATTTAAAGATTTTTCCCATGTAAAACTTTCTTATATGTATGACTAATCATGGCTTTGCTCTTCTTGAGATTTTTCCAATATATACTCATGTAAAACTTTGATTGCCTAAGTACATGTAACCCCATCCTATGCCCAGGGGTCATGATTTGGACAAACTCAAATCTACACTATGTCAAGAAGCTTACAAGTAAATTTAAATGGCCTTCACCCAAGGATACTCTGTGCCAAGTTTGGTTGAAATTGGCCCAGAAGATGAAATTTTAAAGTTAACACTGACAATAATAACTACGGGTATATAGACAACGAAAAAAATCCTGATCAGAAAAGCTCACTTAATCCTAAAGCTCAGGTGAGCTAAAAATGAATTTTGTTTGTTTTTTTTTTCAATATGATGATTTAGCCACCTAAGGAGTACAATATTCACCGAGCCCTTCAGGAGAGGTGCATATTGTACTTTGACCACAAAGGTGGCTAAATCATCTTATTGACAGAATAAACAGCAATAATTGTATAGTGTCTGCAACTAATTTATCACACCCTGTTCTTTATTTCAAAGAAGAAATTTATGCAGTGGAACTTTTGAATCTTTGAAATAAAGGCAAATGACATCTTCTTGACGTAGAAGAAAGTTTGTAAATTTATGACTCCTTTTTTATTGACAATCAAGTGTAATTATACATAACCATACATAAACCCTTAAAAACATTTGTCACTAACGACTACAAAACATTCCAAATTAGGAGAAAAAAAATGTGCATACCTATGTGTTGTACATTTGTAAGAAGGCGACAATCATTATGGTAATTAGTTTCAAACAATTTGATTCCCTTGTTTTCCTTCCCTGAAAATATCCACAGTTTTTTTAAATAATACTACAAATATACCCTGAGTATTTAGTATAACCCTGATTCACATGATATGGAAAAATTACAAGTCTCTTACATTATAAGACATTAAAATGAAATATTGGTTTTTGTTAATTCTTATTTTAATCAAAGTAATTAGTAGTTTCTCCAGTTAACGTACACCAAAAGTTTATCATACATGTATTTTACCTGACAAAACAAAGATAATTAATGTGATGAATAAATCCGGACCCCCCCCCCACCCCTGGACGATTACAAGTAATAGTGAAACTTTATAGTACCCAGATGGAATCCTTTATTCCTTCTGTACTTCACAGTTTTATTTAAAAGGATATCTGCTTCTCAGCCAGGAACTATAACTCTTAAAATTGATATTGAATTTGAAAAGTCTTGAAATGAAGCTTGAAATGATACTTCATTTTTTTTCCATGCAGCAATTTTCATTTCATGCATCTAAATATGATTCAAGTTATTTTAAAACCTTAAAATGGTCCTGTAAAAAGTTTACATTTGTACCCCATAAAAATACAAAAATATACAATTTTTTAGAAAAATCAAATTTCCTTTAATCCAGCCTTTTTAGCATGATATAAAATTAGAAGTGATATGTGTTGTCTTGCAATAACAGCACAAACTTTTTACACTATGTATTATACACTAATTGTAGGAAATAGAAGAACTAACATACCCACGAAGAATAAAAAACATGCAAATTCAGAGACATTTTTGTGAGACTTTACAATTACTAAACTGCTGATTTTCAGAACCTGAGGATTGGACTACCTTAAATGAAGCCTTCATTTCAAAATACATTTACTGGAGGAGACATTTTCATTCTTACTGAATCTATAACACATTTAAAATGTAAATTCCCATTACCTTTATAGATTTCTTGTTTAGAGCTATAAGGTTTTAAGTCAAGAGAGAGGATTTATTTTCAAAGATGTCTGATTGAAATAGTGTTTTAGAAAATATGTAGTAACTGTGAACCACCTATGTGTTAAACTTGGAGGATGTGTGAATACACAAATGATTATAAGAAAAAAAAATAAACATGCACATGTATATAGTCCAAAATACTACATGAACAACAAACTGTCTTGGAGATACATACAAACATTAAAAACCGGGATGATCTATTATAATAAATTATTCATCAACACTTTCTAGAATAAATTCTATATTAATCTGGAAGGCTACAGAAAAATATTCAGTAAAACATGTACATGTATAACGAAGTGCCAGGGATGGATAAATTTGCTTAATTATAAGGGTAATTCTTTCTATCCCTTCAGTTTACAATAAACACTTGGAATGAAAATCACTTCGTTGTAAGCATCAATTTCTTATAAGCATGTTCTACTGTACACAATATACATTCTAAAATACAAGACTGGAATACACAGATATATGTCTACTTTGCCAGCTTTTCTGATTGGAGATAAAATATTCTGAATAAGATGTTGATTCAAATTACATAGCAATCAAGCACAGCACTGACTAGGACTAGTGCAACAGAATTCAGTGTAAAAAGGATTTAAAATATACAAAAAAAGCATTATTTTCATATGTACATTATGACAGTAAATACCAGTATAAGAGGTGTTGAAAATTCAAGAAACATCCTAGTCCATACACTTTTATAACCAATTAGTCCTGAAACTGCTAGCACTAATCTTTAACAAGTATTAGCTTTCTTAAAAAGCTTGTCTGACGTGAGCAAACTATTTTACGAAAAATCAAGAAACGTTAAATCTAACGTAATCAACATAACTCTGAGTCCAGAAATATATTTAATATTTATTTTTTTAAAAAACAAGACGGATCAATCCAGTGGCATCTACATCAAATAAAACTCAGACATGAATTTATTCTATATACACTGAATTACTTGTATTTTTTTTTCATGGCCATTGGAACCGGGAGAGGATGGTGAAGACTCAGGACATCCCCCCCCCTCCCCAAATATTTTGCCGATAAATTATATGCTACAAAAAACATAGCTACATTTTACTTGTCTCCTAAATCATGGCAATAATAAAGTATGATAACTTCTTTTTGCTTGATAAGGAATTTTTTTCTTGATAGTGCCCGTCCCCAACTGAAAATTTTGGGTTGTGCACCCCCTCCCCGTGAAATTTCTTCCACCCGGCCTGTTCCTGAATGCATAGATATAACCATTGCTTTTGAAAGAAAAACTTACAACACATAAAAATCTAAACATCATTTGATAAATAGTTTGGATAATTATGATTTTCTAAAATAATAAACTTGTTATAAATTAGCTAATCATCTTTGCATACTAGTATTAGCAAAAACAATGTTCATCTTCTCTTTCACTTGGGTATTTTTAATCTTAGGATAAATCAAACATTTGCACAGTTAGGAATATGTCAGTATAGACTTCATAAAATTCTAAAGGTAGAAAGACTTTGTATGCATTGAAAATAAACATCTATTAGTTAATCTGATAAGGGTATTCAGACAAGTGTTGACCTGACCAGTTTCATTCCTGCTGTTTTGCTGGAGATACACTGATGTTCAACGATAAATGATGCATTCGAAAATGGCCAAATGTCATGTAACGTGTAATGTATAATGTGATAATAAATAGGTCCAATGCTCTGGCTTGCTTTGGTGTTTAGCATGTTTCCATTAATCCCCATTCTCTCCAATTGATAGTTAAGTAAGGATGAAGTTTCCAAGATCGAGTTATCACAAAAATTCTATTGAACAACTTGACCAAAAAGCCTTGGCTAAATCTAGTACTGTCTGACGCCATGACGTCAGACAATTACTAGTATACACGTGGATAGTCTAAGAGTTACAGAACTTTGTGTTATTGTAGATGTTGAAAACAATATAGCAGCACTCATTGCCATATCAAAATAACCAAATCTTACTTTTGTCTTTCAGTTGTATTAATTATGTGTATTTGTAAATAATTTCCCATTTTTTATGCTGACAATTAACTTCTTAAATTAAAAGTTTTTGCAAAGCTTTGCTATTACTATAATAAGTACTGCAAGTGTTCTCAACTAAAGATTACATATTTTGCTTTTCTGACCACAACCTTGCAATCAAGATTTACAAACTTTGTGAAACACTGGCAGATGGAGTGCAGAATAATACTGGTATATAATGACTTCAAAAACTGATAAAAATGGCAGTATATAATTATGGGATAAAATGAATGGCAATACAAGTATGTGACTGCACAAAACTTATGTTTATTATTATTATACTATTATCATAAGTATGTTCAAAAATGTACTAGGTATTCAAATTATCAAAATATGACGGGGTCATTTTTTTTTTCAAATAAAGCTGTTGTTTTCTTTTTATTTAATAAAAGAAGCACATTGTATATATATCTATAAAAAAAATTCCAAAAATGTTTTATATACATTAGTTCAGTTAAAAATTTCATAATAAATAAAGTGTATATATTAGAAATTAAAAAAAGAACAGCAGAAAAATTATATCACAGAATCAAATAAGAATCAAAATCTGTACTATTGACATTTAACATTAATTAACTCTATATGTCTTTATCATCAACTTTCTTCTTGACTAACTTCCTCCTGAAAAGCAGTATACAAGGTTTAATTATTTTACCCTCTCTTTAATTCCATTTACAAAAAGGATCTCCTATAAATACATGTGAATTAAATAGTTTTACACCAAATTAAACTAAACCAGTGCAGCCTAGATCAAAACTGTTTTAGGTAAAATATATCTACAGATCACTTACCTTGGAAGGTTCTTTCTCATAGCAAAGGAACATCGACCATAGAAAAGATGCACAACCAATTACTTTAGACCTGTGCTTGTATGGAACAAGTGAGAAGTTGGCAGCTTGTACAAATGGCCAAAACATGACACCAGTCTGTAAAATAAATTTACATCATCTAAATGTAATTTTATCCTTAAACAAAACAGTGATATAGAAGCAAACAAATTATCAATATAATGCTCAGTTCATTTATACTGTGTCTCTTATACATGTGTAGTGGTCAGGCATGTTTGTTCATCAGAGGCCAGATAGATCAACTAAAAGAATACTTGACCTTAAAGTTAAGATAGATCAGCTGTAAGAACACCTGACTGATCAGGTGCCATGAGCCTTATGTATTGATCAGGTAGACAGAGTACCCCATGGTCAAATTTACCATAAAAGCAATGACCTAATATGGTATGAAACATGGCAGACAACGTGACCCAACAATAGGTAGTATTCACAAAATAGGTCATTAAAATGATTGTAGAACTTGTGAAAAGCTGACTTTAAACAGGGTTCTTGAAATCTTTGTAACATCAACTTATTTGTAAGAAGCTTGCCTCAGTTTAAAAATTGTTTGTACTGAATCAGTTGGGAAACATAAACACCATATGCAGATGGTGTTGGAATATTCTTAGATAAATAAGGGAAGTTGATGATGGAAAAGCTGAAGTAATCCCATTTGTCAGTTGTCATACATGCAAGTGACCTTGAACATAATACCTTCAGTGTGTCATGTATGTCATGTCATAAGTAATCTTTACCTTTAGTATGAACCTCCGTTGTTGATCAATTAGAAAGTTATAAATAAGACATCAAATACAGTCAAACTTTGTTATCTTGAACTCATTGGGACCAAGAAAAAACTTCCAGACATCCATGGGTAAACTACTTAAGGTATGTCACTCGTGAAATTTGTTATATCAAGGATTTTTTGAGAAGTATATTTTGGATAAGTACTCGTTTAGTATGACTGAAAATCGCAGAGAAAATGGGGGGTCAGTGTGCATCTAACTGAGCTACGGTACAATTAAGTTGACCTTTTTGCACTTAAATTGTAACTCTTTGGTTAATCACTTTAACCGTTATCATATTTTTATATTATTTTATAAGATGTAACCATGGCAATAAACATAATCTTATTTTACGTAAAATAGTTTGAATAATATTTATCATTGAACAAATCATGCAAATTAATGCGCGTAAATTATTGTTTGACCTTTTTGCACTAAAAAAGTCTCATATTTGGGGTATTAAAAATCTAAATAGGCAATAGAATATTTTCTTGTATCAAACTTTTTACGACTTAAGTGCTGATCGGTCAAAAGTATCGAGTAGTTTAAAATAATGAAAGAAAAAGTTGTGGTCAGTGATGTAAATTTTGAAATATTGATCAAAATATGCGATTTTCAGGCAAAAAACTGTGTAAATTTTATCTCGACTTCCTTGATATATCTTCATTTCTTGGCAATGTTTGTTGAGCGAAGGTGTAAATTTTGCTATAAAAATATAAATTGAGACCTATATTTAATATTCCAGGCATATCATAACGGAAAATATCCTATAAGTAAAAGTATGTGAGGCTAAAGTTCCAAGATATTAAATTTAATAAATGTGTAGATTTGCAGAATTTTCTGCTAAATATCCTTCCGCCACAAGAAATAGTCCCTTATAAATCTTGCTTCTTTGTGAATTTTTGAGCAGTTTTTTAATTGAATGTTGAACATTTTACATTGTTTAATTTAAATATGTTATAAAGATTGAATTGTAATAAATAGTTTTTAAGTAAGAGGTTCTGACTGAAATTTTCAAAAAGGCTGACGAGTGACATACCTTAAAGAATAAGTTGCTGGGACCTTCAAATCACTTTGACATATCCATGGTATTCGAGATATCCATGTTTGAGATACCAAAGTTCAACTGCATGCACTTTTTTATGTCAGACTAATGTGACCTTAAACTTGCCAAAATGACCTTGGGTCAAAGTCATGACAAACAAATCTTTCTATCAAGTATGAGCTTCCTATGTTTTTCCATTATAAAGTTGTAGTCCAGACATGATTACATGGACTTACAGACAGATGGACAAGGCAATTCCTAGATACCCCAGAACTTTGTATGTGGCATAATAAGTTGATGGTTTATACTATGAGGCTATAAGCAAATGAAAACTCATATAAAAATAAATGCAATTCAGTTAACATCAGTTAATAACAAGGAAACATCTTGATCTCAAGTAACTAATAAAATAGCACCTTGTAAGTGACTGGGAATTTCTTGAGCCACTCTTCTTGAAACTGTTGGAGGGACTTTCTTTCAAGCATACAAGTTGCTGTAATAGTAGATAACAGAATGAATAATACTCTTGCAGAAAAAGACATATGTGTCTATATCGGGTAAATTTAAAATTTACACATTAAGATCAAATTCTTACAATACCTTAAACTAAGATACAATTTAGTAAATATACAATTTATAATGAGATTTAGCCGTTAATATATAAACAAATGGAATTCATATACAGTTAATTAAGAAATTTATATAAAATAAAAACATGGCTGCAGAAAACCAATTACTTTTTCACCAATTCTAGTAAATTAGTGACAAGAAAGTGAAATAAATAGATAGGTATTTATTTAGCTTATATAGTCACTTAACATACATTCAAAACACAAAGACAAGATGCAGCAAAATTAGAAAATGACAAAAATAATTTTCATAATAGAACAATCAAAATTATTATACCAAGGATAACCCATACAAGCCTTAAGACTCATTTCCAGTGGTGTCCTTAAAAATTAATAAATACTACAAATACATGTAAATGAACTAAAATGCTATTACTAGCCAAATTAAGAATTTTTAAAGTGGCATCATCGATAAAATTAAGCATTTTCTGAAAGAGTTAAAATTTAACCAGCACTTGTGTAACCTGACATGCATTGTAATGTGTCACAGGCAGCTCATGACAATCACTCAGCAATCAAAGCAATCGCAACGAATGACTTTATATGAAATATAATTAAAAAAAACATTCATAAACTTTCAGTCTATATATACCCTGGTATTGTTCACTATCAATATACACATGTACATGTACTGTCTTAGATTTCATTGTTGGACCATAAAACTTTCATAGTCATGGGCCCACATGTTCCTTCAGTTTGATTTCTTAGCTGCAGCCCTAAACAATGATTTATTTGTCAATGATTATCAATATAACCAAGGGGAATTATTTGAAGTTTAAAACAAGAAAACCTGGCTTTTTTTTATTTATTCTTAATTTACCAGCTGATAGATATATTGCTTTGATACTTACAGAAATAAAATGATGTTATAGCAAATGGAGCAAAAACAACTTGATCAGTTATCATCTTCTTTGCCACAGTTCTGAATGTTCGCCCTGGAAACATCCTCTCCGCTATGAACATCCAAGAAAACACAAGAGGTGCTACAACAAAAGTTCCAACAGCTACCATCCGGACAGATTTTTGATAGTCCATCTGCTCCTTCTTGCTGATGAATTTCTGTTCCACCGAATCTGATATAGTCCACAGGGTAGCATATGTTGCCATTGTTTGTAATATAGTCATTTTTGCAAATCGTTCCCTTCACGCAGAACTTCAACCTATGTACACAAATCTCGAAAAACAGTGTTTTGATTTGGTACTAGGACATGATTTAGGATCTATTAGAATTTCCTCTGTTTAGTTTTTTTTTAATTTGGAAATATGAGTTATTTTGAATCATTTAAACCACGAAAGGCTGAAATTAATACATGATAAACCAGCAAAATACTAAGGTACCTTTGTCTTATTTACCTTTCTTCCTGCTTTAAAATATTTGATCTTCTTGGTAACAAACAGCTGATCATAACCTAAAAAAAGTCACGAGTTTTGGTTAAGTTGTTACTGTATATTTCGTATGTGTGCATTTCAATGGTATGATTACGTTTTAAATTTTACATCAATACCTTATTTACCTACTAACACAAGTAAAAAAATGAATTTCCTTTATATATAAATAAATACATTTTAGAATCATTGATAAATGAAAAAAACTGATAATTTATAGGACGACTTGCTAAGATCAGACACATAACTTCCGGAACACCACCGTGTCAAGAAAAAATGAATGAGATTTGTACCAATGCTGCCTTATGGGCAGTTGCAAGCATGATATTCACTTTCACATAATAAGTTAGCGAAATAATTCACAATGGGGAAGAGTTTTACTGTTTTTATTCTCTTTTTTGGTGCATTATGTGTTTCATTGTCAAAACAAGAAAATCAAAATGCAAATTTCAAGCCCCCCAAACCATCAGAAGTTCCAATCCATGAGGATGACTCTACGAGCATGAATGACAGGTTTTAAATTTAAGCTCTTAAGATTTAGAATAATTTTATTATGTATTTTAGATGTATTAGCCCTTGAATCTAATGACTATGAGGTGAATGTAAAGTACTTTGATCTTTATATATGATCAGTGATGATATGATATAAAAATAGTGTAAACGTACTTTTTCCTCGGGGTCGTAATTCCCCAGAATTACAAATTCTGTTCAATCCATGGGTAGAAAATAACAGTTTTTCTTGGATTGTCATTATATGTCTTAAATTGACTTTAAGTACACTGTGACAGTTCAGTGGAACATTTGTTACTGTGTACACAGCATAAATTAATTCAATGCAAAAAAGCATGCATACAGTAGTATGTTGGTATTGTACAGTCTAGTATATTTTTTTTTAGGGTTTGTATGTATCAGACCTTAAATTATGTTACTATTTTTTTTTTCTATTAAACCGTTATCCACAATTATTTTAATAAGTATCTGTTAATTTACAAATAATTCAACGCTTTATTTTGATTTAGCATGAAAAATGTCACAAATGGTACAGATATCCTTAATATTTCAACAACAGTCACAACTTCTACAGTCTCCACTACCAAGCGTGTACCAGTGGACCTCCCCAAAAAAGGATCTGCAGAGGAGGAGCACCACAGTAGTTTCACTATCTTCTTTATCCTCCTTCTTGTTGGTATGAAATAATCATAAGTTGTGTATCTATTATATGCTGTAGTATTTATTCAATTAAAAAAATTGTACAAATGAATGAAATACCAGGATCTGTAAAAGTGTTTCTGCTAACTTTGAAAACCAAGGGTCATTATTACCCTTTGAAGTAAACTTTTAGGAGCCAGAGAGAATTTTTGAGGGTCAAAATATATTCTGGGTTTTGCAGAATTTGACATAAGCCCATTTGTATATATGCTGGAAATTTTCAAGGCCAGTAGAACTTTCATTGGAATTTTCTTTTAAATTGACAACATAGACTTTAAATATTTAATGATCATTAATTTCATGAATCATAAAATGGACATGCCTCAATGTTGAACCCTGGACTTGACTTTGAAACACACATCTTTATATATTTACTATGTACATGTATATGTATGAAGTTTTTTTTTTTTGTAATCATGTGTTTTAATTGGTAACTCTTCTAATTTCAGCCTTATCAATTTTGACAACTCATATGCTTATTCAAACGAGATTTCATTATTTGCCAGAGAGTATAGCAGACATATTATTAGGTAAGTCTTTGTAGTAATGTTGCACACAAGAAAGAATGAAAATAGTGAGTTCAGTATACATGTATATTGATTTTAAATGACAAATTGTAATTCATTTCAACCGAAAGACATAAAAATGTTATCAATTTTTTTGGAAAATAAGTTAAAACAGCTTAAATTTAATGCACATACATGTACCCTCCTAGAATGTATTAAAGCTAAGCTGGTTTGATTTCAATTTTTGAAATGGCTTGTTTTGTAGGTGCTTTTGCTGGATTGTTATTAAAAGTGACAAATTCAGGAAATGGACAGGTAAACAAATATTACATACACTCTGTTGGTACCCTTATAGGAAGTAGACTACCATTCAGTGTAAACATGTACAGTAAAACTTGTTTAATCCAGATACCACTGGTTCCATAGAAATTGGCCATAGTAAACAACATAATGTATCAGACAATATTTTAAACAATAGAATTTAGCAAAATTGGGGACTCAAGATAACAAAATAACATAATAGGTATATTTTCTGAATACACAACATTAGAAAAGTTTTACTGTACAACTAACATCTTCCTCATTGAAAGTTTTATCTAACCCATATCAGAAATTTGTTATTTTTAATATCTGAAGTATTAATAGGGCACGTTATTGCTTTGTTCAGATCAAAGGCTTGAATTGAGATGATTTCATGTTCATGCCAGATGTGAAATAGTTTAAGTGATTTTTTAAAATTAGTTACATGAATTATCATACCAGTAATTTATAAGCATATTTTTCTTTTATAATTCAGAATGCTGAAGCCTTTAATCCAACAGTTTTCTTCATAGTATTACTGCCACCTATTATTTTTGAATCGGGATACAATTTACACAAGGTAAGTAGAAAGGGTTGAAGATGCTGAAATTTATTTGATTTTTTTTCCCTTCAACTTCTTGCACATTAAATTTCACGTTATTTGCATCAGGAGGAAAAAAAAGACTTAAAGAATGATTTCCTACTTGCATACATTTAAATGATATTATCAATACTTATGAGGATTTAGGAATTTTTGTATTGTTTTTTAATATAATCCTCTTCTATTATGTAGAATGTACAGTACCTAACAATGCATATCTTTGCAGGGTAACTTTTTCCAGAATATAGGTTCTATATTGATCTTTGCCATTCTTGGGACAGTTGTGTCAGCCCTAGTGGTGGGAGGTGGGATTTATTTACTTGGGCAGGTTTGTAGATGATTTTAATATACACATGCACATGGAATGCAGGTTCAGGATCTCACTGAGCTTATAAATAATTTTATTCAAAATTTATAAACACAAAATTTTAAAATTGATTTATTTGCATTTACTGGTAAATCATATGGGTATCAAGTGAAATATAATTCAAGCAGAGTTTTTTTTATGGTTCAACTCATATTAAAGACACATGTATATATAATATTTCATTCCAATTTTTTACTTTAAAAAGTGTACATGTATGATTTATCTATGCATTCCTTTGTATCCATATTAAAGTCATATTCTATCTTTCTTTGTTCTTTTTAGGCCCAAGTGGTGTACAAACTAAGCTGGATTGAATCCTTTGCCTTTGGGTCGTTGATATCAGCTGTTGACCCTGTGGCCACTTTAGCCATTTTTCATGCTCTGGATGTGGATCCGGTACTGTACATGTTGGTGTTTGGAGAAAGTGTTTTGAATGATGCAGTGTCCATTGTACTTACTACGTATGTATTAAAGATGTTCTACATTTATAATGTGAACAGAAGGTTATATAATATTTATATGTATGAGAGATTTTTTGCATGAAGTTGATATTTGTTGTAAATTTATATTCACCTATATAATTACATGTATATACCCATATTTTCTGGAATAGAGTTTAATGTTGCAAATGTGGTATTTTTACAGTGATGAATTCAAATTCTAACATATCTAACAAAAACTCTTTGATAGCTTTACTAGTTTTAAAGATGTAAATATCAAGATTTCCTCAAATGAGATGCAGCTGTACATTCAAGTTTTCTAAAGGAATGTACATGTACTTGAAACTTATTGCTCATATTATACACATATACATTTGTTTTCATACATAATATATGGTTTTAAATAGTGTTGTCAAATCGGACGATTTTTAGCAACCTGTTACTTGCTTACTTTTCCGATCGAGTACCCAGTTACTTGGATGATATTCCTCACAATTTCCTTATCTATTATTTATCTCATCCTTTACTTATCGTTACGAAATAAAACACAAATGTACTTTATTTACAATTACAAACTCCAACAAATACCGTATAAGTAGAATTTTTAGCGAGGATTTAATTTTGGCATTATTTAGCGAGGGTGCTTAGATCGCTAAAATTGAAATTCGCTAAAAATTAGTCGCGTTTTATTTGTGATAGCGTCTTTAGTTAGCATTCTAAAATTGTTAAAATTACTTCTTGCTAAAAATAAATATCATTTTTTAAGGATAAATTGCTAAACTTTCGTGTCACTAAAATTTCCACTTATATCTTCCACAATATCTTCAAAGAAGAAGAACCTCGTAATTGCTGGTTGATTTTGTGGAGTGTCCAGTAAATCACTGATTTACGAATTATGTTTTAATCTTAGGTGATTTAACATATTTGTAGTCCCACCAGTATACATTAACTCCATTTCACATAATTTACAGCTGTACATTTAACAGATTTCAGATCAGCTGTTCGTTTCAATTACTTTCAAGCTTTCGATGTCTTCAGTGGCATCTCGTTAAATTATGTTCCTCTGACTAATAATTATGAGGTAATTGCAACTCAGGTCTTCGAATCTTGTATACCCCTGGCCATGAAAGCTATCAATTATATAAACTTTGAAAACTTATCAAAACGAATCGATCCTATTTGTGAAACACTAGATCAAGTTTAATGGTAAACAAAATTAGAGAAATGTTTTAGTATACATCTATAAACAATTTAACATTTCTTTTACTATGTAAAATGTATTTTTATCCGAGTAACCAAATAGCAGTTTTACTAACCGATACTCACATGGTTCGATGATTAACGAGTTAACAGGGTACTCCTTGACAACACTAGTTTTAAACTTTTATTTCAAAAGAGAGATCAATGTTGTTGTTAGGCATACTTTCATTATTACAAACCTGTAATATTTTTTTTGCATGTCCTTTCAGTACTGTGTTAGAGTATGCTGATCCTTCTGTACAGATCACTAACAAAGCAGAGGCTGTTTTCTCCGCAGCTGGCAGATTTCTTGTCATGTTCTTTGGTTCGGCAGCTATAGGAGTTGTGTGTGGCTTAATTAGTGCTTTAGTATCCTTTATCCATATGATACCAGTACATGTACCAGAAACTGTAGTTTTTAGCTCACCTGAGTCGAAGACTCAAGTGAGCTTTTCTGATCAAAAAATATGTGCCGTACGTCTGTCTGTCATCTGTTGTGTGCATGTATTTTCTGTAAACTTTTCACGTTTTTGACTTCTTCTCAAGAACCACTGGACCAATTTCAACCAAACATACCACAAAGCAACCTTGGGTGAAGCGGATTTAAGTTTGTTCACAGGAAATACCACGACCACTTTCAAGGGGAAATAATTAAAAATTCGTGAAAATTTGGTGACATCTTAAATATCTCAAGAACTACTGGGCCAGAAAAGATTAGAAAGCTTCAAGACATACTGTAGATTCAAGTTTGTTTATATCATAACCCCCTGAGGGTAGGGTGGGGCAACAACAGGGGATCATATTTATACATAGGAATATACTAGGAAATATCTTTAAAAATCTTCTTCTCGTAGGTAGTGTAGATTGAAGTTTGTTCAAATCATGATCCCTGGGGTAGGGTGGGGGCATAATATGTGATCAAAGTTTTGCATAAGAATATGTAGGAAAAAGAATCTGCTGATGAAAAACAGAAGGGCCATAGTTACTTCAGGTGAGTGTTGTGAGAAGAGCTTATACAGTGGTAAGATGTCCAAAATGAAACAATTTTTTTTTTCAAAATCTATTCCTCTTACAGTTTTGACTGATTTTTTGACTGAACACATAGTAGAGTTTGTTTTTGATTTCCTTGATCATATGAAATTTCTGTAAAATTCTTTCAAAATACTACTTCTCTGACAGTTTTGGTCCGATTAAAAAAAAAAAAAACCTGGTAAATAGATAGACAACAAGAGGGCAGATGTTTACACTGGTTTTTATCTTTGATGAAAATTGTTGCTTTGATTATTAAAACTGAATGAGTGAAACTTTTTTACTCTCGAAAGAAATGGTTCATTTAGGATACATAATCCATTAAGTACTGTAAACATTACCTGTTTAAGTGGTAATCATATTTTAGCACCTTTCGTGGTGCCTTTTGTCTGTTAATTTATGTACATGCTAATACATTAATACATGATTATACATTTATTAAATTCAGATACGCTAATTTATGATTGTGCTAATCAGACAAAAAGAAGAATGCCCAAAATTTTTAGTACCAGGTAGTTTATGTACATTGTACGCTAACAGTATCAATTATAAGCCTACCAGCTTAGCTATTTCTCTTTGAGGAATTAGAAATGTTCTTGTATCTTGATTTATTTTTAAAGAAAAAAAGGTACTTCATAAAGCAGAAGAATAGTTTTGTACATGATAAGGGAAGTAACTCTGTTCTGTAAACTAGTCAAAATCATTTACATTTAGATCTAGATTGTATAATTCTTTTTCTTAGGTACATTTACATTCATACATGTACAGTAGCGAGTACATATGCATTGTGTTTATGGAAACAATTGTGTTTAAAAAGTATAATTTATAAAATGTGTCCTACAACAGTAGACTATTTTCCTTAAATTTGTCAAGTTATTGAAATACATAGACTTGAGGAAAACTCCATCACTGGAGTTTGGACTCATGTTAACATTCTCATATTTGCCATATGCTTTAGCTGAAGGAATTCATTTATCTGGTAAGATAGAGGATCTCACTAGCACCATTATACCATGTACACTGTACATGTACTTACATGTGTAAAATCCTTATATAATATGTACATGTTTATCCTATTAATGAGTAAATGTATTTGGATACTTTTCTGTTATTAAGGTACATTGTCTTGAAAAATATTTCCCTTCTTTGCAAATATATATGTTATGAATAAAATATTTATTAATATAAATTTCTAAAGTTCCTATAGCAAAATATTTGAATTTCAATCAATTTTTTCCAGGTATTATGGCCATTCTGTTCTGTGGCATTGTGATGTCTCATTATACTCATCCAAACTTGTCACCTGTGACACAAATTACAACCCAGCAGACATTCAGAACTATAGCCTTCATTGCTGGTAAGAAAGCACTAGACACGCTCTGACATATTCTGTTGGTAAGAAAACACTAGACACGCTCTGCCATATTCTGTTGGTAAGAAAGCACTAGACACACTCTGACATATTCTGTTGGTAAGAAAGCACTAGACACACTGACATATTCTGTTGGTAAGAAAGCACTAGACACACTCTGACATATTCTGTTGGTAAGAAAGCACTAGACACACTCTGACATATTCTGTTGGTAAGAAAGCACTAGACACTCTCTGACATATTCTGTTGGTAAGAAAGCACTAGACACTCTCTGACATATTCTGTTGGTAAGAAAGCACTAGACACACTCTGACATATTCTGTTGGTAAGAAAGCACTAGACACACTCTGACATATTCTGTTGGTAAGAAAGCACTAGACACACTCTGACATATTCTGTTGGTAAGAAAGCACTAGACACTCTCTGACATATTCTGTTGGTAAGAAAGCACTAGACACTCTCTGACATATTCTGTTGGTAAGAAAGCACTAGACACGCTCTGACATATTCTGTGTAGTGAGGGATCTTAGCAAAGATAAGTGTTAACTGGTAGAATTTTAAGAGTTTTTATGTCATTTATCTGTGCCTGATGTTTGGTTGTGTTTTCTTCATTGTATACCATTATATGTACAAACTCCTGTTTAAAACATTGCATATGTGTACTGGTAGTTTCAGAATACTGTGTTGGCTTTTGTACATTTTGTATGTACAGACGTTTACGTATTACTGTGTTTTATGATCTTTTACAGAAACCTGTGTGTTTGCCTACCTAGGCTTAGCCCTTTTTAGTTTTAAATTGACTGTTAAACCTGCATTTGTGATATGGAGCATTGTAAGTAATTGTTTCATTGTAATGGTTAAAAACCTGTGAAATATTTACCAGAATTTGTTTATGGAAAATTTTCTCAGGAAATACTGAAATATCATCTATTTAGAATTTTCTTGTTTTGAATGGATACTTTGTTAATACAGTCAAAAATCTCATTATCAAGAACAGGACCAAGCAATCAAAATTAAGGTTAAAAATACATTAAAAAAAAAGTGATTAGGACCTCCAACTCACTTTATTAGTTACCCAGTTAGCTAGTGACCTAATACAGAGTCATCCAGGGAGTGAAATGGAAATCCATAGTGGGCAAGGAGAAGGCTGAGTATCATTATGGATTTCCATTTCACACCTTGGATGACTCCATATTAGGTTACTAACTAACTGTGTAAAAAATTTATCCTGCTGAAGACCTTAACAAGATTAATTTCAAGTTCAGTAACATATTAAAAAATATACTGTTAGAGTGGAATTTTTAGCGAGACACAAATTTAGCGATTTGTCCTTAAAAATAAGAACTTTGTTTTAGCAAGTTAATTTTGGCGATTTATTGATGCCTTGAGAGACAACGGTAATCTCCAATGCAGTATGAATTGTTATCGATATTCAATTTTAGCGATCTCAATACCCTTGCTAAAAATGCTAAAATTGAATCCTTGCTAAAATTTCTACTTATACAGTAATTCAAAATATCATTGAACGTCATATATACAGTATTACATAATCACAGCTAAAGATACGTACAATAAATTTCAACAAACACATCGTTTCCTTGCGGCCATTTGTTTACATCAAAAACACATAGAACAGAATCTTGCACCCAATTTTTAATACACCTCCTGATCGGAGACCGTGTATTATTAGTTACATAGTTTTGTAGTGACAGGGTACGGGATGATACCTGGTTAGTAAATTTCATACCTGGCGAGGCGAAGCCGAGCCAGGTATGAAATTTACTAACCAGGTATCATCCCGTACCCTGTCACTACAAAACTATGTAACGAATTTACCCCACCGATGAAATGTTTGTGGTCTGTGGTTTGTAAAATTATATTTTTTCACTATATATATGTTTCATCACTCATACAATGCCTATTATGACGTCACTTTGTGTGACGTAATGTTGTTTTGCGAGTGTTTCGTGCTGTAATAACGTACTGACAGTTTTGAAGACTTTCAGTAAAGGGAGAAAAAGGTTCCATCTTCGTTACTTACATTAGTTTACTGTAACATTGTCAACAGACACTCGGCAAATCGCGTGAACTCGAGTTGTTCGAACGTTACAAAAGAACGATAACTCCACATCGACCATGTATTGATTTTCAAGCGACTAGGTATAAGTAATACACCCCCTTCACGTGACAGACTTCAACCAATCGTAAGCCAGGATTTCATCGAAAAATCAACAGAGGTGGGGTAATAAAAATTTCTGGGCGATATGTGATCTGTCTGTAGCCAATTAATCAATCTTCTACAAATTTGTCTGAAGCATGATAATGACATATCTATGCCATATTCAAGATAACACTATTCGAGATACTGAAGTTCATCTGTATATATTTACATTTCCAATAAATTTCCCCTATGATTCTTTACAAAATAGAATACAGTTCATTTTCTCATGAACTACCATGGATGAGCATGAATATCTCCATTGTTACGTCATAATACCTTACTTGACGTCAAAACTATAGTGCAAACTGTTTTGCTTTAAAAATGACAGTTGAATGGCGTTATTTGTGGCAAATCATCAGAAAAAAATAATGTAAATATAAGAAATGAATTTCATTTTTGAAAATTCATAAGGTACATGAACTACAACGCTTCACGCCAGCATATTTATCATGAAGCGCTAACGCGCTTCATGAAATATGCCGGCGTGAAGCGTCGTAGTTCATGTCCTCATGAATCTTCAAAAATGAAATTCATTTCTTAAATGTACATGTATATGGTATTAAACATTTGTTCTTTTTAGGCTCTGATACTCATAGGAAGAGCTTGCAATATCTTTCCCCTGTCATTTATCATGAACTACTTCAGGGAACATAAAATCACCAGGAAGAATCAATTTATTATGTGGTTTAGCGGTAGGTGTCATTTCAGTAGTGTTCTAAGACAATATGCTTGTACAGTCATTATTCATTTATGTGTGTATTAACACGCTTGGGTAGTATTTTGTATAAAAGTTAATTTCTGTAGTTTCTGGGGTAGCATTCAAATTTCTGTGTGTGCAGTATTGTTCATCTGTATTACTAAAATAGGAGTCAATATCTTTATACATTTGCAAATGTAGACTGAACTGTAAAATATAGCAAACATTGGGAAAATACATTATCTGTTTTACCAAGTATCATTCAAAATTTTTGCATATATATATCAAAATATTTTTATATTGTTTAAATTAGTACATATCCAGTGGTCATATTCTTACAACATAAGGAGAGAAAAAAATGCATATATTGTTGTTTTTTTTTTCAAAAGAGAAATGGCTGGGTCATACAATGGCTGATTTGTATATCATTTGTAGCACACATGTATGAAATGAGATCTAAATTACCAAGAACAGTGTTAAGATATATGTTTGTGCATATATACATAATACAATCATGTTCTTAAATATATCATACTGTGTACATGTAGTAGAAAAATGAGTTGCCTAAAACATTTACCAGTAAAGTAGCAGTGCAAGACATTTACAAAGAATCACAAGTCTAGTGAACGTAAGATAAGGGAGAGAATGTCCCTTAGCTCTGGAACTTGCATTCAATCCCAAATTCCCATATTATTGGTTGATACATAATGAAAATGTTTTCAGTTCAACATGTTTTTAATGTTGACAGGTTTACGTGGTGCTATTGCTTTTGCTCTCAGTCTACACCTGGAGTTTGAGCAGGAGAAGAGATACGTTCTAGTCACGGCCACTCTAATCATCGTACTGTTTACCGTCATTTTTCTGGGAGGGATGACCCTACCAATGATGAAGGTAACAGATCAATCTGACAGCCCATATCAGTGAGAAGTATATTAAAAATGTTTTGAAAGGTTTAAAATCTTTTGTTTATATCACAATGTTTGACCATATTTTACTATGGATAACTACATGTACATTCCACATGTGAAATTGTGTTCTCCCAATTTGAAGTCTGTCATTTATTTTGTAATAAATGGTACTCATGTAAAATCTGGAATCTACAATACCTGATAAAAAAAATTGTACAAGATAATCTAATCATTGAATGAAACTTTTCTTAATTTACTTTATTATAAAGCATTTCCAGAAATCAATGTACATAGACATTATACACACGTCAGGCTTTATGATGGACTTTTGCAGTGCTTGGAAGCAAAAAAGAAAAAGAAGAAGAAATCAGAGAGAGAAGTCTCACTGAGTAAAACAAAGGAAATGGTAAATCATTTAATTTTCTGCTTTGACTCCTAAACTTCCTTAGCAGATTTTTTTTCAGCGTGTCTTTTCTTGAGTATTTGTACACTGTAAATAACCAAATTGTCTATAAAGAGGATATTCAATGTTTTGCAGATGAATATGGAATTTATTTCACGAGTGGGACAGGATTTTTTGATATTTTCACGAGTGCGAAGCACGAGTCAAATTATAAAAAAATCCTGTCTCACGAGTGAAATAAATTCCATATTCATCTACAAAACATTGAATTTTCTTTTTATTACATTTTCTTAGATTTTTCCTTTGCCTTCTTTTCATATTAAAGTGTTATAGGCTGTGATATCATAGTTGAGCGGTTGAGTCGTCATAGCTATAAGCGATTGCGAGATTGAAAAACGTTGTAAACATGGATTTTTAACATCTTTGGAAAAACTTTGGCAGTATAACTATTAGTCTCTGTCAGGATGGCTTATTAACTCTATCTTATAACTATCTTTTTAAAAAACACTCTTTGTGATGGGAAGGAAAATCGTAAGTTTTGTCGCACTTCTGATATTCTCACACTGTGAGAATACCATTTTGATACCCTTTCACACTTTGTCAGAATATCACTTTTATTCAGTAAATGAATTACAGTATTTCACTGTTGAAAATGTAATAAATACATGTACTACATGTCCTAGAGCATACAATGTACATACATGTATGTGTTAAAGTTTGTTCTTTGCCATTAATTTAATGGTTTCCTATGAAATCTATAAGACATGCATGTTTATAAATCTACCTAAATATTTGTGATAGGTTTATTGATTTAGAAAAAAAAAGAATATTATTAATAGTAACAAGTATACAGCTTTTATACTTAGCTACTTTTAAAACTGAAATTGACATTTTAAAGCTTTTTATAGAATAAATAAGAGAGAATACCCTTTCCATTCCTCCATAGTTATTTTAAAAGCATTGGTCTGAACTTAGAACAGGAAAAGCATTTGTAAAATACATAAATATTAACAAAATTATCCAAAAAAAGTGTCCAGTAAATCTTTTTTAAAGATATTGATCAGACAATTCTTCCTCTTCAACTGATTAATGCAATAATAAAACAGTCAGTTTTATTACTTTTCATTATGTATTAGCGTGTACATAAAGAAGAAGCAATGCAAAAGGTGCCAAAATATGATAACCATTTTACACTCAACATGTACATGCAGAAATGAGTTTGGCCTTTTAGGTATAAAACTTGTTTCAAGGTCATGAAACAAGGTCAGTACAAGAACAACTATTGTTCAAAGGATCAAGTCATTTTTTGTTGCTTCAGAGAGGGGAATCTTATGTTTTAATTAGTTCAACCGTTAGTGACCTTGAACTTTGCTATAATGTCCTTAAGTCAAGATCTTGATACACTCTGCATGTAAGGAGATACATCTTAAGTGTGCAGTGCAATATGAATTGAGCAAGGTAGATGTACAATTAGTATAGGTGTATATGTAGCTGGAGGAGCATGCAAATAAATGAACTGAAAAACAAATCAGAAGAAAAGGATACCTGTACCTTACCCATATAAGGCAGGTGTATGAATATTTAGATACAGATATCATTCTGAATTTTACATTTGATCAGATCATTATCACCACATTTGACATGAAATGCTCTAGAACCAGTAAACAAGCCAAAATTATAATTCAGTTAACCTTTTTTTGCTTATAACTTTTAATATTTCAAGGGGTAAGTTGTGGATATTAGCTGGTAACTGCTGCAGACACCCGCAGATACATGTATGTAATGAAAAATTGCACTTGCTTCAGACAACAAATTAATTATGAAACTAGCTCACAGTACTTATGGTGATTGGCCTAAGTTCACAAAGAATAGCACAAAGAATAGCAGCAGCTGTGTAAAAAATACAACCTATATATGAATTAAAGAATACCACTATGTGTAATGAATGGAAAAAAAAACAGTTTGCATGTTTGCTTAAAAAAAAATTCATGATAAACTTATCCCACTATGACACTCAAGAGAAATTCTTCGTATGCATATAGATAACAAAAAAATTATTAACCCATGGTGATAGGCACTGTGTACGTGTATAGCAAAAACAAAACAAAACAAAAAACATGCCAGTTAATCACTTTCATTATAAAGTTCAACCATTATGCACTCTGTAATGAAGCAAAGTTTGAACATTACATTAAGCCTTGATGTGTCCACAGTTAAAAAAAATAGAATCGGTAAGGGTTCTAATAAATATACCTCTTCGCTGGTTTATGTAAACACACATCTACATATTTAATCAGCAATGCATGGTATTCTAACAATAGTTTTACATGTGAAAGAGGTCATCAATTATACTGGAAAGGTTAATCTTTTAACTAAAGGATGATTAACACAAGTATAAATGTGTACATGTGTATATAATATATAGTCAAACAGTTACATCAGAGATTATATTAAAACACATCCCATGTTACCCTTATTACAAGAATATAAAATGATGGGTTTTTATTTGTCCACTAGGGAGAGACAGTGGACACAGACCACTTATCTGAGCTGACAGAGGAGGAGTATGAAGTAGGTTATGTTAGGCCACACCAGAAAGGCTTCATGAAGATTGACACAAAGTACTTGATACCTTTCTTCACACGGAGATTTACCAAACAGGTAATTAGGGGGTTTATGGAACAAAATATTGTAATTGTGGTTAATTTGACAGGTTGAAAGTTTGAAATTTCATTATTCTAGAAATTTTGAGTTAACCTTTTTTGATTTACTAGCATTTATTAATTCACTTTCACCATGATGAGATATTTGATGTGTTGAAACATTGGCAATCTTTAGACATTCATTCATTTTGTCAGTGATTCAACATCGTCACTGTTTTCTTTGTTTAAATTATGCAAATACTAGTATGTAAATCATGTCATAAAAATTCTTCAAAGCAGGTTTTATCATTTCAACTGGTTTCGAATTGCTATTTGCACAAAATCTTTTGTTTATGTACATTAGAAATACTGTACTTGTACATCTACAGTAACACATGTATTTTATACCATATTTTGGGACACATTTTATTTCCCTTCTTAGGAAGTAAAGGAGGGGAGAACCCAGATTAATCACCTGGCCACCCAGTGGTACCAAGATGTCCGTGCCGTCCCTTCAGAATCGGATTCTGAAGACGAGGCAGAAACTAGTCTTATCAATCACACTCCAGAAGTCAACCATCACTGATCTCGTACTTTGGTTGTTTCATGAAATGTCTTTAGAAAACAGTGGTTTCATATCCTAAAGGAAGCTGGACTTTCATAGTTATGTGTTCACAGCCTCTCTTTCTTTTGGACATTGAATTTAGCCATAAATATCTTACCTTCATGTATGTGGATTTACCATTGTACATTCTTTTTTAAACCAAGTTTGCTCAAACACATATATATGCTAACAACGTATATGTATAGTTATGATCTCTTATCTTACCAAAGATAATCTTTTAGAACATATAATTCTATTACACATACATATGTTTAATTTTACCTGATTTAAGTAATTGTTGATATGTGTACATTGTGTTGTAAGTGAAGTCTTTTTACAGAATTTTTCAAAGGTAAAATCCTCAATGAAAGATTTAGTCAGTTTGAATTACATTTGAATTACATTCCTTGTATGGAAATCTATATTAATTTGCATGGAACTTCTTGGAGATGAACCATATACTGTCAGAAAGCTAAAGTTGATAAATAATTAGATACAGTCGAAATTAAATTAACTTTTACTCAGTTTGTAGGTACAAAATTTCTTGTGCTTGAAATGGGCATATTGTCTGATAAAAGATATCATATTTAGATGAAGAGGATTGTGTGCAGACATACAAAAAAAAAGTGTAAACAGAGCTCCCTATATTGTTTGTTTTCTGGATTCAGTAAAACTTGGTTATAGTGAAGTCCTGGGGACCTGTGAATTATTTCACTCTATCCATATTAAGTTTAAATTTATTGTATCTGTAAAATGAATGTGGGTTAGTATTTGTATATTGCAAATTTGCAATATCCACCTGTATGTCATGAATACTGAATATGTTCAGGGAGGTAATCAATACAAAACTTTCCTTGGGGTACTAAATATATCTGATTCATTGAATTGCAAATACATGTATAATTTCTTCAAGAAAAGTAATAATGCCAGGTCAATAATTTGAATTTTAAAATTTTGAAAATTCTTAATAAGATTTGTAATTTTCCTTTATTTTCAACTTCTACTTCTACAAAATCAGTTTGCTATATATCCGTAAATTTGTTATATCAGAATTAATTATTACAAGGATTTGTTAAGAATTTCACTGGGGATCCCAAAAAACTTCACTATTTCTGTAAATTTGTTATGTACTTGTTCATACTAAATAAGTTTTACAGCAGTGCTTGGAGAGTGAAGCTTGTAAACTAGAATTTTTCTTGGTTAAACATGGCAATGTCTTTCAGAATAATCCATATTTTGCTCAGACTGTGATTTGTTGAATGTTCTCATAACTTATGTTTGTACAAATGCTTCTTCTGTAGAAGTAGATGTATGTATGATTTGTTCTGTTAATAATTCAATCTATCATTGAATCTAATTCAGTCATGATGCAAGAGAAAATCAAAGTATGATAACTGCAAGTTTTGAATGTGATGTAGGGAAAAAAAACAACATACATGTACATATTATGTTTTAATAATATGAAATTGTTGTGAGTTTGAGCACTAAAAATAATTTAGCAGTGAGAAATTGTTGTGTGATACATTGTACATGTGTTGTTCATCACACAGTTTACATACGTGATATTTAAAAGTTTGAATTCCATACCTCAGTTAAAATCATAGTATTACTATTCTCTTACTGTATTTATCTCTTAATTGTTTGAAAACAGTTTTTTTTTTTAATGAGTAATATTTTTCAATTTGCCTCTTCTTCTCTATGGTCAAAGGACATAATTTTTTTTTGTACCATTAGAAATTTTCACTAATTTCATTGAAATGCATTAATTTAAAGAATTTCATATAGCACATAAAATTTATCCATTTACCTAGTATATATTTGATATTAATTTTGTGTGTTTTCCCGAGTGAAGAGTGAAATTTACTAATCAATTTGTTATTTACATGCATATTACATGTATCTATCACATTATTATTATTATCAAACTGATGGTCACAAATATTGTTAGTGGATTGTCATTTGATGTAATTTTATTACTCTAGTGCTTAGTTCATTGATGTATTTAATGGGAAATTTTTAATTTATTTATTATTGTCAAACTTGTTTGTTCATATTGTAAATCCATGTGTGGTCACCAACAAGAATTAAAATTTTTATGTCAGTGTGAAAGAAAGGTATAAAGCTATTGTTCATGCACTTTGTAATTATAATTGCAATGAAAACTTAATAAATTGATAGCATCAAGATTAAGCTGAGTTGAACATCTTGAAATGCAGAATCTGACGTCTGAAAAAGTTAAAAACTATACAGAGGAATATATTAAATATTATCTAACTTAAAAGCATATTTAATTAATGCAGTCTTATTGTTCAGGTATATTATTTTATACTGAGTTGTGTACATTTTTAGTTTCCTCAAAGACAACATTATAATACATATATGCATTGCTAACTGGGGGTTCCCCTTCCATCATTTAATGGGATGTCTTTGTCACATGTGACCTAGTTCTTGTTGTCTATATCTACATCATTCTAATATCAGTGTTTTGAAATGTTAATGGGTAAAGAGGAAGAAAAATTTTGTACAGTTGAACTTTAGTTGAAGCGATTAGGAAGTACATGTATCAACTTCAAATTCTTTATGAATTTTACCCTCAATATCTCAAACCCTTGGACTCTATCAGTTTTTTTTCTCAGTCCCAACAACTTCCACATAACAAGGTTAGACTGTTTGACATGGTGTCTGCCTATAATGCGCCTAAGGGGGACTAGAAAAAAAATAATAGTCTTTCAAGCTTTTTCAATGGCAAGCAAATTGTAGGCATAATGATGCACAAAAGTGCCCTTTACCAACATTTTGAAATTTATGCCCCTTGTGTAAGGTGTCCAGGATTGGCTTTTAAGTTAGCCAATCCAAAATGAAAATGCATAATAATTTTCAAATGTCCTTAACTCTTGAGCATCTAGAAGACAAAGTATGAATCTTATTACTTAAATAACATCCGTTCAACCAAAACAACTGTGAAATTCCACTGTGTTATTCAGGCCAAGCACCTGGGCTAAGCATAAAAAACTTCAGTTATAGAAAAATATTTTTCAATCTATATTTAATCTCTAGAAGGCAGCATAACCTCCATCACTAATTATAATAATCAATCAGTAATCCCACCACACTTGTTCCCCAGGTCCCAACTTCATGATTTAAGTAGAATTGCAGAGTAAAAAAGAATTTTGTGTGTCATATTACAGGCAAATTAAATGTATGATTGTGTTGAGTATGCCTTCTGTTGAAATTCAGAAATTAATATCCCATATGGAACAAGAGGCCCATGGGCCACATCGCTCACCTGAGTAACTTTGGCCATGCTGTTCTTTACCAGATTTCCCCCCTTTTAATATACCTATTGTGGCCCCGCCCTACCCCCGGGGGTCAAAATTTGAACAATTTAGAATCTACACTACCCCAGGATGCTTCCAAATATGTCTCAGCTTTATTGGTCCAGTGGTTCTTAAGAAGAAGATTTTTAAAGATTTTTCTTATGTATTTCAATGTAAAACTTGGATTCCCTATTATGGCCCCGCCCTACCCCCGAGGGTCATGATTTAAACAATTTATAATCTACACTACCCAAGGTTGCTTCCATATAAGTTTCAGCTTTTCTGGCCCAGTGGTTCTTGAGATGAAGATTTGTAAAGATTTTTCTTATATATTTCAATGTAAAACTTGGATTCCCTACTGTGGCCCTGCCCTACCCCAGGGGGTCATGATTTGAACAGTTTATAATCTACACTACCCCAGGATGCTTCCATATAAGTTTCAGCTTTTCTGGCCCAGTGGTTCTTGAGAAGAAGATTTGTAAAGATTTTTCCTATATATTTCAATGTAAAACTTGGATTCCCTATTGTGGCCCTGCCCTACCCCTGGGGGTCATGATTTGAACAGTTTATAATCTACACTACCCCAGGATGCTTCCATATAAGTTTCAGCTTTTCTGGCCCAGTGGTTCTTGAGAAGAAGATTTTTAAAGATTTTTCTTATGTATTTCAATGTAAAACTTGGATTCCCTATTGTGGCCCCGCCCTACCCCCGGGGGTCATGATTTTAACAATTTAGAATTTACACTATCCCAGGATGCTTCCACCTAAGTTTCAGCTTTTCTGGCCCAGTGGTTCTTGAGAAGAAGATTTTTTAATGACCCCACCCTATTTTTGTCTTTTCTTGATTATCTCCCCTTGTAAGGGGACTTGGCCCTTTATTTTAACAATTTACACTCCCCTTTACCCAAGGATACTTTGTACCAAGTTTGGTTAAAATTGGCCCAGTGGTTCTTGAGAAAAAGTTGAAAATGTGAAAAGTTTACAGACGGACGGACAGACGGACGGACGACGGACAACGGGTGATCAGAAAAGCTCACTTGAGCTTTCAGCTCAGGTGAGCTAATAATTTGAGGTCCTTGTAGAGGCAATCTTTAAAAATTTTGCAAAACTATTAATTCTATCAATCCACATGAAACAAGATCTAGAGGATCGAAGTACATATAATATTCCTAATGTTTGTACATGGATCCACCAGAAACACTGATTAACGACTTGGAAAGAGAAAAACATATGCTTGTACTGAAGACAAAGGTTACCTCTGATGGCCAGAGTCATGGCACCAAAATTACACTCGAGACATTTAAACATATGCCATGACCTTTAAAAAGATCTGACTCGAGTCTAGAGAATGATGCATACATGTGCATGTATTATGAGCAACCCAAAACCCCTATTAGCTATTTGCAGACCATGTACATGCATTAATTTAAAACAAAATTACTCTGTGAACCTCCTTTGTGATAAATGACAAGTACAATCAAATAGTTTTGCATCATTATTTATTGATGATTTCATCTTTGTTAATTTTATTCTCTCTTCCATCACATAACAACTGGCCAATATAGTATAATTATATATATATATATATATATATATATATATATATATATATATATATATATATATATATATATATATATATATATATATATATATATATATATATATATATACTTGTACCTTTCATCCTTTAGAATCTGAATTCTATTGACATGGTACAAAGATGTCACCATAATTGAGTAAACATCTACATTTTTAATCAAAAAAAGTAGATCATCCACTTAAAGTACAACTGTCTGGAATACAAATTCATGTTTAACCTTAATACATAAATTTACTTTGAGCATTTGAGGAGGTCATAAATTTTTTGAGTGTCAATGAAATTTCCTTGAATGTCATTTTTATTTCATCTGATCTAATTTAAAATTATTGTACTTCAGAAACAATTTTCCTTTACATGGTGTATACAAACTAAAATAACAACATCAATGTGTATTCACTATTGTCATTACAATTTAGTTAAAAACATAGAATTTGGCATAAGGTGTAAACTTAAATTTTGTTTGTTTCCTCAGGATTTGACTAATAATTGGCATAAAAATTACTTAATTTTCCCAACCAAAAATAAAACTACATGCATGTATTAGACTAACTGCATATCATTTCATTCTTCAGAAAAAAAAAAACATTAAAAATTATTTTTAAATATTTTGGTCAGAGAAACAAGAATTAACATCTCTTAGAAACAAAACATTTTTTTTCCTTCCAGGTTAGTTTGAGAGAGGAAATAAACAAGACTACATTTTAACTCTTATTTTGGCTGAACACAAACACTTAACAACAGTACTTAAATTGATAACAATTATATGAATGGTGATAACAAAAAATACTGCAAACACTCACAGGTATTTTTTTATAAGAAGATAATATTGCTGCAAAAGAGACAAATTTCAGTTATGAGTATGTTTTGTTAATATCAGTAGATAGAATGCAGTGACATGTCTTCTGTCTAGCTGTGCATGTAGATATACAGGTACATGTATGTTAGTACAATTGCAATGTAAAACATATGATGATAAAATGAAGAAAATGATGGAATAAAAATAATCAGAATGTCCATGCAGTAAAGTGTCATGACAAAATGTATGCAAGTTCATATATATAAAACATGGGCAGAAATACATGTTTTTTGTGTGTATCTATAGTCCCCCACTGTACCATAATGATAAATTACAATCATGTAAAAAAAAAATATCCACTGTCAAAAATTCATCTTTTATCTAGACTGATTTCTTTGGCACACAGATATGATATTGTAGCATTGCATTGTTTGTAAACTTATTGCATTAGTAAAATTAAAAAGAGACAATTACTATTTAAATCATTTGGTGGAAATGAAAATAAAATACACATAGCTAAATGAAATGAAATTACTTGGTTAAGAAATTGTAAATATTCATTCTTGTACAGATAATTTTAGTACAATGTACTTTGGTGTTTATTTAAATAAATTATGGTTAATAAATAATTTTTCAAAGAGTATAATAAAATGGTTGTCAGACTCAGGTCAACATGATGAAAAAATTAATGTTAAAATATTAAAGGGGAAAAAATTCCATAAATACTATATAAAATTAAAGTAAAATAAGATTAACATCTCTGATTTACCCTCATGCACTAGATACATGTAACAAATATTTTGGTAAGATTAGAAAACAAAACAAAATCAACCATCAAAACAACAAGTTGAAGCAGTATAAAAAAATAATTAAATGTGAATAAATGCCCAGATGCTGGATTTGATAAACTATTTCACACACTTTTATTGCTAAGTCTTAACAAGTACTCGTAGATTGTTTCTTAAAACTAGTATTCTTCAGTTTCATACACTGCAGTACATGTATATAAATCAATAACAAAGTTTAATTCATGATACACATATTATTTTGCTCAAACACAGCAATCAAGAACACAGTCTTTTTAATGCATTGAGAAAACTATCAAAAACCAACAATTAATTATCCTAGAGTATACAAAATTCAATTGTGGCAAGATTATAAACATGATAAATCTCAACTTTCATCTCACAGTGTATCATATTGTAACAAAGCTGTCTCTATTAGCCCTCTGTTCCCAGTGTAAATTTGATAGCCTCTGCCCCTATGCTTAGGTCAGCTTTGTCCAAGTCTTTGCTTGTGTAAAGCTCCACCCACACTGGGCAGTGGTCACTAACCACTCCTCCCCAGCTCCAGCCATTGGGAATAAGAGCATTGGTCAATCCTTCTCTCACCACCCCAGAGTTACCTAAATGAAGAACAATATTGTCAGTAAGTGTGAGGAGAAAACACTGAATTATGGGATAGTTCTCAATAACATGTTCTACTATGTAACACAATATCTTGTTTTAAAGTATGCTATCACCAAAAAAAAAAAAGAGGCCCATGGGCCACATTGCTCACCTGAGCACATTGGCTAGGCAAAAGCACAAATTAGTTCAGTATTGAAAAGAAAACGGGGGGGGGGGGGGGGGGGGGGGGGGGGGGGGGCTTGAATTTTAAACTACCTGATGATGCTTCCATTCAAAATAACATATGGCTTTGTTGTGCTTGAGAAGAATTTAAAAAAAATTCCCCATATATTCCTTTGTAAAAATTTGATCCCCCATTGTGGCCCCTCCCTATCCAAGGGGTCATCATTTCAACAAACTTGAATCTACACTATCTGAGGATGCTTCCATATCAATATACCGTATAACGGGTATTTTCTGCAGTTGGAAATTTTTGCGATTTAACCCCTAAAAGATAGCAAATTAATTTCTGCGTTTTCAATTTCTGCGGTTGCATCATACCGCAAAAAATTATTTACTGGGTATGATCACCAATCTCTAAGAATAATTAGATAGCTGCCATGTTTACGTTTTATAAATTCATTGAGACATATTGATCAAAGTTGCATGAGAACTGGTATTAAGCTATTAAGCTTAATTAAACTACTATCTTTCAGTTAGTCTTTGTAAAATTATGTCTAGTCCCAATTAAAATGTATTATTGCAGTATCGGTCCACCCAAACAACAATAAAAAATCTTTATTCTACATTGTAACAAACGTTTTATGCGATCTATTAAAATATTTTAATATATAGATAATTAATGCATTCAAGCCATATTCTAAAAAATACAATTATAGATAACTGCCATCAAAATTAATCTGGTGTTTATATTTTAAGCTCAAACAAACAGTTGCATAATCAAGTACCGTAATTTTGGGGGTATAGGTCGATGGGGTATATAGGTCGAAAGGCTCATTTTCAGCCGTAATTTTTAAAAAATCCTTAGATAGGACGAATCCGGAAGATAGGACGAAGCTTTGTTTATCGATTTTCTAGAGATTCTTACGTATATACTACGTATCAGAACATGTAAACCTCTTTAATTTAACCCGTGATATTAACGTATTGAGAAAATAAACTGGTATTTTTATGAGTACAGCATTTTAACAGTGTTTTATACAAACATAGTTAAAATTTCCTTGAATTGTGATATAACGTATTTTCTCCAACTTGCCTATTCAATGCCGTCGTAGTTTGACTCTGTCCTTAAACACATAAATACGGTAGTATACAACAGCTATTATTAGGGAAATACCTGAAATCAACCAATAACCATTTCAATTTTAGAACATCTTGGACACATTCTTTTATTCCGACGTTGTTTACCGGGGTACAATATTAACTTCGATGACCGCCATTTTTATATTTCTTGTCCAGGGATTTGCTAAAACACGCAAATGACTATTACCAGTACATGTAACAGTGAGCAATTGAAATTAGTTATATTAACATATTCGATTCGTTAAATTGGGCGACCCCAACGGTTCTGAGAAAAAAAGTATCGACCTATACCCCAAAACTTACGGTAACCTAAAGTTGACCGTGTACAATCATAGGTGCCATGTGCATTGAGGCGTAACTAATCCTGTCAGTCGTCAGCATTGTGTGAAATTCACGAGACAATCAAGCCACTTTGTGTATACAAGCAGTAATTATGGTCTCCAGATAAAACACAAGATTGAAAAAAGTGTTAAAGAAAAAGCTACTATGTGTTGTTTGCAGCTATCGGAGTTTAGACCATTAATTGCGAAATCTCTCTTAGTCATTTACATGTACATGTATATCCGTATAAAGAAGTACATGTAGGTACAAGAAAAGATGTTTTTGTATAAACTTATTAAATTGATATTATTTACAGCAACGTTTTAATTCAATATGTTTTGGAAAAATCCTGATATCTAAAATCTTCGAATTTCGATGACACCAGAATTTTCTTGCCAACAAGGACATACGCACCACTTATCATACTTAAAATATATATATCTGAAGAAATATTGAAAAATATTTTGCGATTGTAATTTTTGCGGATTTGTCCTATCCGCAAAATTCCGCAAAAATTGGACAACCGCAGAAAATACCCGTTATACGGTAACTAAACATAGCTTTTCTGTTCTTGAGAAGAAATATTTTTCTATATGTTCTTATGTAAAACTTTTGATCCCCCATTTGGCCCCACCCTACCCCCCCAGGGGTCATCATTTGAACAACATTGAATTTACACTATTTGAGGATGCTTCCATATCAAAATGACTAAACATAATTTTCAATTCTTGAGAAGAAATTTTCCTATATGTTCCTATGTAAAATTTTCGATCCCCCATTGTGGCCCCACCCTATCCCCGGGGGTCATCATTTTAACAAACTTGAATCTACACTACCTAAGGATTCTTCCATATCAAAATGACTAATCATGGCTTTGTAGTTCTTCATCAGAAGATATTTTCCTATATATTTCTATTTAACACTTTGATCCTCCATTGTGGTCCTGCCCTACTCCTGGGTGTCATGATTTGAACAAAATGGAATCTACACTACCTGAGGATGCTTCAACATAAATATGATCAATCAGGGCTTTGCTGTTCCTGAGAAGAAGATTTGTAAAATTTTTCCTATATATTTCTATGTAAAACTGATACTCCATTGTGGCCCCACCCTACCCCTGGGGTCATGATTTGAATAAATTTGATTCTACACTACCTGAAGATGCTTCCATATAAATATGACTCATCATGGCTTTGCTGTTCTTGAGAAGAAGATTTTTAAAGATTTTCCTATATATTTCTATGTAAAGCTTTGATACTCCATTGTGGCCCCGCCCTACCCCTGGGTGTCATGATTTGAACAAACTTGAATCTACACTACCTGAGGATGCTTCCATATAAAATTCCAAATTTGGACGAAATGGACCCATTGGTTCTAGAGAAGAAGATTAAAATGTGGAAAGTTTACAATGAGAATGCCAACAACAACCTGCACTGACAAGGACAAAATGATCAGAAAAGCTCATTTGAGCCTTAGCTCAGGTGAGCTAAAATCCTTCCAATATTTCTTAATCTTCAATTTTGATATTGGACAGGAGCTCATATAATTTTTGTTCATTTGTTTTCAAAAACAACAGTACAGATGCACAAGACTGAAACATACACACACAGGAATAAATATAAAACAAACATTACCAGTGGCTACACTCTTTGTTTCCTTTGTTATCCAGATGTGATCATAGGTGCGACTGCCTTTCAAATTCTTATTGCTGATATTTGTGTAAGCTCCCACAGGTATTGCATTAGTATAGCCTCTCTCTCGCAAACAATCAAAATCTGTCAAATATATAAAAAAATAAATCATCAAACTATTAATGCCTTATGTGGGACGGAAATCTTTAAGCTTCTCTTTATGAGGAATTCAAGGAGATACATTGTACATTTAATTCCTTATCATGGCAGTTTGTTTTTTTTTTTTACATGCATGTATAATGCCCCGGGTGTGACAATACTGAAAAGGATCAAGTTCAAATTTAGAATGTCTGACTTCAATATCATTAGGGGTTATCTACTCCTTAGAGGGTACCAGTGTACCAAGTTTGATGTCAAGGTCAATGGGCCAAAATTGTTGGTAACCAAAGGAAGCCATAGCACCAACTGTTCAAAAGTTATGACAAAAGTTTAAATTTTTCAAAAGTAGGTCAAACTCCAAGGTCAAAGTTGTTGGTATTCATGGAAAGGTGTTGTCACAAGGAATGCACATGTGAAGAATGAAAGCCCTAACACCAACTGTTCAAAAGATATGGCTAAGGTTTAAGTTTTTCAAAAGTAGGTCAAACTCCAAGGTCAAGGTCAAAGGGTCAAAGTTGTTGCTATCCAAAGGAACGTCTTGTCACAAGGAATACACATGAGAAGTTTGAAAGCCCTAGCACCAACTGTTCAAAAGTTATGGCCAAGGTTAAAGTCTGATAATTTTTTGCAAAAGTGGGTCAAACTCCAAGGTCAAGGTCAAAAGGTCCAATATAGTGGTACCCAAAGAAAGGTTTTGTCACAAGGAATACACATGAGAAATATGAAAGTCATAGCTCCAACCGATCAAAAGTTATGGGCAAGGTTAAAGTTTTTGTGGACAGACAGATGGACAGACAGGGCTAAAACTATATGCCCCCAAATCTTTGATTGAGGGGGCATAATAAAAATAGAAATTCAAAATTGTAAACAAAACAGCAATGCAAATGTGTCTATGCCCTTTTAATTTAATACTCCATCTAAGATGCACACAAAATATGGTACAAAAAGTACATCATTGGGGTTCACAAAGTTCATTTGAATATCATGACCTTGAAATTCAATATGCTCCTTTTCAATTTTCATGTAATTTAAATACCTAACCCATCTATACAGGTATTTGTAAGCACTAAGTAGCATAAATGACAAAGCAATTTCAGATTTGTCTCACCTTCTAAATCTGGCTCCAAATTGAAATCACCCAGGAGTATAATATCCTTCTCTCCTGAAAAAATGCAATGAAATCTTTTATTCTATATCATTTAATTTTAAAATTACAAGCCTTGTTAATCTGAACGCTTGTGTTCCCGACCAAACCGTCTGGATTAATGAAGTTTCCAGATTACTGAAACATACTTAGTATATACATGTATAAATATAAATTGTTCTCCATAACTTTCATCCGGAAGTTGTGGCATCCAGATAAATGAGGCTCCACAGTGTATGTGTATTTCATGTTTGTAGAAGTGTACAAGCTTCTCTATCTCCTAAACCCAACAGAGTCCAAATGCACTCATCAGGCCCCAAGCCTTACAATCTGTCACAAATCATATTTATAGGGTCCTAGGCCAATTAATTGCGAACTTAGCTAAAGCATTTTAACTCATGCTTTTCATCCAAATTTTTGGTTATTTTTTTTTTTTATTTTTCCTGTGTATCTCTTTCTGAAAATAGTATTCTTAGAAAAACATATTATATTAATTTTGTTTAGATCACCTTTACCTACATAAATAAATCATTATCTTCTCCTTATGTTCTTATTCAATGTACACAATAACTCCCCTGCTTCATCCACAATGTTTCACCACCTCGTATCCAAGATATTTTGCCTCCTCATGCACAGTTTGGCAATGTCTACTTTTTTGTTGTTCATTTTGTTTGTGTTTTACATGGTGGTCCCCCATGAGATTCACTATCTTCATTTCTTTCAGTCTGCTATGAAGTCTGGGTTGATACTTTGTTGTGTTTTGTATCTTATTATCAAATATTTTTGTGAATGACATACTCAACTTTGTATAGATGTCTGTGCTGTACATCCCTTCAAATGTGCCATTTTCTATAAATCCTGATGGTCATTATTAAAATTCAAATCCAGTCTTTGGAATTAATAATATGATAACAGTGACATATATTCCATATAGGCAAAAAGGCTGTAGCCTACACATCATTTTGTCAGGGAAAAAAACTTAGTGGAAAAAATGGGGGAGGGGAGTTAATAATAAATCTTTTATTTTAACCTATTTTTTACTTATTTTGTTGCAAATGCCAAAAAAGAATTCTTAGCAATTCACACTTTTATACCTATCCAATGTAAATGTTTACAGTTTTGCTTTTTAAAGCCGAAATTCAAGTGTTATATTAAGTCTTATCAGACAATTTCAAACCATCGACAGCAACAGGATTAGTGCAGGAAATGAAATTGATAACTGGAAATACTTTTGGTTAGTAGGAAATTAAACACGTTGCTTTTATTTGGATTATTCAGTAAGGAAGTTACCATATTTTCTAAGCAGAGTAAAAGGATAAGTTAAGAGTTCTCAATTTTGTTAAGTGGTCTTCATGTCATGATATAAACTGAAAATATGTTTACAATATTATTTTCACTGGTCAAATTACAATCGTAGATTTCTTTGAGTTTGCAAAAATGCTCCCTTTGACCCCCCCAATACCTATCGAGAGAGGGCTCCTTGCCTTACCACACTTTGCACATCAAGTTAAATCTGTGACTTCACACTAGCCTACATATCAGCAGAAAGGAATGTACGCCATTGGATAAGAAGTACAGGCTATGACCACAGGTTACTAGTGTAATTCTGATGTACCACAGGATTGCACTGCACGCACCCCTACCACACTTGGGTTTATTTTCAAATATAAAATCATGTAATTCAGCTAATATATCTCAACTGTTTAATATAATAAAATTCATACAAATAAGTTACCTAAAGAAGCTGACAAGAAAGACATGAGAAAATTATTAAATAGACACAAATGCAAGCCACACTTAAATATAACCTCTATGTTCTGTGACCCATTTTAAATTGAACCACCCAGAACAAAAGTTTTCGTATAGGTATTTTTACCCTTGTGCGTGTATGGTAAATATACTCACATCCTACTGTATATATATGTATAGGTTAGGTACTGCTTATAGGATAAATCATTACCTGGTATATATGCCTACTTATATTATCCTGTTGAAGTGTCATTTATACACAGAGATACATGATATATTATAAAACTTTACTAATTTTCAACTGCTTTATGAACAAAATAGAAAATTCCTACATTTAAATGTAATTTTGCTAGCCATTTTGAATTAGGAAATTCAATACAACTTGTGATTCATGGCCATTTGAAGAAGCAGAAAAATGGGTTACTACATATTGTATATGATGAAGCAAAGAACAAGGTATGATTTCAATACAAATCTGGCCCTGTATTTCTCTAAACTTTAGAAGTGGTGTAAGAAATTAAACTTCATTCTTTCTGAATTATTGAAATTCCATGCAGTAAAAACATACAAATTGTTTTTCCAATATGACCTTTTAAATGCTAATTGTGACATCATGAACTTGTGCATTTTCCCGTATTTTCTTTAAAGTTGCAGAAGACATCGATTTTCAGTGGAATTTTCTTTCAGAAAACATACAGCGCATGCATCGCCCACAAAGATTTTGAGATATGTGATTTTCCAAAGCATTTTACATAATATATCTAAACATTGAAGTGGGCGAGGGCTGTGGACATTATTTTCTTAAGGAAAATAAACACAGAAATGAGTCATTTTGAAGCTTTTCTGCATAAAAGTAAGAAATGTGCCACATTAATGACGTCATATTTCCAGAATGGTCCTCCTTCCTGCCATATTCTTTAATGATTTATCATATTCATCTACTCAACTCATGTTATAGCCAATTTAATAACTTTTTAAGAACATTAAATTTATAGGGCACAATTAAGCCCAAACAGTGTCTTCTTCAACCTTTACTCTCAATGTACATATGTGTAATGTTTCTATGAAATAGAAAATGGTTGATCAATACCTGGGTAGTGCTCCTCTATAGCTTTAACAACCTTAGGTACATTGTCTATCTCTGCCTGGAGTTTCTCCAAGTCCTCATTGTCCAGTCCCGTAGCCTTCAGATGGACACTAGCCATTACACAGTCAAACTTCTTCATCTATCAAAAAATAAAACTGATCATTCGTACCTATAGGCATATTTTTTGTCCTAACAAAAGATAAGTAGGTCACAGTGACCTGTTTTTTTAAAGTTTTGCATGCATTCATCTTCAAATTGTTTTAGAGGCATATTTTGAGCATTTTGAAGCCTAAACCCTCTTTATTAAAGTGAGGCTTTTGATGTAAAAAGACAAGCTGAAAGTGGGATAACTTCATTTCACTGTAATACCCATTGAATACACTTTTCTTTTCTTTGTAGGCAACTCTTTTGAAAAAAAGAAAGATGTTTTTGCATAGATTTAGCATCTTGTTTCAGTACTAAATATGTTTAGGTGCATACCTTTAAAATTCCAATAAAGGGTCTGCGAACAAAGTCTCTAGTGGAACTAGCTGGCTTTTCTAAATTGGCAGAACTTGATAGAGAAATTCCTTGTGATGTGTCATACAGAAACCCATTATATTCCAAACTCTACAATAAATAACCACAGAATTATAAAGATAATGAGAGCAGTGCAAAGATGGCAAAGTACCCTACTAAAGTGAAGTGTACAGCAGTGTTAATTAAATGACCAAATGTTATATATTCATAAAGTATTACACTATAATCATTATAATGAATACACCAAATTATTATCCCTAGATGACAGTGATTTTTCTATATCATTATATAAAATCTTTTCTAATTTATTTATCTAAATTATTCAGCTAGAACATTAAAATATGTAAAATACGGTGGAAATTGAAGAAATGTTTAAATGAAATGGCCTTATCACTAAACTAATAACCTTTTGGCAGAATTTCCAGACTTTGAATTTTGCTACAGAAGGTTAGAAAATTATAATCTTTGTGACAAAATGATCTCTTTTTCTGGTTAAGAAATTCTTCAAAATCAAAATTTAAATAAATGACATTGAAGATTTTCAGGTATATATAAATATTAAGTAGATTATTTACAAATACATGCATACAAGTGATTATAACTGTCCTGTATTTGTAGGCATTACGCATCTTTATGATGCTCAAAAATAATACCATATTCTCTCTATTAAGCACCCTGGGCAATCACAAACTTCAAAAAGGTTATTTAGTATTTAGACAGTACCAGTATGTTCTTTGTGAATCAAGGAGGAACATTACAGTGTAGTGTCATGGGAAAATATCGATGATTGGATAATTTAGATTTTTGGAAACCAGAAGCAATGTGTCTTTAAAGTTTTTCACCAGCAACACTCAACTTCATTATAAGGTAATAAAAAGGGAGTCCTTATTCTCCGACAACTGAAAAATAATTCAGGGGCACTAATAGGGGCAGGGCACATAGTACAGTAGAATATGGTATGCTTTACCAGTTTTAGGGGCTCATTAATAAAAGAAAATTGAGCAGTAAATGGTCTCAATTTTTTTTTTAATTTCATCAAACCTTACACAATCCAACTACAAGAAACATTGCATAAATTGAGTGATAAGGCATCACTTGCAGGCCTGACTCTAAAAAAGACCTTTAATTTGACAGATCACATTAAAGACAGTTTAGACTCTGAATCCAAGCTGTTGTACAGCAAGCTTGATAATTAATCCCCAGGGACAGATTATGATATTTCTGTTCTTGTCTGGAGGTATTGATTTCTTGAAAGTACAAGTTTCTTAAAAGAAGTTAAGAAAATTATAAATGCAAATTTCTATAAGTCACATGCATATACAGAACTGCCATGGGCCTTTTTTTGATAGTTTTTTAATCCATTCAAAGGCTCAAAGCAGTCATTAATTTGAAAAAAAAAATCCATTTTTGGGGTGGGTGGGGGGCCTTCTTTGTTAACTACATGTATCATCATGTCATAATGTCTCAATAAAGGTTCGTTTAAAAAAATATGCAAAAGGAAAATCAGTCAAATTCAAAAATGACCTTGACCTTAAACTTTTGACTTCAAATGGATTTTCTACAAAAATGAATTTTCAATCCACATGTCATGGCACCTTGTGACCTCAAAAACAGACATCTACTAAGTTACATACATAAAATATGAACTTGATACAGTTATACATTTGACAGTTTGTCATCAGAAAAACCATTGGGACATCTGTTCATCCTGCCATGGCATGGACAGTAAAGCATACCCTGCATTTGTAAACAAAGGTATGAAAACTGATTAATCTCACAGGTTTATTTCCTTCATCATATTGACTTTTCTAAACCTTAAGGAACACACTCAATGTTCATATTCTCTAAGCACAACATACAGACTTTTAAATTTGTAATTCTTTGAGACTACATGTATTTACAAATGTTATTACCACTGAGGATATATTTTTTATATCTCTTGCCAACAGAATTCAATAGCCATACATGGAATTTTTACAGGAGAGATCTTTAAATTCTGTACTTTATCACATCTGGAAATTAAAAGGTCACTCAAGAGAGTAATTCTACATACATATTCCAGAACTACCTCAAAGTTAAATCAAATACCCAGGTAATTCCCTGCCCTCTCAATGAGACTTTCATCCCTAAGATGTCACCACAATATATATGCTCATATTTTTTCTTGATGTATAAAACAAACTATTGGGTAAATGCTATGCATCCTCCCATTTTATTGGTGGAAATGCATTAGTAGCATATCTTGAATTTCCTTATAAATTTTCTGTTTATAAAGACTCATACAAATCATTCATTTCCTTTATGTAACTGAAAGCTTCCTTATTTACAAAAGCAAATTAACATCAGTACAATAAACACGATAAATAACAAATAAATACAGATCCCTCCTATTTCATGTGATACCTACCCTGTACATTCTTCCTGTTGCCTTGGAAACTACACACTTCCAGGTGCCCCTCATTCCAGGCCATTTCATGACATGGGTAATTGTGGGATTGTTCAATTCATCACAAATCTAATAGCATAAATAAAAAAACAAATGTTATAAAATATTTAATTATGCTAGAATTTTTAACTATATCATCTTTACAATTAGATGTTTGGGCTTTCTGTCTTTGATGCTTTTATGAGGACTAGTGCATGATTAAAACATTGAAATTTTATCAGAAACTAGAGATTCCAGAGAAACTATAAAGTAATTGACTGCAAATGACATAATAATCTTCTGGTACTAATAAGAAACTCTCTTTCTCTTGTTCATGTTGTTTTAGCCAGAATACATGATAGGCTTACACAAAACAGTTACCATGGTTATAAGTGAAAAACTTAACGAATAAACATAAATTATTGCTTCTAAGATACTTCAAACATGAACATTTAATATGCATACCTTTTGAAGACTATTTTTATCTGCTAGTTCTTGGAATGCAACAACCCCAAAGCTGTAGAAAAGAAATATATACAAGTTACATGTGTATAATGTTCACAAATGTCTTACACTTATTTTAGGAATGACTCTAATTCTTGGCCAAATTATTCGATTATAACCTGGTTTGGGTCAGTTTACGCTTTATAATCCGCGAAGCGGATTATAAAACAGCGTAAACTGACCCAAACCAGGTTATACTCGAACAAGAGGCCCATGGGCCTTGAATCGCTCTTCTGATAAACTGTACAACCTATCACTTCTATTTGAAGCCTCGAAGTATCCTGTATATTTAGATAAACCCTTGAAATTCCAATTCACACTCTGAGAACCCAAGATGATTCTAAGCCAATTAGTACCTGAGAGTTGGTCATGGTGACCTACTTATCACTTGTCATTCTCTGAGGACCCATTAACTAAGTTTGATGATTCTAAGCCAATTAATACCTAAAATATTTTTTAAAATTATAACCATAAAATTTTATAAGTAGGTCAAAGTGACCTACTTTTCAATTGTTTTACTCCAAGGACCCAAGATGCATCAACTGACAAAGTTTGATGATTCTAAGCCAATTAGTACCCGAAATATTTGATTAAAGCCATAAATTTCCAAAAGTAGGTCACCGTGACCTACTTTTCAGTTGTTGTACTCCGAGGACCCATGACGCATAAACTGGCAAAGTTTTACGATTCTAAGCCAATTAGTACCCGAAATATTTAATTAACGCCATAAATTTTCAAAAGACGGTCACTGTGACCTACTTTTTAGTCGACCTACTCCGAAGACCCAAGATGCATCAACTGACAAAGTTTGATGATTCTAAGCCAATTAGTACCTGAAATATATAATTATAGTCATATAAATTGAAAAGTAGGTCACAGTGACCTACTTTTCAGTTGACCTTTTTTGAGGACCCAAGATGCATCAACTTACAAAGTTTTATGATCATAGGACTTAAAATGTCCAAATTATGCCTCTAAAACGCTTCGAAATTGAATGCCTGCAAAGTTCAAAAAGTAGGTCACTGTGACCTACTTTTTAATAAATATGTTTTATGGCCCCAAGATGCATCATCTTACAAGATTTAATGATTCTAAGCCTCCCCGTATTCGAATTAATGACCTTAATTGTTTTAAAAAAGATGAGCCATAAAATTCAAAAAGTAGGTCATGGTGACCTACTTTTTAGTTGACGTACTTTGAGGACCCAAGATGCATCAACTGACAAAGTTTGATGATCATAGGCCTTAAATTCTTCAAAATATGCCTCTAAATTATTTTGAAAAAGAATGGCCGCAAAATTTAAAAAGTAGGTCACCGTGACCTACTTTTGAGTCAACATGATATGAGGTCCTTAGATGCACCAACTGACAAGATTTGATGATCCTAGTCCTTATAGTAAGCAAAATATCAACATTTTAATAAAATGTAATTTTTGGTCAACTTTGAAGTGACCTTGAGACCACGCCCTTTGCCCCAGGGTAAATCCCCGTGCAAATTTTAATCTACAACATATCCTCATCCTTTTGTGTAAGTTTGGTGATAATCTGCCCAGTGGTTCTAGAGAAGAAGATTTTTTAGCAACCAGTACTTTTGTTTCTATTTTCCTAATTATCTCCCCTTGTTAAAGGGTCACAACCCCAGTTTTAGTATAAAAGGGAGCCCTTGGGCCAAGGATACCCTGTGACAAATTTGACAATAATTGGCCAAGGGGTTCTTGAGTTATGGCCCATATTCTAAAAAGTTTACGCACACCGCACAAATGGCCATAGCATTAGCTCTTTGAGCCTTTGGCTCAGAAGAGCTAATAATTTGGCCAAGAATTAGAGTCATTCCTTATAATTTAATTTTAAAATCATTAAATAAATATGGGTGTAAAATTTCGTTGCTTTTTATTAGTTCAAAGTTGCCGCTCAATAATACAACCGTAGTAACGGAAGTAACGGAAGTGATGGGAAGCAAGGGGAGGTAAAAACTGATACACAGGCCCAGCAGCTTGTTTACATGTGGTAAGATCGAACTATTGTTTGAAGTTAAAGGTATATTTATTAAATCTGGAATTTTCCATGAATCCCGAGGACTGGAAATGAGAGGATTGTATGCATACAGACGATTCAGCTGGTTGTCAGGGGGGGTGTGTCCCCATACTAAACCAGGTTATACAGAAATAATTTGTGTTCCTTTTTGGATATTAACCAATCAGATGCTAGAATACAAACAAAATTAAATTATTACGCTTTATAATACACTAGCTACCATAATATCTTTCACCATACTCTTTTTAATTACAATACAGGTACATATATAAGGGATACACTAGCAACTTGAATTGTCTACCTAGTGATTTAAACAGGGACCTATTATAATATACATGATTGTATATACATTCAATCATCAGTAATCTGGACACCAATAATCCGGACAAGTTTGTGGGGAACAGTATTTCTATTTATATATCTACCAATTATAAAAGGTATGTTTCAGTAACCAGGATGCTTCATTAATCCAGAAGACATGAGTGTCCAGATTAATAAGACTTGACTGTACAAGTGATTTTAATTTTTTTTTAAATTTTACGATAATGTCCTATAAAAAACTGTATAGATTGATTATATAGATTGATGATGAATGCAGAAATGTAGAATTTTGAATATCATAGAAAGTTTACAATTTCGTAATATTTTAGAAATTTGTTATTTTCATCATTTACAACTAAAATAGGTCCAAATATATATATATATATCTCAATCCATGCAGCAGAGTTGTCCCTAAGATCCGAGGCCTGGGATTTTCTCCACTTATAATGGGGTTACCCCCGTTATTTTGGTATATTCCTCCTAAACTCCCCACTAGGGAAGGAACCCAGAGTCCCCTTCTACTTTTTAAATGTCCCCTTATATTTAAATTCTTAGGGATTACCCTGCATGCAGGCATCCATTTTTTTGTTTTTATCATCTGTCCCTCAGTCTTTATCTCTATCAAGCCCTGCTTGGACCAAATCTAAATACACTTCATAGCAATAATGGGGATAATGAACCTAAACTAATATAGTGTTAAATATTAAAAGTAATACACTAGTCCCCGAAGACAGTGTATTGATATGAAATACACTGTAGACCAGGTTTCATAATATAGGTAGAACAAACAATAGATCTATGTACATTGTACCATATTGTAAATAAGATATATATCGGTATTATATTATATAATGTTGAAATTCAATGGTTACCACTATCATCTTGTTCAAATAAAACTTCATTTGTAACATAAAGATATAACTAGTAATAAATTACAGTGTCAGATATATTATACATGCTACACTTTAGAAACCATCGATCTTTTTGAAAGTTCTATTTGCTTACTACAATAATCAATAACCCCATAAATGATACTTCATTTCCTCTTTGTAACAGTGCAGCAGTTAATATGTATTTTTTTAAACAAGTAAATATTTATAATCTCCTGCTATAATTAAGGGTTAAGACTTAACTGTTCTGCTCAACACAGAGTGGTTGATGACAGGAGTAACTAGTTAATACACTATCAATGCATGCACTGCATGCTTTATGTGCAAATATGCATATCATTTAACAGTTTAATATATTCCACATATCAAATGTCTATGATTTTAACTGATTAAAGTGAACAGCTTTTCAAACTTTTAGTACATGTACAAGAACTTCTAAATCCACAGTTAATACATGTAGTGCTTGATCAATTAAAAAGAAATCTTTCATCAGAAAGAACCTTGCTAAGGCCAAACAAAAAAATATGTGTGGTTCCGGTTACACTTCCAAAAAAATTAGGGTAGGTAGGTAGGGATTTTCTTTTTTTTTTTCTTCTTTTTTTTTTTTAACAAAATGATTTTCTTAATTTTTTCTAAATAATACCTATCACTGCTTTGCAAATGGCATTTAGATGTGGTGTGATAATATACTAGTCAATATTGGTAGGGGACACCTACATGCTAGCTTGCTTTGGATAAAACACTATTAAACACTTGTGCTATGTTTTGCAAGGAGGCCGTCATTGCTGAAACTAAAACTTAAACTGGAGCCATTGATGGAAATCAGGGGAAATTCCGGAAAAAATATAAAAATTGCCAAAAAAAAGTTTAGGGTCGGGGGTATAAAATAGGGAAGGTCGGGTAACCGGAATCACACATATTTTTTTATTTGGCCTAATTTCATAGATAAGAGTTCAAGTCCTCAATCAAAAGGATTGGTGTACACTGTACAAATGCAAATCTCATATTAAATCTTTAATATATAATACTCTTAAATTATTATATAGACATGTATAAGTACAATTAATGTTATAATGTTATAAATCTTTATACATGTATGAACTAAAGAAATAATAGATTTGACACATAAGAGTATGAATGGTCCATCATAGACAATGTATTAATGAACTGAAATCAAAGGGGCTTAATTGCACATTAATGAGCACTGTGTCAGAATTAGGTCACATGATCAAAAGACAAGGCATCCTTGGCACAGTCATTACTGGTAATGATTAAGCTGCATCAGTGATGATGTGTATAACAATGCTTCAACCGTCATCACATCTGCGTTTTATTTTCTATTAATTTTTTTTGTCTGATCTTGGTGCTCTCCTCATTGTGTAAATGAAAACAATATTCGTAATTGACTTTGTAACTGAATTCCTCTCACTATTTTATTTTAAAAATCAATTCAGTATGTTACTTTGTTTGACAGTTTCATAAAAAAACGAACTTTCTCTAAGCTTACATCATGATGCAAGTTATTTCATTGTGGTATATGATGCATGGAGACATTGGGGTGGGGTGGGGGTGAAGATGGGGGTTATGTGTGTATGCTGTATATGGTGAACTGTACATCACTTTCAGAGAAAACCTATAAAATGCTAAGACCTCTGAGATGAAGAAACTCTGTAATATGTACACAAATTCATAAAGAATTCCTGATTTCCTTTTCCACACTTACCCATTCTCCAGAATAGTCATACAGATGACTTCTCGGACTCCTATATTGTTGGCTTTTTCTTCGTCAAATCTTTCCACATTCCAAGAGGCCACCCTCACAACAGAGCGATTCTTATGTTTGAAATTGAAAGGTGTCACTTTGGGGCGGGTACCCGATTTGATAATAGGTTCTAAAATGTCCAGCATATTTTCTGTTGAGCTTGATAATATCCTACAATTGGTATGATTATGGTCATTATTTGACAGTTTGGGAGGAATAGATGCATTGCCATTGTTAATGGAATCACTTGGAACATGTCCATTAGGTTGAGTATTGTTTGAGCTTTCTGAATCATCTAGACTTAGTTGATTTCTTATTGCACTGAGTAAATTTGGACCTATTCCTTTGACCTTTATAAGGTCATCAATTGCCTTAAATTGTCCTTTTTTGTCTCGATATGTAACTATATTCTCCGCCAGAACTTGTCCAATGCCTTTCACTTTCATTAACTGGAACACATTAGATGAATTCACATTGATTTTTCCATTAGATTTTCTAGATGTCTCACTTCTAAATGAAATGTCTGATCGACTACCTGTTGGAGAATTTTCTTCTGTTGGAGGTCCAGTACTACCTTGTCGTTTCATAGAAAGAGTAATTTCATCTCGAATTATATTCAATTTCACTGCACCAACACCAGACACTAAAGCCACATCCTCAATTTTCTTAAAACCACCAATTTTTCTTCGATACTCAATAATTGCCTGAGCTGTGGCTCTGTTAATCCCTGGCAAAGTCATTAGTTCTTCCTCTGTAGCATAATTAATATTCAAAAGATTTTGGCCTGCATCCCCCTCCATCATCGCAGACATGTTAAACGCTGCACTCAAATTCCGCCTGTGTCCCATCTTTTTGGGGGTGCTTGAATCCGAGTCAATATGTTTTGGAATACAGCAGCTATTGACGGCCCCCATCTTCTTTGTGTCTGTCCTCCAGAAAAAATTAGACTGTAATCATTCAACTGTACAGATAACTTTTAGTCAATATCACTTCGTCCAATAGTTAAATGCATTGCTGCCATCCGCATTCATTGATCAGTAATCCACCTTGAACACTACATTACCAATGCAGGTGTGCCATAAATAAATCCATCCTTGTGTACTGTTAGCAACCTGATTTGGGGTAAAAGCCTTGTTTCCATCTGAAAAAAAAATTTGACAGTCAAGAGTAAATATCTTATTACACACCAATTCACCCATACACATTCGAGAAAATATATTTAGGATTATTTTTGTAAGTCGTCTAGGTCAGAGACATTATAGAGCTCCTTAAGTTTAAAGTAATAATAATGAAGTGACTTGAATTTCAGTCTTAACTCTTAAAAGAACATTTATCAGCAGGGATGCAAGTGCTGAAAAAAACTGATTCTTGGAATGCATGCCTTCTGACAGCTACATAAAATCCCTGGTAGAGGAGAAAAGGTAATAAGGGATTTTAAAAATAAACCATTTAGCAACTGCTTGAACACATTATAGATATGAGATTAAGCTGCTGTATATATATATATGTCAATACACTGTTTATGCAAGTTTCTGCAGATAAAATTCATATCTGCAGGTATATAAGTATGTTTTGAAGTTTATCGTGTCATCAAATAACATTTACTGCCAGTAGCATGTGAATGTTAGTGTAAACATTTCAATGCATAAATAAATTTTGAATTGTTAAGAATAAACTTTGTTAGAGTGATCAAACTATTTATTGTTTTAAGTCACATGTACATGTACCAGGCACAACAATGAAATGATTCTATATATACATAACTATATGATAACAAGAAAGTAGGCTCAAAGTTCATTCAATGTGGATGAATAAACACTTAAAACTCACTCATTTAATACTCAAGTGCACGGTTCCTCTTATGACCAAATACAAGTATGTCATTAAAGAAAATCATTGTTTTGATGGTTTTTCATCAAGTGAATACACAGATGAATGTAGTATTATGTTAAAAATGACTGTTTTCCTTTCTACACGAGATGCAATTTCATAGAGATCTTATAAAATATCTTGTCTACTAAAGGGTATATAAATGAACATTCAGTATTTCACATTTTATTCCTGAATACCATAAAAATGTTCATGTATTATTTGTAATTAAAAGTATATGTACATACATATAAAATTCTTCCTATTCATTAATATCCTTAAATCCTGAAAAATACCTTCAAGTCATTTACAGTCTGTACATCTTAATCCATCATCACAATCTATCTTAAAGCCATCACTGTGCATAATTATCTTCTCTCTTATAGACACTCCTGTCGTGAATGATCAAGCCCTGTGTCCTAAGAGGTGCCAACAGATAGTCTTTAATTAGGCAATACCACCAATGTTACCTCTTTACAACAGGGCAATAAATCTCACACAGGCACAGTATTTGTCAACAACAATTTACACGATCAGCAGGATCAAGGTTCAAGGACAGAATGTTCGGAATTTAAATACTGGCTAAAAACACCAGTGGTCATCACAAAATGCTGAGTAAAGAGAAATCTAGAATCAATATACAGAGTGTCCAGACAGGGGATTATTATTTGTGTGGCCTGAGACATTAATGAGTGTAATATTTTTTTATCTGAAAGGAGACGTGCCATCAACCATACAATAATATCTTCATTTGTCTTAGATAATTGAGCTCACTTCCTTAAAACTGCAGGTAATGTGCTTTACATGCTTAATCATGTAGCCAACAGAAAAAAAAATCAGATTAATTTTTTTTAGCTTCACGAAAAATTTAGATTGTTATTTTTAGACATTTTTCATTCCTGAGAAAAATAAAATCACACATATAACTCATTGTTCTGTGTTTACTGGTTAAAGACATGGTATACATAACAGATACACGTACCTTGATTACAGTGAAATCACTACAATTACAGTATAAAATTTCTTTACTGATTACAGAATAAAGCCCACAATTACTACTTTCCCCCTTTCTTTTAAAGGGTAGACCTGCATGTATTCTATATTAGATTTTTCCTCAAACAGAGCTTTGAACACCCCAATTTATGAAATGCAAAACCAAGATGCCCCCTTTAAATAGTTGTTTTGAATTTTCTTTTTTTTTTTTGCTTTTTCTTTCTATGAGTATCTTTCTCTTTTTTTTTACTGCAACAGTGACAAAATCTGAATAAAATATGAAAATTACTGTAGATTGTGTAAAATACATATCCTACATGTACATGTCAATGAATTAGATAATTTCTAAATCAATTTGATTATATTTAAATATTTTAAGGGGGACCAACCCTCTGATAAGAGAAATAACTTTCCAAGTAATAAATCCTACAATTCCATCAAAATTTTATGTTGTGACAAAAAATTATTACTCTTCCCATTCTCTGTGTTAAAATTTCTTCATATCATGAGCTGACATAAAAAATAAGCAGCACTTCATACCTTATACTATTTTTCATTTGAATCTGATTAGCTCTTGATGAAAATCAATGTTGGGAAGCTTTAAAAAAATTGTGAAATTTAGAACAGAGGGTCATTATAGCGCTTAAAAGTTTTCATGAACAGAATCCAAACATGTCAACTTTTAAAAATATTTGAGTAATTTGACTAAAATGATAGCCATACATGCATCAAGGTTTGTTTTTAAAATAATAAATGTTATCTGTAAATAATCTCTATTACATCCAACCAAAATGTAATCAATAAAATGTCCATGAGATAATTACATATTCATATAACTGCAGTAACTCCAAGTCCTGCATTCCTGACAAAAAATATCTGTGACATGTACACTTCGTTATATTATAAAGAATTAGCCATGGATTGTGATCTTTCTGGATACAAACAGGGATTATACTTTTCATGACAACATGAATCGTTGCAAGCCATGAGTTTTAATCTACACCCACACCAGAGAGGATTGAAACCTGAAGCTTAAGAATGGACAAGATGTTTTTATAATATTTTACAATACCCCTGATTTGGGACATACATGTATGAAAAAATAACAGTATGATTTTTACAAAAAATAAAATCAGACAATGTACTACAGAAACAGAGGACTGCATGAATTACCATAGAATGTATTCAATGTACACTCATCACGGTCACTATTACTCACCAGCTGAACAGAACTCTAATAAAGGTGTGTACCCTCCATCTCCTCCTTACCTGTTTATATTAGCTTACTGTTGATGTTGTTGATAAGCAAATTACCAATGAAACATACACCCAACACAACCACTGAATTTTCACCAGAGGGTTTTCTTTTAAGGGTGTTATCAATACACCCACACTCTCTAACATGCATGCCTTTCCTGTTATTCCTATTTCATAAAAGGCCTGATTTATTTCTTTGATAAATTACACTGTACCTCAATAAACATTTCACTACCTACTTGGTAAGCAAAAAATTTGCATGGATGAACAAGCCGTACTTTATCTTATTTCTTGTTCATCATAATGATCATGTACATGTATTAAGACTCTTTTACATTTTCCTGTCAAAATTCAATACATGTGCTTTGATTCAAGTGTTTCCTGAATTTAGAAACTTATTTACATATCTTCAGCACCACCTGTGCATATTATGTTAACCTACTGGTATTTATGCAATAATGAGTTTCAATACATACATGTGTTTAAGTGAGATGCTCAGTGCTCAGTATCTTAGATCTACAAATGTTTATAAACCTAACCATGCTAATGTGTGGGCAATTCTTGAAATACCTGTCTTCTAGAAACCTCTGTTACACTTCTTCAATATAATATTCTAAATAAACAGTATTTCCAGTCATGTTAATGTTGCTGTAATATATGTACATATATTTTACATCATATAAATCAATTAACTCCTAAAGAAAAGACTTAAATTTAACAGACTAGTAGAAAAATTTTCCAAACAATACCTCTAAGTATACATGTATAAGTACAAAATGAAAATGAAAGAAGTCCCATTAAAAACCCAGAGATAATATGACAATATGATGACAAGATATTTAAATATAGATGATCAGATAAACTAAACAATTCACCTCTACAAAACGAAAACAAGATGACTTTCCAGGACAAAAAGTAAAATGATGCAATGAACTTGGGAAACTTTTAAGAGTTGGGTACAAAAATACATCAAGGTGAAGTCAGTCCATTGAAACTTAACAGCTTTTCTTTCTACTGGTAAAAAAATTCTGCTTCTATGGAAGAACTATATACACTTCAAAACTTCTGAATTAATGATAATATACAAAATACACACTACAAATGTTTTTTAAAAATTTATATCATAATGTTATGCTAAAAACCTGTGTTAATGATAACTAAATTAACTGAAATATTACTAATGTCTTCTGAAATCATGGTCATCTATAACATTTATTAACCGTAAGTACTGAAATACATACATGTACATTTCATGCAAATATGTATTTATATACTCATGATTTCAAGAAAAAAGTAAAAAAAAAAAAAAAAAGACATAACAGCAAGTATTTATATACTCATGATTTCAAGAAAAAAGTAAAAAATAAATAGACATAACAGCAAGTATTCCACATTCAACATATAAAGTTATATTAGAACTGATAAAAAAAGCAAAATGTAATAAACATGATAAAACGTACAGGCAAGTACATAAAACATGAGACAAAATCAACATTTTCCCTCATATTCATTAATTTAAATACAAAACCTTCTTTAAAGGTGTTAATTAAACAATCATGATAATGCAATTTTTGATTCCTAATGATTAATTATTCTGAAACTTATTCCAAAAATAACATATATATGTTGATTGTAAAATATTGGGCGGAAATTGGGACGAGTTTATTGCTGGGGGGGGGGGGGGGGGGGGCTACCGTTACTAGTTTGGTAAAAAAGAGTTCTCTAACTTATGTATCTTTTAATTGTACGACTTCAACTTTTCGGAATAAGAAAACTTGTATACAGTATAAAATATAATTTCTTAGTCAATTAGGGCCAAAAATAAGCATAACAATTAACATACAACACATATGTATTCTAACAATGTGGAGTAACTATTTGAGTCTGTAATAGTAATACATGTAGGTGGTAAGTTGTTGATAAAGTTCCAATTTTGCTTCAAACTGACCAATTGAGATACATGTAGATACATAATAACACATGCAAATGAGTGTATTAATTATACATGCATCATATTATTGTACATGTA